GAGGGGGGGGGGGAAACAGATATGGAAGATCACATTCCATTCGAAAAAACACGATTCTACTATTCAACTTGAGGGACTGTTTCAAACATTGATCGTTTCTCATTTGTCCCAAACTTATCCCCAGAAAAATCCGTCGATCGAGAACGCGGATTCGAGCTGTTGCCGTCCGGACTTCGGGAATATTTGCTCGTCCTTTCTTTGAACTGAACTGCCATCTCATCATGGGAATCCTTACTAACGACATTTCCTCAGCCTATCCACATCACATCACTTCTCTCTATGGACGTTATTGCAGACTTCTCCAAAGACCTCCAAGCTATGGGCCAGATAAGCCTGCACCTGCTTGATCCTCGCATCCAGGTCCCGACCCAGGGGCAAGAGCCTCTCATCGAGGTGTCCCGCTCCGACCCCTTCCCCCGTCACCACCTCGTAGACGGCCTTCATGGCCTTATCCTTATCCCCGTTGCCTTCAAACTTCCCACTGGACATGTAGTCCATCATCTGCTGCGCCACCGAGCCTCGGTAGTCTTCTGGCAGAGGATTCTTGCCGATGATGGTCGCATTGCCCATGTTGGTGTTGAAGGTGCCCAGGGCGACGGTCAAGATACGGACATTGAACGGGGCGACTTCCTTTGCCAGAACCTTGGACAAGCCTGGCGTCATTTTTAGCTTGAATCTATATATATATGTATATATTGTATGCATGTGTGTAAGTATAGGAACACCCACCATCCAACGCAGCCTTGGATGCAGCATAAGCTCCCATACTATCCCTCCCTTCGAGAGCGGCGCCACTGCTGAAATTCACCACGACGCCGAACCGTCGCTTGCGCATATGCGGCACTGCGGCTCGGATCAACCGGAATGGGCCGAAATACAGCGTCTCCATCTGCTGGCGGACTTCCTCTTCCGTGAAGCACTCCCCGGCCGTGTAGATGGAGTACCCGGCATTGTTGACCAGGACGTCGATGGGCTGGCCGGACGCCTCGAGATCCTCAATCACCTGCGCGCCGCGGCTGGGGTCATCGACATCCAGCTGCAGCCATTTCCCGCCTTTGTTCTCGACTTCCTGGACGAGATCCGGCGTGCGCGACGGGTTCCGGGATGTCGCGATCACGGTGTGCCCGTGCGCCTGCGCGATGCGGGTGAGACTGAGACCGAAGCCCGACGAGCAGCCTGTGATGAGCCATGTAAGCGGCCTCTTAGGAATCGTATGCGTGGTAGACATGGTTGGGCTGGGCTAAGTTCGTGGTTTTGGTGGTTTTTTTTTTGTCTCTCAGGGGTACAAGCTTCACTGGATTAATTATCTTCCATTATAAAAAGAAAAAAAAAGATCGCCGGACAGAGCCTGATAGGAAAGGAAGGGAGGCCCTAATGGACGTGATTTATTTATGTCTGCTAGGGGGGGAAGGCATTCCATTCTAGCACCGCAAAAAACAACCTGGGACATGATGCCATGATGCTGGACTTAACGCGGGGTTAATTGGAGTTAACAACACTAAAATCCGGCAGGATGCAGTCAGTCTACCCCTAACCGATCGATTCATCTAGACGATTTCAACTGACTCGAAACATGGGTAGTAAGGAGGGGGGGGCGGAGGGAGGAGACGCCAGGGAACGGCCTCTACCTTCCCCTCGGTTTGACGATGAGGGTTTTTTTTTGTTTTTGTTTTTGTTTTAATTTACTCGGGTCCAGGCATGGGACTTTTTTGGAGGGCGAGGAAAAAAAACATTTGATATTCAACTTCGTCTATAAGATCCCCTCTTTTTAACAGTGGGCCTGAAGCGAACATCATTCAGGCAGCAGGGTTACTACCTGCTCAAACAATGTATGTACATACAGGTACGGACGTATATCACATATATCATCAAGTCCACCCACCATGGCAATAAAAGGTGCGGTTTGGAATGAGTGCCTACAGAGTACCATGAGATGTGCTCTAGGAGTTGGGCACTGTAATTAGTTTGTGATAAGGCTTTATCAGGTGTGGAGGGGGAGGGGGAGGGGGAGGGAGAAATGGCTACAGATGTAACCTGACATTCTAACAGGCAAGCACACATCACATTCCATTTTTTCCCCCAATCTCGACCTACAGGGTGCTGTACAGTAGGCATAGTACTAGCATAGATCCCTGTACCTCCTATCTATCTGGCAGTAATCGTACTAGAAACGAACTCTATAACATAATCATTGTATATAAATAGTCAATATGATCTCATGTAGTACCTCGCTAAATAGAACTACCATAGTAACAGAGGGTATGTACATCACTTGAGCTCTCTATCTTATATAATTGGCTACATTGGTATCATTATTTAGAGTTTGCTGAAAGCCAAGTCACATATCCATGTGAATACAGGTCACTAAAACTAGGGAGCGACCTCTTCTAAGCCAATTTGTTGCCTTTACCTACATGTCCATGTCTTCCCCGCGAGACCGCTTTGCACCGCGCCCTCGAAGTCGCTGCAAAACAACCACCGCGTGTCCGGCCATTTTTGGTGTAAAAATGTCGTTCGTTCGAATCCCTCTGGTTCCAAGGAACCCATTATCAAAGAGAAAAAAAAAAAACTTAGGTCTAGTAAAACTCCTGCCCGCTATAAGCATAGGTGGGGGTTTTTGTAGCGCCAATGTATGGGTTCTGGGAGGGAGGACCCCTGGTGTGAGCTTTTTTGATGCAGTCAGTGTGAATGAGGTGAGGTTATTATTGTTTCCTTTTTTGGAAGGTATGGTCCCCATTACCAATTACCACAAGGTTCGGAATCCCAAAGTTGTCTCAGATCAGATCTTTTTTTTTAAGGTTCTTAATAATATTTGTTCTGCTTAGCTCTGCTATGAAGTATTCAATTAATTTCTTTTTCTTGAGTTTATACTGATTTCATGTCTTTTTTTTTAACTAGATGACTACTAATTAATGACTTTTCCTACCTTGATTCATGGCAAGGGTGTTTGTCGGAACTGCAGACTCTTATACTCCGAGTATATCCGACTCTACTGATAATTAATCGATTGAAGACACGATTTTAGTTCAGTTCAGCCCATTAATGTAATTACTCCCATAAGGAAGTTAATGTACGGCACGTTCAACATATATATACTGCATTAACAAAAACCAATCGCAAAATCAACACCAATAAACCCCAACAACACCACAACGCAAGCACCATCCAGTCCATAAATAAATCTCATCCATAAATCTTATCATCATCGATCATACATCGTACCCGGTAACTCATGAAGCTGCTGCTGAGCAGCAGTTGACATTTTCGGCCTCGAATCCAACTCCCTCCTCATAGGCGAGGATGAAAGCTCGTAAAACTTGTAGTTTTGCACTGGTATCATCATAGGTCCTTGGCTTTGGGGGTGGCCTGGGTCTGATGGATCGAGAATGATATTCTTCTGCGAAGAGGAATCTCTGCGCCCGGGTCCGAACATTCGGTATATTAACAGACCGATTAGCACGAGGAGGAGGAATGCTACTGCTGATCCGACTCCGATTCCGGCTTTGGCGCCGGATGATAAACCTGATGGAGCCGTTTCTGGGATAGCTTCAAAGGTCGAGACTGCGGTCGAAACTGCAGTTGTCGTGACTGGGGCTGATGCTGAGGAGGATGTCAGGACAGACGCTGTCGACGACGGCGACAACGTTTCTCTCGGCAGAAAATCGGTCGACTGCCATCGAATATAGATACCGTACGCATTGAGACCGGCCTGGACGGTGGTGGTCAGAGTGACCCATCCACTGTCCGTTGTGGAGGTGTAGGTAAAAGGCACGACGCCAGGAAGACCCGAGGCACAGCGATCGGTCGAATACCAGGGCCAGTCTGTCCCCGACTGGCAAGTATAGCCGCTGCGAAAAACAAGACTGGTTAGCAAGACGATCACAGACCATGCTAAAGCAATTTGATTTCAACGTCTACCTACACAGGACAACACGTCGCTCTAGTCTCCGACACAGAACCGATACTAACGACCGACTCGCAAGCAATCTCGTATCCGGACGGACAGATCCCCGGCGAAAAGTACGCCGTGGTATCCCAGTTATAACCCGGCGGAAGACATGCGGACGTGCTGGGCGGCCCCAGACTCGCGTAGACGCAGGGCACGGTCGAGGACCCGAATCCGCACGAATGGCCAACGGTGGCGTTCCACACGTAGGTATCACGGAGACAGGAGGGCGCAGGCGTAAACGTGGTGGTCAGCGCAGGGGGGCTGGTGATGGACATGCTGAGGGATTGTCATATTTCTGCAGAGAGAGGCGGTGGACGATCAGCAGAGATAACAGCGGCAGACATGTACTCCGTACGGAGCAATACTCGGAGACTTGGCCGGGGGCCCGTTCCCCTGAGGAGTCAATGGATTATCGCATAATTTAATCAAGTCGACACAGACTGTTGATCAATTCTTCAAGCTATTCTACGGCCCCAAAACTAGTTTGTTAGCTTGACGTTGTCCCGCATGATTGGTCCAGCAAAGATAATCTTATGCATTACTGTATTCGGTAAATATCCGCTTCTTAGCATACTAGTATAGGAAGCTGGTTCGCGTTGCTCGGACCTAGCACTACATCGCGCGAATATAGATCTAGTAATGTCAGCGCTAGACTGGGTTGTTTAATACTTGGTACGGAGTACGGAGGAGGTCAGTTAGAGTCAGCACGATCAATTACGCTCTAACATTTACATACCTACGGAGTAGGAGACGCACCATTTGCCCGACTTGGAAGGTTGACTAGCTTGAATAGTTAAGTATCAGTACTGATAATATTGCACTAAGTTCCAATCTTATCTCCAGGAGATAAATACAGTCGACATTTCTAGCAATCTTATGTCACGAGCCTTTAACGACTTGCTCTGCTCGTCTAGGCTTAAAGGGAGAAAATACCTAGGCTTACTAATGCCTACATAGATGCTCTAGACCTTTGGCCCTCTGCAAGCCTGTAATATATGTATGTAAGCCTTTATAAAGTCTTTAAAGGAGCTTATAAAAGAGGCATAATAAAGCTTATGAAGAAGCTAATATAAAGCTTAGTATACATAAATACTTATACTTAAACGCTCTAGACCTTTGGCCCTTTGCATACCTGTAACATAAGCTTATATAAAGCCTTTAAGGGTGCTAACATAAAGCTTATAGGCCTATAAGGGAAGCCACATGTTGTAGCAAGCTGCAAGAGCAGATACATGCTTACATAAAATGCACTGTTATGTGATTTTTTAAGCAGTTTTAACTAATCATGTAGCTAGAAAAAACATTGTCGACAAAAGAAAGATTTAATTCCATGATGCTGGGCAATATAGGAAAAAAAAGTGCACACTCACGTTGTCTGCATTCTAAAAGCAGAAAGTCTTTTTTTCTATTGAGCTGTATTATACACCAAATAAATACATGCAACTTGACATGCATATACATATACATATATCTATGTATGTATGTACATGCTATCTGCACCAGTATGTACAGTACGCGAACACGATTAATACCTCTTCTTAAAGCAAGGCAACCACTTGTGCAGCGCATTAACAAAATCTCCCGCGACCGCCTTTCCCCCCTCGAAGGTCGGGTTCATGTCGAAGCAGTGCTCCGCGTCCTTCATGATGTAGCCGAACAGCTGGTCCTCGCCCGTCGACACGCCGCACGCCGGGATCTCGGTCGTGAAGTTCACCCCCGTGGCGCGAACGCCTCGGTTGACAGCGGCGACAGCGTCCGCCATGGGTCGAACTCCCCTCCGCTCCAGTACACGTTGGACGGGCGCATCGTCCAGCCTCCTGTCTCCTTGTTCACCCCGTCGACGTCTGGATGGGCTGGCAGCGCGCCGCTCTCGACCGCCCCCGGGAACTGCCGGTAGCACATCAGCTGCTGGTACTCCAGCGACTCGTACCGCGACAGCAGCGAGTGCGGACCCAGGTTGTCGCTCTGGAAGAACCCCCACTGCGAGCAGAACTGCCAGATCCAGCTGATCATGTCCGGGTTCGACGCCCGCTGTGCCAGATCGCATGACACCGGCTCGCTCTGGTTCGCCTGCCCTTTGCAGTTCAGGTCGCCAAAGTATCCGTTGACCAGGGGCACCAGGTTGGGCCACGACGCCAGTCGCTCCGCCACGGCCTTGCTGCCGATATACGGGGCCCATCCGTCCGCGGGCGCTGTCTGGTTCGTAGTAGCATTCGTCGGCGGCTGCTCCAAATACTCGCAGAGGCTGCCCAGGCCCATGTCGCCGCCGCCCATGCCAAAGTTCTGGAAGTTGATGTAGATGAGGTCGACAGCCGAGGTGAAATCGCCGTTGGTGTTATTTTCCGCCCCCGGGCCGAAAAACAGTCTCTTTATGTCATCCGCCGCCGTGCCGTTTTGCGCCAGCTGCTGGTCGATGTACACATGCACCGCGTGGAGGTCCTTGGCACAGCCGCCGTAGCCATAGGCGACCATGCCGCGATAGACCTGGTCGAAATAGACGCTCATGTCGATGCGCGCCTGGACCGGTGCCGACGAGGCAAACGCGGCGTAGATGTAGTCAGGATACTCGTTGCGCGAGAAGGCCGCCCGCATCCCCGAGTACGACCCGCCCACCATGATCCAGGGCGTCGACTTGGGCGTCAGGTCCTGGCCGGGAAACTCGTCCCGGCTGAAGGTCATGGCGAAATACGGCAGATCAGCCAGCGCTTGCCGGTTGGTCAGATACTTGAAGTGCTCAGGAGGGGTGTCGATGTCGACGGGGAACGGAAGAGACTCGCCATAGTATCTGTCTATATATGAGCTTCAGCCTCGATTACACAAGGGGTATGTTATTTCCTACCGATGCTCCCAGACAAGACCAATCCCGTTGAACTCCTGCAGAAACTCGACGAAAAAGGACCCGTTGGTGAGCATAGTCTGGGCGACGTCCTCGGCGGAGGACTCGCCAACATCGTAGACAAAGACCGGTCCGCCGGGTTTGTAGTATTCGGTGGTGACCCAGTAGCGGTTCTGATAGGTGCCGACGGAATGATCATCGTGGTCGATTGGGATAGTCGCCTGTTCCGCTTGGATGTCGGATGTCCGCAAGCTGGCCAGCGTGTTGCGGAAGTGCGTATGGTTCAAGAGGACGGCGTCTGCATCCAGGCCCAGGGCAGCAGCCAGGCGCAGATCCTTCGTTCTGGGCGACAGAGCGAATCCCATGCCTGAGGCACATCCTGCCAGCGCAGTCAAGACCGCGCATGTCAGCGCGGACTGCCAAATCATGTTGTCGAGGCGAGTGTAGCAGGGGCAGAAAATACCTACATGTAAAAGACATTGCAGAGGGACAATGCAGACCTTTTATTTCCACAGCCTCCATTGCCGCATATAGTCGGTGTTACATCTGCAGAACACAAGCAGGCACAGAATCTGCACAGTGCCGCTGATGTCCGAAAAAGGAAATCCAGCACCGGGCCGGTGGCTGAAGCGGATCGAGTGGCTGATCACCCTGCAGACATGCAGAACAAGCAACCCTGCAAACAGAGGGAACAGCTGACACTGATTCGGCAGGGCATGCAGCAGAATAAGCTCCCCCGGTTGCGGGGCTCAAACATCCATCTGATAACGAGGGCTATTAAAAGAAACACGCCAAGCCGTGTCGCCCGGGCTGGACGCCAGCAAAATTCTACAGAGTATTCTGCAGATTGCCCTTCTGCTATACAAATACCAGTGTGTCAAGCACCGGCAGAATGAATTCAGACCAGCATCGCTGCATCTGTAGCAATCATTGAATCAGAGTATGTACTCCGTACACTGTACTCTCTGTACTCTACCAGTCCGATGGATGGCAGAAACATCCTATTCCAGACAGGGAAGATCACATACTCTGTACAGCCGTAAACAAACAAACAGACAAACAAACAAATAAAAAAAATGTAAGCATCCGCAAACAAACAAATAAATAAATGCAATAAATGGAATTGTCGTGCGACTCGACAAGGATAATCTGCCGGATGCGGAAGGGCGGGCGGGCGGATCTTTTCTCCGGGGCAGGCCGTTGCAGGTCACGGGATGAGGAATACAAACAGTGCAAACACGTGACAGTAATCAGGATACTCAGCGATGAAGTTGGATAGAACTATTTATTAAACCAACCAGTACATCCATACATACATGGACAGACAGTACACTAAATAGCCTCTTCAGAACCCCTTTTATGAACCAGCCGACCACCCACCCAAACTGCCTTGACGTTGCGATCGTCTCCGCTCCACACCCATTTGGCAATTTTCTCCTCCCACGACTCCCAGCCAAAGATGTCGACGTTGCCGGCGTCGTCGCTTCTTCCATCCAAGTGGTTGTTGTCACCGACAACCTCCCCCAGCTCGATGAGCTGCGCGTCCCAGAACATGCCCTCGTCGAACCCGCCGATCTGATCCGCCATGTCGACCACCTGCGCGCCCCCGCGCGTCGCCAGGTACAGCGCCTCCTCCACGCTCAGCTTCTCTCGGCCGGATTGCTCCGCTGACTGCGACGCGACAAGACGGGAGACCAGGCACGCCTGCCGGACTGATTCGAGGATGCTGGGATGATATCCGCCGCTGATGTCGGTGCCCAGACCCACCGGGATGCCATCGTCCAGGAGGGTGCGCACAAGGCAGAGACCCGATCCTAGGGCGCTGTTGGACGCGGGACAATGTGAGATTTTGGACTCGCGCGAGCGGATCAGGGCGCGCTCTTCCGGAGTGAGATGGACGGCATGCGCAAGGATAGTCCGGGCCGTCAGCAGGCCGTGGTCGTCGTAGACGTGTGCGTAGCTCGCGGACTGGGGGAAGATCTCCTTCACAAGGGCGACTTCGTTCTTGTTCTCCGAAATATGGGTCTGGATGTGCAGCGGGGGATCATACGACGCAGCGAGCTTGCCCAGACCAGTGAGCGCGGCTGGCGAGCAGGTGGGTGCGAATCGGGGCGTGATAATCGGCGCAACCAAGCTGCCGTCTGGATCGAGGGTGCGAATGTGGGCGATGGTAGCTTCGGTGGCGGCGACAGATTCCTCCGGCGAGGCATCTTTGTAGTAGTCTGGACAGAAAGCCGGGTTATCCATGCAGACGCGGCCGATGAAGGCGCGCTGGCCACGCTTGTGGCAGAGGGTAGCCAGGAGATTCGTAGCAGGGACGTGGATCGTAGCGTAGTACGCAGCACAGGTGGTACCATGCGACAGAGTGCGCGAGATGACTCGATTGTAGGCGGCGTGCGCTTTGGGGGGAGCAGCATCGGAGTCTTTGTCCCCGTAGGAGCTCTCGAGGGGGAAGGTATACGTTTCCAACCAGTCGAGAAGCGTCGAGGAGCCAAAGATGCCGGAATTGGGGTATTGCGACGCATGGATATGAGTGTCTGAAGGCAGTTAGCACACTCACCTATCAGAAAACTTATCACGGGAGTAAGACATACTTACCTATAAACCCAGGAAAAAAGAAGCCATTCCTATCCTTCCTCGCCTTGACAATGATCACCGTCTCCTTCCCATCAGCCGTGCTATCATTCTCTGCGACGACCGTCCAGCCTTTCCGTTCCACCCAGGCCTTCAACTCGTCGTCACTGTCAATCCCAATCTCCCAATCAAACCCCTTTATCCGGCCATCGGCAGAAGACACCCACAACGCGCCATGGTTGATGGAAAGGGCGAGTTTTTGGCCGGAGCCGGGGGGAGGGGCATAGCGGGGTAATTGGATGAAAGTGCCGTAGAAGAGGGTGTATGTGGGTGGCATTGCAAGAAGACAGAAGAACAGGAAGAAAGCCACCCACGCAGACGCACGTCTCTCTAACTCTATGAAATCAAGCAGTCAATCACGACAAAGCAAAACAAAACAACACAAACAAAAAAAAAATACCTGACCTGACAAGAACAAAAAACAATATTCAGAATAGATATAGATAAATAAATAGACAGACAGTACCAAACTTTCAACCCTGGGCAGCAAGTAAAAAAAAAAAAGAACAAGACCCCTCCAGGAAAAGGAAACTGACTCAGAAGAAACAAGCAATTATTGCTCACGTGTATATAGCATCGATATAGATGTCATTAGTATGAATGTATGGATGTATCCTGCAGGGACGGATATGAGATAGACAAGACGGACAAGTCAAGACGAGACGAGACGAGACGAGACTGGTGTAGGTTCTGCTAGGGTTCTGTTAGTAGTTATGTACTGTACCTTAGCTTAGGTAGGTAATAAGTTAGGTACATAACCTAACCTAAGCAGTGCATGCGGTTTGCAAAGGCGTTTTATTATTGGGTAATTGTTAATTTAATATTAATTGGGAGAAATAAAGTATACCCGTGCGCAAGGAAAAGAAAGAAGGAAGGAAGGAAGGAGAGGACACTTGCAAGAGAAGACAAGAAAATCAAGAAAAAAAATCAAGAAAAGGAGGAAGTTAAAAAGAACCAGAAAAAAAAGTAATAAATAAATAAAATAAAAGAGTAAAAGAGTAAAATAGACAAACAATAATAATAATAAATAGATACTGTAATGCTCCTTCAGCCAGCCCCGCCAGATAGTTACTCCGTAGACTATAAAGGCAGTCAGTCAGTTCAGCTGCGTGGGGTGATAATAATCCTGCATGCAGGTACTAACTACTGCAGACATGCAAATAAGAAAAATAAAAATTACGGGTCACTGAACTGAACTCTTCTCCCGGCTCCGTCCATCTACTCCGGAGTAGTCCAGACCAGACAGATTGACGGCGTCGGCCGCCTCCGATATGACTTTACAAGACTGACAGAAGAAATTATCCGAGGTTCACGATTACCTTTTCTGGGAAAGATTTGGTGGGGCCAAGGGGTCACGTGGTGGGGTATACAGACTAAGTATGACGGATCATGAGTAAAGCTATCATTATTATTCTAGTCTATCTATATACATACAGTACATCAATCGTGTTAATCGATTCGGTGTTGAATTCGTCCTTCATAAATGGTTATGTCAACCAAACTAAATAGCAGGTGTTGAAAATACCTAGACAATGGACAATGGCCTCCCACTACATGCAAATCATAGGTTGAACTGAGTCACCACACTGAAAGAATTAAGTTGAACTCGAATTAAGTAGGGTATCATCAAGCAGCATTCTCTACTGGTCCGCAGGTGCAGAACAGGTTCTGGTCACCGTATGCTACATTCTGTCAGCAAGCAACCTCTCTTTCTGCTGGTCGACCCAACTTACCGTCATCAACCCTCGTCACCGAAGGCCAGAACTTCTTCTCCACCAGCCATGGCAGCGGGTAGGCCGCCTTCTCCCGCGAGTACGGCCGGTTCCATTCGCTGGCAAGCAAGTCGCGCTGCGTGTGCGGTGCGTTCTTCAACACGTTGCCCTCGCGCGGCTGTTCTCCCCTCTCCACGGCCGCAATCTCCTCACGGATCGAGATGAGCGCATCGCAGAACCGGTCCAGCTCCGCTTTGTTCTCCGACTCGGTCGGCTCGATCATCAGCGTGTTGGCGACCGGCCACGACATGGTCGGCGCGTGGAATCCGTAGTCCTGCAGCCGCTTCGCGATATCAATCGCCTCAATCCCCGCCGTCTCCTTAAACTGGCGCACATCCAGGATGAATTCGTGCGCGCACCGTTCGTTCTCGTTCGTGTACAGGATCGGGTAGTGCCCCTTGAGACGCGAGAGAATGTAATTGGCATTGAGCAACGTCATCTTGGTCGCATGCGTCAGGCCCTTGGCTCCCATCATGTTGATGTAGTTGAACGTGATGGGGAGAATGCTGGCGCTGCCAAACGGCGCTGCGCTGATCGGCGGCGACGCAGAGTCGGATCGCTTCGACTGGAGATGCTCGCTGGCCGGGTGCGAAGGCAGGAATGGCCGCAGATGCTCAGCAACACCGATCGGGCCAACACCGGGACCGCCACCGCCGTGAGGAATACAGAATGTCTTGTGCAGGTTCAGATGGCAAACATCGGCCCCAATCTCGCCGGGAGAGCACAGCCCGATCTGGGCATTCATGTTGGCGCCGTCCATGTAGACCTGTCCGCCGTACTGGTGGACGATGTTGCACACCTCCTTGATGCCGGGCTCGAAGACGCCAAACGTGCTTGGGTAGGTGACCATGATCGCCGCCAGCTCATCCTTGTGCTTCTCGCACTTGGCCTTGAGGTCGGCGAGATCGAGATTGCCCGTCTTCGCGTCACACTTGATGGGCACCACGCGCATCCCGGCCATGGCAGCGCTGGCAGGGTTGGTGCCGTGCGCGGAAACTGGGATCAGGCACACGTTCCGGTTCTTCGAACCATTTGCCTCGTGGTACTTCTTGATCACCCGCAGACCCGCGAACTCACCCTGGGCACCCGAGTTGGGCTGCACCGTGACTTCGGCCATGCCAGTAATGTCGGCCAACTGCCGTTGAAGATCGTCGATGAGCTGCGTGTATCCCTTGACCGTATCCGCAGGCATGAATGGATGGATCTGTGAGAACTCCGGCCACGACACCGGAATCATCTCGGTGGTCGCGTTGAGCTTCATGGTGCACGAGCCGAGGGGAATCATCGAATGGGCCAGAGAAAGATCTTTCGATTCGAGGTGCCGGATGTACCGCAGCATGTCTGTTTCCGAATGATACGAGTTGAAGACGGGATGTGTCAGGTAAGGGGATGTCCGCGCCAGGCTAGCTGGGACGCTGACGGCACCAAGCGTGTCGTCAACCTTCACATCGCCCTTGGAGGCTTGCGCAGAGAAGACCTGCAAAATGGAAGTAATGTCGCCCTTGCCGACCGTCTCATCCAAGGACAGACCGATCTTTGCAGAGTCAATCCGGCGGAAGAACAACCCTGACGCGCGAGCCGCCTCCATAATCGCATCCGCCGCCTTGCTGTCAGGCAACTCGACAGTAATGGTATCGAACAAGACACCGCCATCAGGAGTGTTGCTCCGGATGGGCGCGTTGTAGCCCAACTCCTGCAGTTTCTCCCGGAGCAGAGCAGTCAAGGCCATAATACGCTGAGCAATCGCCTTCAGTCCCTGAGGACCGTGGTACACGGCATACATGGCGCTCATGTTGGCCAGCAAGGCCTGCGCCGTGCAGATGTTGCTGGTGGCCTTCTCACGGCGAATGTGTTGCTCTCGCGTCTGCAGGGCCAATCTCAACGCACGATTCCCCAGCCGGTCCTTGGTCACGCCCACCAGACGGCCTGGGATCTTGCGCTTGTACTTGTCTGCGCAAGCGAAGAATGCCGCATGCGGTCCTCCGAAGCCCATCGGGACACCCAGACGCTGCGCGCTGCCAAAGGCGATGTCGGCGCCGAACTCCCCGGGCGCCTTCAAGACCGTCAACGCCAGCAGATCGGTCGCCACCGCGAAAGTTCCACCCAATTGATGAACGGTTTCTCCAAGCGCGCTGAAATCAAGGACCCCGCCCTCCGTGTCAGGATACTGAGCAAGAACACCGACCAGGTTGTCTCCCTGCTCCTTCACCAGCTTAAAGTTGTCTGCCATGATATCACCGATCACCAGGTTGATGCCAAAGCCTTCAGCGCGAGAACGCATGACGGCAATGGTCTGCGGATGGCAGAGATGCGACACGACGAATGCCTTCCCGGGCTTCTTCTGCTTGGGGAGGGGAGACTGGTCAGGGCCATAGTCATGGCCTCCGCAGCGGCGGTACCTTCATCGAGGACCGACGCATTGGCCACGGGCAGGCCGGTCAGATCGGCCGTCAGGGTCTGGAAGTTCAGCAGCGACTCGAGACGGCCCTGGCTGATCTCGGGCTGATAAGGAGTGTAGCTCGTGTACCAGGCGGGGTTTTCGAGGATATTCCGAAGGATCACGGGCGGCACGATGGTCGGGTAATATCCACCACCGATGTACGACTTTCCTGCCGTGCTGATCTGCTTCCGATACTCGCTCAGCAGCTTCAGCATGTCTGTTTCGCCGACCCCGCCGTATGCAGGATCCCGGTAGAGATCCAGCGAGACACTGGGAGGGGAGACGGTCAAATCCTTCTTGGACAGGATATCTGCGGGAAGCACCTGCTTCACGAACTCGTCCAAATCGGCGGCCGGAGGGTCGAGAGCCGCCAGCATCTCTTTCGCGGCGTCTGGAGTCGGGCCAATGTGCCGGCGGGGGAAGGTATCGAGAGGCTGGAACAGGTCTCGCGGGCTGGGGTCTCCATGGTCAGCGACGGAGGTGGTGTGGACGGCACGACGCGACGACGGAACCTGCTGGCTTGCCAATTGCAGGCAGCGACGGCAGGTCGTAAAGGGAGAGATCTGGGAGCGTCTGAAAGTTGCAGCTACAGGAGCAGCTCGCAGACGAACGAGCTGGCCGCTGGCTCGCAGCGCGGCCGAGGAGATGGCCATGGCGAGGAGATAAGCGTTATCGCAAGCTCAGCGCAGCTGGAGCTCAATTCAGTCTGAGAGCAACGCTATATTGTATCCAAACAGCAGCACAACTCTCACAGAAACGAATAGCAAAGTAGAAATCAGAAACAAAGAGACGGTCAAGCAAAAATTGCTGTGCGACGAGGTCTGGCCGTTTTCTGGACGCCTCAGTCCATGCCGTGGGACAAGCGCGATAAGCAGCGCCGCTCTCCGCGGGAAAGTCGGCTACTGCTTGCGGCTAGTCTGCCCGCTGCTTTTGAGGATCCGCACGGCCGGCGGCACTAGCGCTGCGACCATTTAAATGGCTACTCAGTGCAACTGCCATGCCAAGACCGCAAACTCACCGAACCAGCCACATATAATGGCGAGGTACAGTCATGTGACTAAAAGCGGCAGCAGAAACGGCGGGGGTCGCTAGAGCCAAAGCGCAGGCGGCGTTATCGGCGCGCGTCGGGAAACTCAAATGCTTCAGCCATGGCAATAATTCTGGGTTTCTGATATTGATTGGCCTGGAGAAGAGCGGTGACGAGATGAAGATTTATTGAGTAATTGGTCCTGTGTAGGCATGGCTTGTCAAGATATCATTAGCGTGAATTAGAGATTAAACACTATGCTATACTAATTTCCCGATATCATGATCCATCTCCTAATCGGCCCACAAAAGCTATAGATACTTCTATGTGTTGACATGTGAATGCAATATGTACTCAAAAAATACCCCGTCATCCCTTCAATACTCCTCGCCCTCCTCGACTTCCGGAATCAATCGCTCCCGTTCGGCCTGCGCGTCTTCCTCGAGCTGTCGCCGCCGGATCTGCCTTCCTTTGGTCCGGACGAACAAGACCAGCACGGTCCCCACGAAGAATCCCGCAGCAGCCAGGACAATATTGATGGGCGTCGGATTCCCATGAAACGGCCCCTGCATCAGTGCATCCAGCGCGTACTGCGAGAAGCTGACCACGCCCGAAATGCAGATGATCGCTCCGTACACTCGGCCAAACGTTGCAAAACCAAACACCTTCGCCGCATAGTCACTAGAAGAAGCAATTAGCTGATCAAGTCATGAAAGAAGTATCACAGAATACTTACGACATGGCCGAGTAATAGAGCGGTCGAAGTAAAACGAACAGGGTCACCGTTGCATAGCCTGCCCACACATAGGGAAGGCAATTGAGCGCTCCGATCACCGTAGTCAGAACCACAATAATGGCCAGGATCATCGGCACGCTCAACCGGTCCAGCAGCAGGCCGATAAACGGCGTGGAAAACACCCCGCCCACCGGAAGTGCAGCATCGAAAAAGTTGTTGATGCGTGCCGCTTGCTCCTCCGAATCCAACATGTATTCGTACTGAGTCCGGATCGTGGCGATGAAGTAGTTCATGCGCAACATCTGCAGCACCGTGAGGAGGGTGATGAGGCTGAACCACGGCGACATGAACTGTCTCCGCGCAGGCTGGCCATGGAGGACTCCCCAGACGCCACTGTTCATCTGTCGTTCCTCCTCTTGTACCACCCGCTGCTGTCGCTGGTCCTTGGTCCCAAGGATCTGGTCGATTTTGCGGATCTTGTCGTGCCGTTTCTCACGGCGCCTGGAGCGCACTCGCTCAAGTTCCGTCTCGCTTTCGATCTCGTCGTCGGACTCGTGGACATCTCGTGTTGGATCTTGCGCCTTTTCAATCTTTTCCTCAAGCTGCTGCGCTGTCTTGTACGGTCGAGCCGGAAGCAGCGTCAACTGAGCGATCAGGATCAGGATGGGAACGACCAGGTAGCCCAAGAAGAACTTGTGCGGCTTCAGAGCCCCGTGGGAGGCTTCGTAAGCGAGTCGATAGAACAGAAACACCGCCGCGGACGCATCAAAGGCGCCGGTCACCAGCGCGACAATGGCCCCAGCATGTTTAGGGAAAGCATTGGCAATTTGGAAAGCCGGAACGAAGATGAAAGTGCCACCCAGCGACAGAAAGAAGTTGCCGATAATGTAACCATCAAATCGGGGAATTGTGAAGGCAAAGTACATCAGTAAGGTCCCTGCGGCCAGGCAGAAGCAGCCGGCGATGTTGCAAATCCGTGGACCATAGCGGTCGAGGATGGTGCCAACCGGCAGAGCTGAGACGTTGGCCGTGATGGAGGCGATGGTGAAGAAGAGATTGAGTCTGGGGAGATTGTCAATATCATATCTTTTTGCAACAGTACGGCGCTCACGGATGGAAGGGCATTCAACTTACTTGAGTTCTTGCTTAAAGCAGACATCCACGTTGTCCTGCAATTCTTCCTTGTCGCACAGGTCTTCGTAGACTCCTTCAGACAGGAGCACTGGCTTGAGTGCTGCAAACCCAAAGACAATTCCCGAAGCCACCCAGCAGGCGAGGATGGTGACGGCTACCTGGGCTAGTTTGATCAGCATCGGCAGGCCATCGTCGAGCTGTCACTTGGGCACTCAATTACCTATTCTCTTTGGTACTGAGACCTTATATGCAGCAACACTGGGTTGAGATTTCTCTTCTGACGACCTGGGAAAGGCATCATAGCTCAGCTGCCGCCGCACAGCGGGTTTGGTCACGGAGTCGTGGGTCACTGGTCCCTCACGGTCGACACCGTCATGGGACGACACATGTTGAATGAGGGACATGAGGCAACCTGAGCCACCTCTGTGCTAGGCTAAAGTATCGCCTCTATGATAAACCATTAGCTTCGTCCTTGCACTGTCACGTGCTCTAAAAGTTAGATAGACATACTCGGTATTCGTAAGAGATGTGGCAACAATATGGCAGGGAATATGATTAGGGAGCCGCTTGAGAGACTACCCAATGCAAGAAATAATATATAACGAGGAATAATGGATGTCAAGCCCAGAGCTTTCAGGCTTGATAAAATTCAAAGATGACAGCTCTTGCTGCAGGGCGCATGTCGACGCAGGCGTCAAGTCGAGAAGCTTCGGCGAGGCATCGATCCCTTTCCGGAAAGAACCATGGGAGCTCCACCGGACGTCGAAACAGGCAACCATCCTGGGCGCCTTCGAACCATCCGTCGCAATCGTAATCGACGTCTCGCATGCTTTCAGAAGAAATATCTCGTCTGTCATGACATTCCGGCGAAACCTACGTCCGCAGCAGTGGTTGTTGCCACGATTCAGGCCTGGCGCTCTGGCTTCAAGCTTCTCCACATCCGCGCCACAGTTAGCTTTCCTGCGGGGCCAATAGTTCAACCGCCAAACCCAGTCATGCGATCGTTCCATTCAGATGCACGGAGTATGCTACAAGATGTCCAATTAATTATTAATTATTCACATGCTGTCAAGACGAGAGGAGCGCGTGGCGGCAGCTCTTTGCCCTTGCATGCCGCCAAGACCAGCTTCTCAAACGTCGACGACCCCTGCGCTTGGCCCACCTCCAACATGCTCGTGTATTCGTACAGCGACACCATCGGAAAAGAACTGGTCGAACTGGCCTCCATCCACGCATCTTCCGACTCGATGCTCCACAGCCACGTGCGGACGTCAAACGGCAACGCGTCGACGAAGGGGGTACGATTCGCATATCCCTGCCGCAGCAACGAAAATATTCCATTCAGCATATGGCAAATGATGATGGTGCGCCGGACGCTCTCTGCAAAGATCCACGCCCGCCACGGACTCATGCTGCTGGGCAACTGATACGGAGCCTGCTGCCACAGTTTATACGCCAGCTCCAGCAGCATGTCGTTGGCCGCCTTGAAACTCCGTTCGTCCTCGCCCTTTTCGGAGAGCCGAATACACTGAGCGAGGATCAACGCCTGGACGCACGCGAGAAGCTCTTCATACGAAGCGGACCGTTTGGCGGACCGGAGAAGATATGCGATGCGTTGCTTGACAAGCAACTGGAGCTCCGACGAGTCGCGTTTACCATCAGCCAGACACAGGCTACAGACGGCGTGGATTTCCCGCATGGGCGGGGGAAGCGATTTCCCGTAAAGACGAGGGTGGATGAAGATGGACTGCATTTCCTGTGCGAATGAGATAGGTAAATTCCGCATGCCGTTGAAAATCAACTGAATAATGTCTGGATCCCGCGTCTTGCGGAGTTCGACCTTGAGGCAGTGATCGATTGGAAACGGCGCATGGGCCCAGTCTTTTGGCGAGTGGCTGGTGACGACACTGTTGCTGGGGGTGTGGCCATGCCGGCTGGCGCTGCTCTTGGTGACTCTGTTCTCGGCGGCGTTGGTATGTGTCCTCGTCTGGCCGGAGAGAGGCACATTGACATATTGGCAGACGATGCCCTTCGTCAGGCAGCGGGTGCACTGGGGGAAGAGGAGATCGCAACGGCGTTTGACCTTGACGCAGCCCTGGCACGACCTGCGGAGACTAGTCCCGTTTGAAGACATGGTAACAGAGTCCAAGCAAGGCTGAAGCTCAACTGACTAATTAATTATACTAATAACTAATGCTGAAGAGAGGCAGCGATGTCACATTCGCTGTCCCGCAACTCGGGGGAGACGGGAGACGGTGAGGATCCACCGGATGTGTCAGCAGCGATCCGTGCCAAGATCCGGCTGATTCTTAGCCCGAAGCGGCCTAGTCTCCACCGAGGACATAGAGCATCAACTGTGCTCGGACGAGATACATCACCAGGATCCGATTCTCGATGGTGGAGTCTAAGCTTAGAAAAGCTATGGTCTACTCTGATTTCATTGCCATTTATCCTGTCGCCTTCTACTCCGGAATATGCTCCAAATATATATATGGCGCCAGGCGGAGAGACCGTGATGAGATATAATATCTAGTACTGACAGAATGATAGACTACCACACGCATAAGACGTGCAGCTCAATTGCTACTGGACAGCTCAATGAGAATCACGTTGATCATGCTGTAAAAGCTGATCCGCCGGTCCATTCCCATCCTTGCTGATACTCTGATCCTCACCATTCGTAAACTGGACCTTGATTCTCGTCTCTCCCGCCCGTTTCAGCCACGTCTTCGTCGAGGCCAACGGGTCATACAGTTCCGGCTGCATCAGATTCGTCATGATCCGGCCTGCTGCCGTCTGGTTCAGGAGCTGGATCAGGTTTGGCGATGAGAAGCCCGACGCAATCCAGAGGACCAGCGTGATGGCGATCGCGGGAATCCAAAGGACGAGGCAGACGATGGCGGGGATAGCGTACAGCATGTCATAGTGAATGACATTGGAGAGCGGCGTCACGAGAATGCTGCGACTGATTCCGGGCGGGACGGGAACAGGTCGCTGCGAGTGGTCCACGACCAGGTAAGAGATTGTATTCTTGGTCCCCACCGTCGCGGATGCGATGAGATCCGTATAGATCAAGTTGACAATCTTGGAGCAGCTCGCAGCGCTCCCGGACAGGCTGCTCCACAGCTGCTGCATGGCAACACTTTGCCTTCCGGTATAATCCGCAAGGACAATACCGCCCGGGAGGGACAGTGTTACTGCCTCCGTGTTTGACATTCCATATACACTGTTCATGGCGATCTGGAAACCATTGCTCCCCGCTATGCTGTCGTAGAGGTTGTCGAAGCCGGTATAACCCTGCCAGCAGAACGGAAGATAGAGACCGTCGGATCGACGAGTGAACAGATGCTCCGCCTTCTCGTATCGGTCGTCGACGAGTCCCCAAAGAGGGGATGTCAGGACTGCAGCCTGGCCGGTATCTTCGATTGCCCACAGGGGTTCCGGCTCGTCTCCGTATGTTTTGGCCGTGACGTTCAACACGTCCAAGTTAGCGAGGTCGGCCGTTCCATTGAACTTGAAGCCGACTGTTTTGATGGATGCGCGGACCGCGCTGGAGCAGACGTAAAGACGCTGACTCCATGCGCTCAACTGCTGGAAGATGCGAGGATCTCCGCCGTCAGCTCGTTGAGGGGTCACCAGGAGAAGGCCGCAATTGATTGCAACGGTATCGATATTTGCACTGCTAGACTCAGGGAGGATTCTATTTTCACATACATTCTCTAGTCAGAGTCAACCTGTGTGTTGGATATTTATCTGAAATATATATATCTATTACTCACGGGCATCCGTTATATTGGTTGCATTTAATGAGCTATACAACAAAATGCCACTCAGTGGAGTGATCTGGATTGAATCCGGTCTGAAATCAGGACTAAGTAAGGTTGGCAATGGATGTCTCCCTCCCAGAGTCATGTTTCTCGGACTCGAGAGTGCGTCGAACGTCGTCAGATTGAGGGCGACCATGGTCAGAGCATTGTGAGCCCATGCTGCCTGTGCGGCACGACCGAGCAGATCCGGATTCTCCTGGAGGTTTTTGGTATTGCACTCGTAGCCCTGCAGTGGCAGATCCGCGAACCCTCCTTCGTCTTGAAAGAAGATATTGGTCAACGACATCTGGTCACCGTCCGTATAGTTGATCGTGAAATGAATGGAGAGGTTCGTATCGACGCATTGGGTAACCGGCTCAATCCAAGTGATATCTTCGTCCCAAACGGCGCCGTCTTGAAGGCCAGAAGGGACGGTATGGTTGCGGTACCCAATCCCGCCGTTTTCGCTATCGACGATGAGTCCCTCAACCGGTTCGATTTTATCATGGAGAAGAAGAATGTCCACGCTGCGAAAGTATCCCACCGTATACGACTGGTTGTTGTCGACCTGGCTCTGGGAGGTGGGGTAATACTGCCGATATTGCATGTCGAAAATCCCAGAGACGGTGCTCCCGTTGTGCGAGGTGGCACTCGTAAAGATGTCGGTTATGTTGCTTGGTATTCGTGTCGAATAATTCCCTGCGCCTGAAACGATATTGTCCGGCCCGCCGGGAGGGACATACGCGTCCGTCCCCTGCGATCCAGGACAGACGATAAAGCAGCGATGCCACCGCACTGCCGCGAAAACGGCATGTCTGGACGGGGCGGAGTGACCAGTCCAAAGGCCGACTTATCCGGGGCGTATACGAAAGGCATCGCTCGCGGGCTGATGGGCTCGACACGATCAGAGAGGCCCAGCGGAGTGATGATACCTGTCACTGTAACCACACCGAGACTGAGCGTGGTCAGCCAGGAAAGGGAGAGCACCATTCGCGAGACTTTTCTCGACGCAGCGGCATTGGTTTGGAGGATTGCGGGCCATAAGGTCGACTGCAGCGAACGACTCGCAACGGACCTGGAGCAGTCAGACGGTCGAAAAGTATTATTAGAAGTAACGTTGCACACCAAGTCACAGCATTGTTCTCACTGGGCAATAGCCATGCGAGAATCAACGACAGGATCAGTGGGAAAGTGATTCGCACTAATTAGATAGACAGACAGGTCAGCAGGAAGAAGAAGACAAAATGTATCCGATCGTAATGATAGCCAAGAGATTACTTACCAACGACGACGCCAAAGGCGATCAGTCCAGAAACCTGGCCTACAGTTATCTCCATCTGGAATATAGAATTTTTACTATGATTACATGTAATGTAAAGCAACCGAGACTAAAAAGGATGAGGAAAGAAACCCTCCTACATATAAAACTCCCTCAAAGTCATGTCGCATTCTCCCTTCAAGAAATGCTTGTAAATCAGGTTGAAAAATGCAGTTCAAGAGTCAATCAATCAAGAAATCAGCTGAAGTCGACTACTACCCGGAGAGTTGAAAACTACATGTTAGGTATGTTCGTATATGGAACGCACCCCTGCAACCATGCAGATGCATTATTCCACATTCGGTAAACATCACCGCATGACACGAGGTTGGCTTCTGCCACAATTTCGAAAAAAAAAAGGTAGACAACTGGCTCAGAGCCTCAGATTCGATTGATTGATTGATTGGTAATTCTCTATGTAGTACATACAAATACGAGGCACACTGCTTCATGTATATAAGCCCTAAACCGGTTTTGGAATCTACTCCATGCATGAAGCCATACAGCCCTGCAGGCCATCCATCCTGGGCGCTCGTTTTCATGTTGATCATCACAAACAACATTTTTTTTAAATTGCCAATTTAGGTGGCAAATAGCGAGGTCTTCTACAGATATGAGTGAACTGATAATAACAAGGCCGATGGATTATTCATTAATGTTAAGTAAGGTTGAATATATCAGCTCTACATTACTATAAAAATATCAAACTCCAGTAAGCCCCAAATTCCATTTCTTTCACTGCCACGTGCTTTTTAAATATCACAGATCATGCTACTAGATCACTCACAAGGCACATTGACCTCGGTGAGTTCTGTCAACAACCCCATCCAGTCGTGAGGGTCAGTCCCCAAGGTAGCACCACTGTCCAGAAACTCTGACCATAGATCTTCCAGTCCCCGATCGCTGCAATCAGCGGTAAATGTCTCATTTGCTGGGAGTGAAGTGATGGCAGTTTTCTCTTCTGCTGCAGGGGCCTGCATTCCACCCGCCTCTCGCGTGGAAACAACAGTGGCAGAAACAGGATTATTTTGCATTTGTGCAACGCCATCATTCCTCTCACATGTTGAACTTGCATGTAATGTTTCGGGTTGATTAGTGTTTGATGCGGTTGTTGATTTTCCAAACCGCCAATACTTCTGCAAAACCCCCATCATCGCATTAATACCTTCTCGGACCAGGGAACAGCTCTGTTGCGCCTTGTCGAGCATTCGACAGGCGTCCAAGACTTCTTCCCTCCGTTTGTCGGCCAGGATATCATCCCAGTTAAAACAAACATCCATCAGAAGGATCACAGCCGCCATGAAGACGTGATGCATCACGGACCAGACCACTGAGCTGCTGGGCGTGAATCTGACCTCGTCCTCGTCCATGATGCGTTTGATCTCGATGACTCGACGGGCAGATTGCAAACAAACCACATGAGAATAGGAATACTTCGGATCTCGTGCGCCCCTGATAAAATACTCACGATGTAATCGACATACTCGAGAGTGGAACCCTTGCTGAACCAGAAGTCGTTGCCATGCGATTTGTGGTCGCTCCCGATAGAGTTTTGCATATCGTCTTCGGTTGACAGGATCCAGCCGAAAGAAGTCCGGGAGCTCTTTGTAGATTTGATTCAGTCTTCGGTCCATATCCAGGATCTTGTCGTAGCTAACTTCCAAACATTGAAAATGCTCAACTGCAGTCTCATTTACCATCTCCCGGCACCAGTTCGCCAGTTTCAGACGTAGGTTGGCGTAGGACATCTTCGTTGGGACTGACTCCGGCAGTGAGTAGCCATCCTGAAATTTGCCAATATCCTCGTCTTCGATATTGGCTGGAAGTTTCACGTTCATATGCTTCGGGTGTATGAGATATGTTCGCTCTTGTGGACCGCTCAGAAACCCTATCAACCTTGATAAAATCAGCGTTTCGACCTTGTGGAAAAGAAGAGAGAGCTTGTTCCTACCAGTCGTAGGCGACCAGATGCCACCACAACCTCCGTCTCATTTCCACGTCCACCGGGTCAAAGCCATGGGTTCTTCTTTCCTCCTCGTACCGGGGGGAATCAGTGCAGTGGAGGCCAAGGTGCTTTGCTTGATTGACCATCGTCCCATGGACGAATAAAGAAGCGATGGAAGAGTCCGTGTCGGTATAGGGTACACAATGCGCGACAATGACCGTTGCCTGGAACCCCTCGATGGTAGGGTATGTCATATAGTTGCTTTGGATCAGGGCTGCACCGACCATGGATATGAATTCACGACAGCGGGCTTCTGCGTATTCGGGTGATTCGGAGAAATTGCCGGTGCCCTGGTGCCAGAAATATGACGCTGCAGCAAGGATGCTGAAAAGAAGGGCCAGATGGTTCAAATCTACTGGTGCATTGTTGTGCACGCAGTGGTAGATATCGTTGATCTGAGCCTGGACGCGACTTGGTACAATGACATGGTAGAGATAGTCGACGTAATCCAAGTAGTACTTGAACAGAGAAAGGGTCTCTGACTCTCTTGGTAAGAAGGAGGTCAGTTTGGTGGTTGCAGAGGCGCTGTGTGCAGGGTTTTGAGCACGTGGGATGAGACATATGTCGCTCTCCCGCCTCGACATCTTATGCTGGCTGGCATCTGGAGAGCTGGGCGACATCACTTTATCTTTCAGCATCATTGGCAGCGCAGGAAGAATATGTGGACCCATGACGATCTTCTCGAGCCAATCTGCCGTCATCTGCTGTTCACTGCTTTCTCGCGATAAGTGCGCTTGGCAAGCAATTCGACTAGGAGCATTTTCAGCAGCTGGAGGAGGCTTGGCCTCGACTCTTTGATCAACGACGATATTCGGGGTTGTCGTCTTCTCATCATGCGCTGCTGGCTTAACAAGTCTTGTTTCATCAACAACGCCAGTGCCATAGACACAGGGGACTCGACGCGTCTTGCAATTCGAGCATGGCTGCTGGCGGTCGCATTTCAACTTCTTGGTCCGACAGGTCTGGCAGGACACGGGGTCCTGTCTTGGGACTCGTTTACGGACTTCATCCGCCGGCTTTCCATCAGTTCCTTCAGAATCAGCTTTTCTCTTCGTCGACATGGTTCACAATCTCCGGACAGTCTCGGAGATTGATGATGGCGATGATGCAGTCCGGAGGAGTAAATTTGCTAGGTCGCAGGAGTCAAGTAATGATCTGACGCCTGAAATTATGTTCAGAGACATCAGAGGCCACTGTTTAATTCAAATAAGAGAAATGACTCCTGCATGGCAATGAACTGTTGTATGTCATCCTTATCGATGTTGTGACTGTTTTGGGCATAGCGCATTCGGAGTCTCCGCGGACACTCCGAGCCTGTATCACCATCACGCAGTTTCCAAATCATGGCTAACAAAGAAAGCATTAGGCACCTACAGGTAGTCAGCATGAGAGTCCGCGGAAGGTCCGAGGCTGAAGGGCTCGACTGCAGTCCAACCATGGAAGACTCATTCGCCAGAGCAGCGTATAAATGCGCTGTCCTCCGAGGATGGACCAGCCTGCACTCTCCAACCATCAGCCATCCTCATAGATCCTCAAGTATTTGATCTCTCAAACTTTTGAGCACCTCCAGCAGTTGCAACATTGTTAAGCATGCGAATTCAGCACGAGATGGACAAGACAAACCTCCCGACTGAGTCGGAGCCGCCAATGTCGCCCGACGTTGTCCACCACCCCAAACCGCAATCTCCCAGCGAGTTCACGTATGTTGGGCCAAGTGATTTGTGAATCTCCTATGATTGCTAATTCATTGCTAGAACTCGGGCGAACCTCACGCTCGCAGGCTCGTTCGGGGTGATGTTCTGCACCGTCGGCTTTGGGAATGCTTTTGGGGTGTTCCAGGAGTACTACGAAGCGAGCCTTCTTTCCAACGAGTCAGAGTCCAACGTCTCATGGCTGGGATCGATCAATATCTTCCTGCTATTTGCGGGCTCCCTCTTCACCGGTCCGATCCTTGATCTGTTTGGGCCAGTGGTCGGTCATCCTGCCTGACTTGCAATCATGACAGCCTGTTAACAACCGTCTTAGATAATGTTTTGGCTCGGCAGTATTGCAACAGCCTTCTCGATGATGATGACCTCTCTCTGCAAGGAATTTTGGCAATTCATCCTCGCTCAGGGTATCCTCCTTGGCCTGTCCATGACTCTACTCGTCTGTCCGGCCGTTGCGCTCGTTAGCCAGTACTTCCGGAAGCGACGTGCTGTCGCCGTTGGCGTGACCGTCGCCGGGTCCTCCATTGGGGGCGTTGTGTGGCCCATCATCGTGAACGAGCTGTTGAAGAAGCCGAATATCGGTTTTGGCTGGACGATGCGCATTTCGGGCTTCATCATGTTGGTCATCTTGGTCGTATCAAGCATCATCGCCCGTTCCCCAGAGAAACAAAACAAGTCAGACGCCGAAAAGCAGCAGAGCACACCTGCTGGAAACCGAAAGTGGGACTGGACCATCGTGAAGACGCCTGCGATGCTCCTTACGGCCCTTGGATTCTTTTTCAACTACCTTGGCATGTTCTCTCCGTTTTTCTTCGTCACTAGCTACGCCGTCACCAGAGGGTTCTCGCAAAACCTGGCCTTCTACACCGTCTCGATTCTCAACGGGGGCTCGTTCTTTGGGCGGGTTCTTCCCGGTCTGGTGGCCGATCGCTATGGCAAGTTCAACTTGTGCATCATCATGACGGCTTTCTCTGGCATCATCGCGCTGTGTTGGACCACCGCGACGTCGGTTGCAGGACTTGTCATCTTTTCTGCTGCGTACGGGTTTGCCTCCGGAGTGAGTTTTTCTTTTTTCATGCCCGTTGTATTATCGGCCTTACGGCTGACAACTCCCATCCCCAGGGTATTCTTTCGCTGCAGCAGGCCTGTGCTGCTCAACTCGCAACGCCACAGACGATGGGAACGGCTTTGGGATTTGTGATGACCGCGGCTGCGCTTGCGTAAGGAACTCTTGTCATTGTTGTTGTCTTCTTGATCGCTGCTGACCAGCCGTAGGTCGCTCGCAGGAATACCAGTCAGCGGAGAACTGGCCGGTAAATACGGCTATCTTCCGCTATCCATCTATTCAGGAGTCAGCCTTCTCACGGGCGCTGTAGTTCTTTTCTTTGCGAAGCTCGTTCAGAATCGCGATCTGCGGGCTGTAGTCTGACGAACGAGTGAAAGAGGGGAACATGAAATTTATTTCTCCAGAGATTCGGTTAGGGCATACATATTTTATTTATTTGATGGCGGGGGAAATAAGGATACAATGGCACTATTGATTGCGAGGTCCTGTACACTACATGAAATTGCTTACACTACATGAAATTGCTTACACTACATGAAATTGTTGATAGATAACAATATGAACATCTTTTCTCATGCTACTTCTTTTCTTTTTATATACTTCGTAACTTAACCATAGATCAAAAGTTTTCACACCTTCCGTCTGTATCTAGACAATAAAAATAAATAATAATAAATAACAAGATAAAATGAACAAGCCTTCCAGTTCTCGCTTCTCTCGAGAAAAATACCTGGTCTATGCCAAGAAGTTTACAGTCTTTATCCACTCTCGTGTCAGGTTTCCTAATTAGGTATATCACTTACTATAATTTTTTTGCCATTCTTGCTGTATCTGCGCTGTATCTGCTATGATGTAATGGCTTGATAACATGATATTGCACTTTTCCAAGTTCCCATCTGAGTATATCTGTAGAATGTCAACAAGAATGTCAACAAAATAAGTGCCAAGTACACTGACAAGTATAATGACAAGCATACTGACAAGTATACCGACATCCCTAAACTCAAAATCGTTCTAGAAATCTTGCTCTCAGTAAGAGCGGAAACTCAACCTGGTGGGCTCTTTTTTTTTTGCCGCAGTGACATGAACATTATTTCATACGCTGACGGCCAATCCACGTTTAATACAACGAAACTAGATCGTTTTACCCGACCAGTGCATAAGCTTGGTACCATGAGGTCATTCCGTATGGGGCAAAAAACCGTGGAACTCGTAGAACTCGTCCGTCTCCAAGGATAGGAGTAATTCAGTATAGCCAAATGGCGAGGACGTTTTCTCTTTGAACTTCAACCAATTCGATACATCCGTCATCATGCTGTGACCGTCGTTTCTGCCAGTCGTGTGAGTATTTTTGAGTTTCATGTTGGATCACATCTATCGAATTGAATATCTATCCATCAGTTTGATCTCTTCTGCCAAGATCTTTCCCAGCTCAACAACCCAATTGATGTCTCGCCGGCAAGCAGAGTAGAAAATCAAGATGGAACCCCATAAACGAATGCCTCTTGTCCGTCGCTACATCACGACGCACAACAATGATGGCGAAGCAGTGTTCTTGTCGTCCAGCCGAGTCCCCGAATGCGCCCCCAATCGGACTGCCGGTGACGATGGAGAGGTTGCCATGCTCTACTCGACAGACACATTCCCTATTCAAATGGATCAAGAGGCCGATGTGGCCGTGTACGACTCGTACCTGCATACGCCACCGGGATTGATGCCGCAGAACGGCACGGTCATGCGAGTCGTCGATATGCGACCAAGCAAGGAGACGCCGATGCATCGGACCATCAGTCTGGATTACGGCGTCGTGCTCGAAGGCGAGGTCGAACTCCTGCTGGACAGTGGACAGAGCCGAGTGATGCGGAGGGGCGATGTCAGCATACAAAGAGGCACAAGCCATTCGTATCGCAACCGGAGTGACACGGACTGGTGCCGGCTGCTGTTTGTGTTTTTACCTACAGGTCCATTAACGGTTGGAGGGAAAGAGTTGAAGGAGGAGTGGTACGATGAGTGGGGAGAAGAAAAACAGGAGGAAGAGAAACAAGGAGAGAAACAAGAGGAAGGAAAACAAGAGGAAGGGAAGCAGGAGGAAGAAAAACAAGACAGTGAAAAACAAGAGGGAGAGAATCAAGAAGAAGGAAAACAGGAGGAAGGAAAACAAGAAGAAAAACAGGAGGATGGAGAGCAACAAGGCGAAAAGCCAGAGGATCAAAAACAGGAAGATGGAAAGCGGCATGGTCCACTGGAAAAGGCCAAGTCGAAGATATCGGCATTGAAGTACAGCTGACTCGACTACATTCTACTAAGAATTTGTTTACAATAATATAGCCGGCTAAGTTCTGAACTGATTATATTCTCAGCACGTCCTGTAAATACAAAAAAAAAACAAATAGCAACCTCCGAAATTCAAAATCTAAACTTATCATCCACGTTCAACGTATAACACGATGCATTACCTTTCCAGGGACAGGGGGACGAAGTGTTTGCCTTGGAGAAATGGACGGGTCTTTGATAGCAGAGGGTAGGATCTATACATGTATACATGTACATGTAATGTACATACATAGTAAGCATCGCATGCGCGAAAATAGAGACTTCATCCTGAAATAAACACTATAAAAAAAGAATAAAACTATGATTGGAATTGGGGAGAGGTGTAAATGCTCAGACAAGGGTTGCTGGCAGGACAGGAATCAACATTTTTCACCTCGTAAAGAGATATCATCGAGGATTTTACCTGTAAGGAAATAAATCTAATTCCAACAGCAAAAGTAATGGAATAAGAGGCTATTCTTATACTTGCTCTCATATTTGACCAAGTGATGCAAAGCCATCTTTGCTCCATCTTGCCGACAATTCAGATACACGCTCATCAAGTATACAGCAAGCAGATAGCTACTGGTGACCAAGTGGAAAATTAATTGTTAGACTATCTGACGAGGTGGCATGCCTCTGAAGTCTGGATAACAACACTATCTTTTTTTCCCTGGACTATCTTGGATGAAAAACAATCTGGACCCTCATGTGCTGCACAAATCTCATTCCCCCTAAGATTCAATCGAAACATCTTGACTTCACAGATGACTGAAATGAATGCATGCGCCTCATCCTTCCTCGTATTGGGAACGACCACTTAAGTTATCGGTTTGAAAACATCTGCCTTTGACTCCTTGTTCAAACTTTCTTGTAGCTTCTCACATTTAGTCCCTGCTCGCTGTCCATGATCTTCGCAACGGCTTCCATTAGCTTGATTTTCGGCGCGCCGCACTTAGGGACAGGAGCCTGATACTCAAAAGCGTTGACTCGCTCGAAACGCCTATAGTTGCCTTCAGCAGTAAAATGTAATGAAGGGATGCGCAAATTTTTGACCTCTTCAAAGAGATCATTTACCGACACCTCCCTCAATTTTTCTCCGGTATCTCCGTATGCTAGCTGGTGTAGTTTGTTCAGTGCCATTGAAAAGGCCCCCAGAACCATCATGTCACATTCCTCAGTGCATTTGACCACATTGGAGCAGTCGTAAGTGCTTTTCATCTGAACGACCTCATTGAGAATGCTAGAGATCAACTGTTCTCTACGAGCGTTGATCTCTTCTATTTTGGCATTATAAGTCTACGTGCTCATCATGTTTTATTGGTGACACACTTACCGAAGACAGCAGAAGAGGCAGGTAGTCGACTCCCAATTTGGGGTGTTCGCGCTTGCAGAATCAGCTTCCTTGTTGCCAACTGGAAAACCTTTTCGCTGCCAAAAATTAAGGCAACCTCGAGGCAGAATTTGTAGTAATCTGTATTGGTACGAAACTCTGTCGCTGGACTCGCCCGGTTGCCGTTCTGCGGAGACATCCATGTCTCAGTGTAGGAGTGGACAACCTCATGGAGTTGATATTTGTCCACCAAAATAGCTATTTCGCCTATAAGGCCTCTCGTAATGGCCTTTGGCACGCTAAAAAATTTTCCATGAATGAGGTTCATCAAGATCAACATTGCTTCACCGTTGTCATCAGGAAGCATCAATTCAATAGCTCCTGTCTCTGCCAGAGCTTTCCCCTCTGCGAAGTTTCCTCTGAGCATCGCTTTGAATACCGGTGAGGCCAGGGTGAGATGTGGAGAAGATACTTGGATCTTCATGGCATAGCCACATTTTCCGGGAATAAGAGTCACATCTCCGTTGGGATCGACAACATGGACAGTATCCGATTTCTGATTATCCTTTTTTGGCGTGGTCTCACTATTAGGCGCTACTGTATTCAATGGATCGGAAGTCATGTTGATGATTTCAAAGCGTCAGTGACACAGGCGTTCAACTGGAGGATGCGTCGCTAAATATTGACCTGGGGCGATTTCAACAGGGTGATCCGGTTTAATCGTGCTGTTTCAAGGTTAGAGGCAGTTAGATAATGCCAAATAGAACTCACACCTTCTTTGTCTTGAGATTTTCTGGCAAAAAAATATGTGCTAACAGAGAAAATACCTGCCAATGTGACGAAGATGTAAAGACAGAAAGGTATTTCTTTGAAATTGACAAATACGAACTGTAAAGTATCGAGGGAAGTTTTGGCTTGACGTGGTCAGAATATGAATTTTTAGTGATGGCAGTGAGGTGGGTGAATGGATATTGGCAGCGCACCACGTGAGAGATTGCCTCAATTTGAACGTTTGAAGATTAAGGAAAGAGAGAGTTGAATCTGAAACGTACGAGCCCACGCAGGACTTATGGCTTAATCCCTCTGAAAGGAATCAATATCCGGGCATTCGACGGCCAGGAAGATGGAATCTCGTTGTGTCCGCAAAGAAAGCGAGCCTGAAGGTTGAGCGAAGAACCGGATCATAAAAGATGGTCAAGTAGAGGTCGAGATTAGGGAAGAAAGACCAGTGACTGAGGTCGTGATTGCGACAACAGAATAACAAGAGGTCGCTACTGCTCCCAAGCCCTAGCCCTTGGCCCTAAGCCCTGAGCTGGCCTAGCAGGTGACCTTCTTATGTAAACACCGTCAGGGAAGGAATCCTGTCAGTACGATAATTTCAAATGTTCACGTAGATATACTAAGATGGTCTTCTCCTTTAGTGAGAATAACTTGAACCTACTTCATTCATCATCAAGACGAGCACTCTCTGGAACAGAAGCAAATATCTTTCTGTATCTCTACTACGTTACTCCTTCAGCGATTAGTGGGCATAATTACTCGACAAGTACGGGGATAGATAACCACTCCAGATCTAACTTCTAGAGATATATGTGTTTGTGTCAACAATAAAAAACATATAACTAGGGTGCGCAGCTCGATTTCACGAGATCCATTCCATTCTGCGTATCTCTATATTCTCGAAGCAGTATATAAATCCAGAACTACTATCAAGCACATTACTATGAGAATCCTACTTGGCAACTAGTTGTACATTTATATACTTATAAGAAAACCCATATTGTTGGCTGTACTACTTATTTATATCCCAATCTTACTAATATGTTCAGATTTAGTAGAGTATAAACGAGACATGTCTTCGCTCATAGAGAAGTCCATTATCCTGTTGCTGAAAGAGGCTCCTCCTGGTTGATTGTCCGGCAGAATGGCGTTTGTTGTCGTGGCCTTGCTGTGCTGATGGTGTAGCTGACTCTAAAGCTGTATTTCATAGTAAACAGTCAGTGGACCTTGAACAACAGCCAAAATGTCAGTTTGTTAAAACCAGTCTTAACTTGTGTCTCAGGTTCAACCATCTGTATATAGGATTCAACAGGGGCAATCAGCCTAACAGGATGGTCAAAAAAATCCACTGTTAAGTGAGATTAACATAAAATATGAGGTATTCACTAAGGAGCAACTAATAACTAAAAAATATGAAGTACCGTCCAACGGTCTCCAGCAAGGTTGATAGAGACAAGAAGCTTGCTTTGTCTGACCTGTCAAATCAAATTCACCCCTGTGTAATCTGATATCCTTTGTGACAGATCAAGATTGCTCCAGTCACCGATTGCTCTAATTCAAACGGGTCTGTATAGATTAAGTTTCTTTGTTGACGTTGTACTACAAAGAGTTCTTGGTCGACGGAGCTAAATAATATTCCGAGCATGGATGCTCGCATAAATGACTGATCGACATGCAGGATTGCAGCCAGGGGTCTAGACTCGGGGATTGTACTACCATGCAGCATATTATGGACTAGACACACCACATCTGGATACCGTGTAATTATTTTGGTTGATCTCTTTTCTGAAAAGCTGACTGCGGCGTACAAGAATGCGTAAATTTCAAAGACATACAAAGCCAAACTCCACAGGTGGATTCAGAGAGGAACTAGACGCATCATGCTATAACTAAGCGGGCCCTTGCATGATTATCAGTTGTCACCCCACTAGTCGAGAGTGGCAGAAAAACCACATATGGAGGACATGATCTCAAAGCGCAAGGTAATGACTCTGGCAATAACAGAGTGGATTTTTCCATTGTGGTTATCCCTTCTAAGTACGAAAAGCAACATACAGATGAAACAGGTAAAGAGAGAGAGAAGCAGTTCCAGATGAGGCTTATAAATGCTTATCTCCGATAAGCCAGATGGCACGTGGGGCCGGAATTATTCCGGAGTATGCCCCGCCGCGGCTGTCACTGCAGTCGGAGTTGGCACCGCAGTCAGTTCAGACATTCCAGTAACAGCCTTGTCCAGATGAACGCTTGGACGTACTGACAGTCTGGACTTGCTTGTTTGTGAATGTTGTATATCTCTCCTGGCGATAATGATTGGTCATTTGGTTGAGGTTCTTCCAGCTAACTAGAGACCTTTGTTTCTTTGTCAGCACTGTCCATGTTGCATTCATAGATTAAAATCTCACCATCTCTTTTTTTTTCTGACAGCACCTGCAGTGTGAACTGAAGAGCTCTCCAATCTGAACAGGAAGATCGTGGCTTTTTTTCTCTGTGACTTAGAGCCTGTTAAGTCCCCGTTAACACCTCGCACACGCGATTCAATCAACATGGATCGCGAGCAGTTTAGAGCTGCGGCCCACGCAGCCATTGATGACAGTAAGTTAGACAAGACACTTCAGTCGTCTCCTAAAAATGCAGCTATGACTGTGAACAACGACGCTGCACATCCATTCTGAGCGCTTGCTCACTCACGAATCTAGTCACCGACTATTTTGATACCCTCCCCTCTCAGCGCGTCGTGTCCACAGTCGAACCAGGTTATCTGCGCCCTCAGATTCCTGAGAACCCACCTGAAGAGCCTGAAGAATGGTCTCAGATCCAGGCGGACATTGCTTCCAAGATCAAGCCGGGCCTGACTCACTGGCAGTCGCCCAACTTCATGGCATTCTTCCCGTCCGGCGTCAGCTATCCTAGCATCCTGGGTGAGATGTATTCCGCCGCATTCAACGCTCCTGCATTCAATTGGATTTGCTCGCCCGCCTGTACAGAGCTGGAGACCATCATGATGGATTGGCTTGGCAAAGCATTGGCACTCCCAGAGTGCTTCCTGAGCACGTCCGCAAATCGCGGTGGTGGAGTGATCCAGGGCAGCGCTAGCGAGTCGGTGGCGACGATGTTGATCGCCGCTCGCGAACGCCGCGTCCGTGAGAAGGCGCTGGCTGAGGGCCTCAAGGAGGGCACCAGGGAATACGAAGACCGAATCATGGACCTCAGGCCGAGACTCGTCGCCCTCGGGAGCGACCAGGCTCACAGCAGCATTGCCAAGGCCGCTCTGATTGCGGGGACCAGGTTCCGTTCAATCCCTACCAAATTGGAAGATAACATGGAATTGACCGGAGAGGCGTTGCGTGCGGTGCTGGAACAGTGCGAAAAGGACGGGCTCGACCCGTTCTTCATCACGCTGAACATGGGAACCACCAATTCTTGCGCGGTGGATCGCTTCGCGGAGATCAAGGCGGTTCTGAAGGAGAAGGAGTCGTGGCAGAGGATCTGGGTGCACATCGATGCGGCGTTTGCGGGCGCAGCTCTCGTCGCAGACGAGTATCAGCCGATCACGCAGAACTTTGCCGAAGGCGTGGACAGCTTCAACATGAACATGCACAAATGGCTGCTTGTCAATTTTGATTGCAGGTAGGTGTCTCCGTCAGGGTTATTTATTTACGTGCTGTTCTCTAACTTCAACAGCTGTCTCTTCGTGCGCAACCGTCACGACCTGACAAACGCCCTTGACATGACACCGACTTACCTGCGCAATCCGTACTCTGACCAGGGCATAGTCACCGACTACCGGAACTGGCAGATCCCCTTGGGACGACGCTTCCGCGCTCTGAAGGTCTGGTTCGTCATGCGCAGCTACGGTCTGAAGGGACTGAAGGCGTACATTCGAAGAACCATCGGGATTGGCAACATCTTCGCGAGCCTAGTACGCGAGAGGGCCGATCTCTTCGAGATTGTCACCAAGCCAGCCTTTGCCCTGACGGTGTTGCGCGTGCGGAATCCGACGAACCTAACTGCCACCAACGGCGCGAGCTCGGACAAACCTCATCATGCCCCCCAAGTCGACGAGACATCGAACGCTCTGACCAAGAAAGTCTACGAGCTGATCAACTCGCGCGGAGAAATCTTCCTCACCTCAACCGTCGTCGCCGGGATCTACGCCATCCGCGTGGTGAGCGCCAACCCGGCTGCAGACGAGCAGCACATCCGCCGCGCGTTTGACATTCTCGTCAGCACTACGGAAGAGGTCCTCCGCGAGGAGGCTGGAAATGATAAAGCCTGACGATTCAGCAGCATACTTACGTACGGGCATACATATGCATACATACATACATGCACGCATGTACATACATGTACAGTACATACAGTATATAGATAGATAGAACCTTATGTTCTCTCTGTCTCTTTGTCTGTCTCTCAACTCAGAAAACAAAAAACAGAAAACAGAAAAGAAAAGAAAGAAACAAACTCCACTTCTTTTTGATATTAATAGTACAAATTAATAGTACATGCAGACTAATAAATGAAGAATAATAATTACTTCCCCACTTCATTTATTTATACCTGTTTTTTTTTCTTTACTGACTTATTAAGTCAAGAACAAGAGTGAAATGTGTTATGTTGCTATGTAACGTCCAATGTATTAGTCCATAATAGTTCGCCATATTACCGAAGTAAGTGTCTGATTGTAGTCTGCACTATGGATGCATATATATATCCAAGTTCTCTTAAGGCTTAAGAGTCTTCCGATCAAAATCAATCAAATCGTTCCTGATTATTACATATGTATGTGCAGTAATTATGTATATGCCACCACCTCCCTCTCATATGCCGCCGCCGCATCGCCTATGGGCTGAATGAGCGTATAACTCGCCGGCGAATCCTGCTGTTGCACGCCATTTGTCATGAACAGCGGCGTCATCTCTCCGTCTTCGCTGAAGAACAGCTGAGGCCGCTCCCGGCGGTAGTAATTGATGGTCGTCCCGTCGGTGAAGTTGACCTCCGTGGTGAACGCAACTGTGTGGTTGTTGAATGTCCAGGGTCCGTCCCACGACCGGGCGTATGCGTGACGGCCGACGTTGGGTCCGCTGCCAAACCCCCCGTCTGGCAAGAGGGAGTGTGTCAGCAGGTGGAAGTTCCCTCGTTTGTCGCGCCATATGAAAGGATCTTCGTTCGGTTCGGGGAAGATGGGATTCGCGTGGGCGCGTGTATATGGTCCCGTGAAGTGAGGTGCGTTGGCGACGTTGAGGAGTTCGGGGCCATTGCAGTTGTAGGGACAGCCGCGGTAGGCCAGCACGATAGCATCCGTTTGGTTGGACCCGGAGTAGAGCGGAAATGGCGAAGGGTTAGTGGTGTCCGCATCCCAGGTCCCGTTCGTGTCGCCGGGAAAGACCTGGCCGTGAGACGTCCACTGATAGAGGTCCGGAGAAGACCAGACGGAGATGCCACTCTCACCGTTGATATCGTTCCCCGGCCCACAGGTAAAATCCACTGTTTGGCATGTGTCCGGCACAGTGATCGGACAGCCGATGTTGTACAGCAGATATAGCTGGTCTGCTTCGCTGTATATCACCGTCGGGTTGTGCGCAAAAGTTCCCACGATCTCCGCCTCGAAGTCGTAAGGTCCTGCCGGTCCATGAATCGACTTGGCTCGGACGATCCGACTGTACGGAGACCAGTAATCGAGGCCGCAGCCATGCGTGAACTCCGCGACGAAGAGATGGAACACTTGACGGTCCGAAGGGTCGTGGACGATTTTGGCTCCCCAGGACGACGTACCTTCCCCCGTCAGATTGTATCCTGTGTTCTTCGTCGCTGGTCGAAGATCGAGCTCGCCGCAATCGGCGCCGCGCCAGCCCGGGTCACAGACACAGACGTTAGCTGGCGAACAGATGCCATTGAGATTGCAGTCTTCGTCGCTGGTGCATGCTTGCGTTGGAACCGAGAGGAGAAGGACCAGAAGAAGCAACAAGCGCTGCACGGAATTCATCCTGCTGGCTCATTCAAGATACCGAAAGCGGACAACAGACCTTTGTTCCAGCGTCATGGACGCTAATGTCAAAGAATAGGAACCAGCCATCGCATCTGCTAGGAGTTGCTCCGGATTTTATATCGATGTTCGCCGTCAATTCAATCGTTGAGTTGATGCGGGGTAGGTTCTATAGTTGACCGAGAATCAGTCCGTAACCCCATGCTCGGGATAATGTTAGATCGTATCTGCTTTTGCGGGGGATCTAGGGACCAACCTCAGCTGCTAATCAGCTTGTGCAGGCTTATGCACAACCCGTGACCAAACAACCCTAGTTGCTGTTGAGCACATCCTCTGCCGTGAAAGGACGAAAGAGATGGCTGGTCAATCCGAAGAACTTCTGTACAAAAAGCTGATAAACATGCTGAGAGATAGAACAGATAGACGCGAAGGCAAAGGGCTCTATTCGTAGTTTCGAGGACCACTCTCCCAACCATTTTCTCCAATCTCCATGGTGCAGGAACCAAGGAAAATAGAAGCATGAGAATAATAATGCATATTGCAGATGCAGTCAATTTGACGTTTCAACAAACACGGTTGTCGGTCTGCCTTTAGAATTCCTCTAAAGATACTCGGCATGTCATCATGTCGGGAGGAAGGCGAATATATACGAATAGATATAATATAATATATTCAAACAGATATCGACTGTCTAACGACAATCTATATACAGTATATATACAACAAATACATTAGATCATCTTCGTTCCAATCTGTTCACCCGCCGAGCATGCAGTCCAGCCAGAGCCGGGCTACCGACGCCTCGCACCGGGATTTTTCGCTTGGAAATCCCGCCTGAGGGTTGCTCGCCAGAATCGCCCACTCTGCAACCGTCGCGCCAGTGCCGTTCTGGGCCTGCACGTCACTCTCGCTGAGCGCTTGGTTGCCAGTGATATACAGAGTGGCATAACGCGGTACCGGGACGGGCTGGGCCAGGGTCACGTTGGTGGTGTTGCTGCTCGGAAGCATAATCGCATCGGCACTGTTGGCCTGCGGGTTATAGGGACTAGACAGGGTGATGTTGTTAATGTTCGTGACGAAGTACTGCCCGCCAGCCGATGCAGACAGTGGGTCCTCCGATGTATCGTTGTGGAAGACCACGGTCGCATTGACAGGCGGTGCCTGCGCCCAATCGAAGTAGAAGCCCGACACCATGGTTCCCGACTCAGACTGAGGAAGAGACACCGTCAGGGAACTGGTGTTGGCAGCAGAGGACGGTTGCCACTTGGTTGATGCGGCTCCATCCACGGCAGCCATGGGATACTGGCCAGGCTCATAGCTGTCCTGGGATTGGACAGGCTGACACTGAGCAAGGTTGCCAGGGACCGTAAGCTTCGACCCGACCTGGCGGTTGGGAACCGTCAGCTGCCCATTGACAGGAAGCTGGTACACAGTCACGTTCTTTCCAGATCCGACCTGGACAGGAATCGCCGTCTTGGCAAATCGCTGGTCCGCAGTGTCAAGCGCCTGCACATGCGCAGCTCTTCTGAGCGTGGTGTGAGTGTAGTTGGAGCTTGCCTGGATCGGCCATCCACGCCAGTAGAAAGTACGATACTTGACATGAGGCACCTGCGGAGGCAGGTTCGGGTCGATGTGAATGACATCATCGGGAAGCAGGCGCAGACCAAGATACCCATAGATGACGACCTGGTTAGCTCCACCGTGGCCGGTCAAGAAAGGGTATGCCGGGTGGGTTCCGCCGTTCAGAGTATAGTCATCGACCAGCTGCTCAGAGAACTGGAAGAAAGGTGCGCGAACGTATGGATCGTACGAGTACTGGGCATAGGTGTACACAGAGCAGCCGGAAGGTGACACCTCATTGGCGACAATGGAGAAGATGGCGTAGGTCATGCCGGGCCCATCGGGGGATTGTTTGAGGGCGTACTTGATAGGATGTCAGCGATTGATTTACTTTTGATCGAGACGTCAGATACTTACGTAGTCCAAGTCATCCAAGGCATCGGTGGAACTGTAATTGGAGGTGTAGTCAAGCGGATATGTCACCAGAACCACATCTGCTTGTTTGACCTGGACACTGTTGTTCATGGTCGTGTACTCCAGCGTAACATCATTCTCACGCAGGAGAAGGATGTTGGAGGCCATGTCCGTCCATGTGTTATTCTGCTGGATTCCAAATTGCTTCCGGAACGAGTTGGCATAGAGCAACGTCTGCGCGATCAAAGGCATGGTGTAGCCACCTGCGTCCACTGCATTGGCATATTCGTCCTGAGAACAATAATTAGTGACAATTCCAGAAAAGCTTTGCAAAGCTAGAAGTCTTACAGGATCAGTCATGTTCGTCAGCGTCCAGTGAGTTCCGTTCGGCTGCAGCAAATCCGCATACAGCGTGGCGATTGAATCATAGATCGGGAAGTAGGACTCCTGGAACGTCTTGGTATCCCCGCTGGCCACCCACTGATTGATCAAAGAGAGGCCAATGTCGCCATTCAGGTGATATTCATAGTCCCAGCAGGGACCAGTGCCGGTGCAGTTTCCATAACGCCCGCTCGTCCAAGGGTATACGGCTGCCGAATCAGAGAACCAGGTCTCGTTCTTCGAACTGGTAAAGGCAGTCTTAACGTTCCGACGGGCTTGCTGGTACTTGGCCACGCGGTAGTTGGGGATGCGCTGGGCTGCTTTGGGGAAAGCAGCAGCCAGACCAGGATGCATCCACAGATCTGCGTCCCAGAAAATGAGGCCAGCGTAGGAGTCAGACGTCAGACCACCCACCGAGATACTCCACTCATTGACGGGCGCGTTCGAGATTTCTTTCAGAGCGTTCTCACCGACGGTGTTCTGGAGGAGGTAGTACGGGTTGACCACGGCGGTGATGGCGGACTCGATGATGAAGGGGTCCTGGGGGAGGGTGCCGTTTTCGGGGAAGGTAAAGTCGTCCACGGACTCATCCGGCATAACAGCTGCCCATTCTGCGACATGAGAGTGCAGCAAGGCGTCATAGCCCTTCTTCTTGGCTGTCAGGGCTGCGTCCTTGGCGGTCTGCTGCGGGTTCGGGAAAGCGTCGGACGAAGCAGCACCGACGAACTTGGTGATGGTCACGGTCTTCCCGGAGCGGAAACCCACATTGACTGCCTGGGCAATCGACGAGTCGTTGGTATGGATGTAGGGCTTATTGTTCACAATGGCCGACGAGGACAGATCCACGCCATTGCTCCCATCCAAGACCGTGTAGATGTACGCCGTCACATTGCTGATGCCCCATGGTCGAACTGCGGAGTAAATGGCATCGCCGTCCTTCCCGGAGCCCACAAAGTCGGTGCGAACAGCCGAATAGCCATCGATCACATTGACGACCGTGGCATTGGTGTTCGTCGAGGGCGTGATGTCCAAGCGCACGACAGCCTGGTTGACGTAGAGCTTGTGGGCGAAGAGGCTGTAGTTGATCTTGAACGACCCTTTGTTGCCCTTGGGCGTCCATGTGTAGGACCAGGACAGAATGCCAGCCTTGTAATCATAGACGGTGCTGTAGTCGGAGATGGTCGAGCTGTCGACCGTCGCATCCAGATAATTGCCGTCACCCAGGTCGAGGACCAAACCACTCCAATGCGGAACACCGCTGATGACGCTCTCTCCGCCATACTGGTACAGCCACGGGAAGTTGGTACCGTTGGTTCTTGGCTGCTCATCGTAGAAGCCAGCGATGGTGGCAAAGGTCTGCCGCCTCGAAAACAGGGGCCAGCCATTGATCACGTCGCCGTCGACCGGCGTATCCAGCTCGAAGAAAGGACCGGCGCTCGCAACGTTGATTCCGACGTAGCCATTGGCGATCGATCCTCGAGACTGGTAGTGGCCCTGGTCGAGAACGGTGCTCGTGAGACGCCAGTTGTGCTGGTCCCAAGTGACACCCGGGAATCGGGTCTCGTAGGTTTGGCTTGCGTTTCCCGGATTGCCGTCGCGCACCTGCAGACCGTGGGGCCTGCTGTACGCCCTCACCACCTGCGCCACGCGTTCTTCCAGGGGGAGACACGAAGCAGGCAGCGAGAGCAGAAGCAAACTCAGAAGCTACGAGAGGTGTCAATTGAGATCTCTTCTCCAATCTATCTGCCAAAACACTCACCTTGGACTGCATCTTCGCGCTAATGGCCGTTGCGGCCGTCTAGAGACCTTCTTCAGTTCACAGAAGCTATCCTCCACAATCAATGCCTTGCTAGGACACTGAAGAACTACGGGGCATATTCCAATGTCTTGGGAACTCCCCCTGCCTGCTGGGATTCAATCAGAAGGCAGGTCCAGGAGCTTGGAGTAAGATCCTGGTTTAAATACGTCCGCACACAGGACCCGTCAGCCATGAGGTGCTCGTATTCGCTACTAGCGCAGGAACTAAGCTGGGGACAAAATGTCAATTGAGTTTAATTACCCCGTGCATGTCTTACTCAGAGCACGGCGGCCCGAGCGATGGCGGCCTGCGTCACGGACGGGGTACAAATCAATCCAAACCCGTGTTATTGAGCACCGAGCAGCCATGGAAATTGCCTCCGAACGTTCTGGAAGTCGGCCATTGTTCGAGGCAGCCGAAAGCGTCGAAGCGCGAGCATCCTTCAGGATCGAGGCGGAAATCGCCGCCGGGCTGTCACGCGGGCGCCGAACCGTCGTTGGCAGCCACGGGGGCCGTGGATGGCCCGTTGCGGGGAAGGCGCCATGGCATTAGCCGGAACAGGAAGGCGCGGAGACCCCACGCCACAGGGAGCAGTGCCGGTGAAACATCTTCACGTTCTGCAGAGAGGCATTTTGCACAGGAAACTGCTTGTGCGTCATTTTCTTTATCTTTAATTTAATTAATTGAAATCATGGCAGAATGATTTTGCACACAGATTCTAGCGTCCTGCCTTCCCTTCCTCCGCGTTCCGCACCTTCCGCTTGATTATGTAAATTTCCCCGGCAATTGCCCGCCACCAACCCCCGGAAAGGAAGGAGCACGAGGGGCTCCGCAGAAAAAACAATCCCGACGGCTTCTCGGCCTCCCGGTCTAGCACGGAAACGGATTTGCTGGCAGCCTGGCACCTGACGTCCTCCGGGTCCCCGAAAGTAGCCGGAGAACCGAGTGCGTCCATCTACGTAATAACAATTATTATTGTTATTAAGTATATCTGAGTAGCAGCAGGTGTGAGAAAGACAATACGAAGCTGCAACGAATAATAATGCAAAGGCAGAGCCCATGATGCAAAGACTGAAGTGCGTTAGCAAAACTATGGCTGACAGCCATAGTTCCGTGCACTGCAGCCAGCCTCTGAGCTGCAGGAACCGTGAAGAATGCTCCAATTACAGACATGAAGATATGCAAACTGGAATCTTAGTTTTGACCGGATAGATGTCTCTGGTCTATAACAGATATCTGTGCTCTAGAAAGAAGGAAACCCTAGTTCAGGTGTTAACGAGCCTCATGGGTAATGGATTTCATTAATAAACCCGAGTCGTAGAGCTCCTTTTTGAAAAAGCAAGCTCGACCATTTTTGTAAAGCACAGTAAAACCGAGGGAATCCAGGCGCTTCGCTCTTTTCCTTCAGCAGCGGATATCCTTGCAGGACGTAACCCCAAAGCAGCTGGCAAGTTGCTGTCATGGTGATATCCATGCAGATCCACTGTACGCCTAACTTGGACATTTCTCAACCTCCGTTCAGGTCGCTGGATGGCGCGTCTTCCCTCGACTGGGCGACAGCTAAGCATAGGGTTCGCAGCCACTACAATGGCTGGTGAGCTGTTGTTGCGCGAGTCCTAGAAAAACGACTGCTCTGCAACCCTCAACCGACTGCATCTTCCACTTCATCTTCGCTGTCGTCCGCTCCATCGACATTCCGCGAAGAACTTCCAGCACCACTGTCACAAAGCCTGTTGTGGCTCCGCCTCTTCCCCTGCATGTACCGCTCCGAGGACGTGATAGCCCTCTCCCCAACGAACTTGTCACCCGGCCATGGTGCCTTACACACTGGACACTGCTCTGCCTGTTGCATACGGAAGAAGTTACGCATGCACGTATCATGGAGGCGCCCGGGACAGTCGCGGTTGGCACAACGTTGGCCCTTTACAATCCCAGCAACCGTTAGTGACCTTATAGCATGCGAGTTCGTAGATTAAGATAGAGCCACTCACCACCGTAAGAATATCTTTGCATGCTGCGCAGAACTTGATCCGATTTGCCCGGTGCCCGTCCTCATCTTCGTCGTTGTATGTCTCCACCAGCCATCCTCGCAATTCCATGAGCCCCCGCGGGCTGAGACTGTAAAAACCTTTGCTGCTTTTCTCGAACCACCCCTCCTCGACCAGTCGATTCATCATGGTTTCTGCTTGCGACATACTCAGGGACTGCGCTGCTCCACCCTGGCTGGCCTGCGTGGCCGCGCCATTCGATTCTCGCCGGTTCGCATCGCCGGAAGCTCTGGCGAGCTGCATTGCCTGTATTCCCGTCACAACCATAGCCTCACAGCGCCGCGTGTTGTACGTCTCAAACATGGCATCCAGGACCCGCTTCACAAACGCAATTTCATCCGGGGTGTAGGTCGTCGCCAGCTGGGTGAGAGGGTCGCTCGTAGTGTTAACGAGTGCGTAGACACGGTCAGGGGCAGCATGTCCTGTCCCGTCACGATTTGCCTTAGGTTTCTGATCGATCATGCTCCGAATTTCGAGATCGAAAGGAGAGATAGCAGTGTTCGCTGCAGTAATGTAAGATGAAAAATCCGCCGGTGTGATATCCTCGGGAAGGACCTCACGACCCTCTAAAAAGACACAGGGAAGTTAGCAATATTTTCAGAGGGAAAAAAAAAGTGAAATCGTATGTCAACGCACCACGAGCCGAGAATATAGCTGCGAGCACCGGCTTCGCTTCCTCGAAAGTCATCGTCGAGCGGGCCATGAAGGCCTGCAGAAAAGCGCGGTTGCTGTCATTGTACCCGTCCTCATCCAAATCATTGGCCATCGTGGATGAAATCAAATTTATGTGGCAAGACTTCACTCTTATCTAAGAAAAAAAGAAAAAAAGTATTTATTTGAGGCGTCGCGGGGTATGAAGTAATTACTTTGGTTGAATGTTCTGACGCGGGAGACGCGTTCCGTTCCGCTCTTGCGTAACAGCGCCGCCGCTAGAGACCCAGTCCTAAAGCTACAAATATTCCCAAAAAGGAAATCACAAGAACATCAACTTTCCTGTACTGAGATATAGGAAAGCTCACACCAGGGGTCCACCCTCCCGGGACCCGCAGGTGCTACGAAAACCCCCACCTATGCTTTTGGCGGGCAGGGATTTTACTAGACCAGTAGTGTTAGGAGATAAGGGGAGGGCGGAAGTGGATTTTTTTGTAAGGTGACAGAGGGATTCGAACCCAGGCCGTTCATCTGGACTGTCAGTAGGTATAAGAGACTTAGGCTACTTAACCACTGCACCATCGCAGCCCGGGTTGTTAATAATAATGGGGATTTGGAGATTATATGCCCTGCGAGTGGTTGGACGCCTGGGTGTGATCAGCTGACTCAATGGCATTGTTTACACTAGGCTGAAGACAGCTCAGGCCAGGAGATATTTTACAGGCATGTTTGCTTCTGGCTGTTCAAACACTCAGGCCGCTCACGTCTGCTGAAGTCTTGACACCGTCCACCATTTCCGCGACCACCTTTCCAGTCCCCAAGGACAAGGAGATGCCCCAAGGCCCATGCCCGGTAGCAACAAAGACTCCTCCCTTCTCCCTTCCAGTCCGCGGAGACTTGGACTTCACGCCTATTCCAAGCAAGTCCTCGCTGATCCGGGAGATGACGGGTCTCCCGCTTATTGTCACTGGCCGAAAACACAGCCCTTCCCGCAGAACTTCGAGGTCGTCCACATTTGGAATGTCGTCTGACGCTTCCAGATTGCCTTCTGCTAGTCTACCCATCAATCGCACTGCCACTGCTTTCAGCTCTTGGATCTTCTGTTTGTCCATGATTTCTCGAGATTCCTCCGCCTGAGAGGGGAGAGGAATATCCGAGCTGTTTAAACCGGCGATATAAATCTCTGCACCTTCACGAGAAAACACCTCAGGACTGAAACCACAGTCTCGAGGATGCGTCGTGAAAACGGCATGGCTTCGTCCCCTGTAAGTGTCATGCTCATGCACGAGGGTATGGCGTGGTGAACGTAGGACGAGGGAATAGCCAGCCAATGCAGAGACATTCAGACGGAGCTTCGCTGAAGGGAAAAGACTATTGAAGACGCGAGACGTCCAAGGTCCAGCACAGATGACCAGATTCGTACACGGAATGACAGATTCAGTCTGAGAGACAGAGTTCAATACCTTGACAGCGCTGATGGCATTTGTATCCCGATCAGTCACTACTGAAATCACCTGTGCTGGGTGATGCCATTTAACCCCTCGAGAGACAGTGGTTTCCATAAGATATTTACAAAGCCTCAGAGGATCCCTGCAGACTGTCAGCCAACCATGCCGAGAGTCACAGAAGATTTAGGGACAGGGAAAAAGAACTCACACTTGAGCAACAGTGCCTTCATCGCTAATCGGTTCGACACGACCACCCTTCTGCTTCGTCAACCAAGCCGGTGCTTCTTCCATCACGGTCGTTGAAGATTCCTCTCCTTTCGCTGCAACTTCTGCCCGGCTCGTTCCCTCTCGCAGCCAATCGTCTCCTCGGCATGCGGTCCGTTTCGCTCTGCCATCGTTAACATCCAAACTGAGTGCAGTGCTCTGCATGTATCCCCATTTTTCCTTGCCACCATTTTCAGCGGCCAATTGGTGATGCAGATCAAATGAGAGAGCGCCCAGAGGAGCAACTGCAGGTGAGAACCAGTCCTTCGCGAGGAAGCCAGCAGCGTAACCAGATGCGGCGCTGAATAGCTGCGAGGAGGACTCGATGACATGGACCTCATGGTCCTTGTAAGGAGACGAGTCGTTGGTAAGGAAATAGGCTACGGAGGAGCCGATTATACCTCCGCCGATAATAACAGTCGACATGTCGGAGTTGTGGGTGACGAAGAAAGATAATATAGTTGAACTCGATCAAAAGATATAGAAGTTCAAAGAGCAGTTTTCTCTCGACCAACCTCAGAAATATATATTGTGATACTGCCGCCAACGCAGACGCTTCTCAAATCATAATCGCCAGAGTCAGAGGGGACATATATAAATACACCCACTATTACACAATGAACAAAAAAAGACACAAAGTTAACCAATAAGTAAAATGGGGTCTCCTGAATAGATGTCACAGGGCGTGGTAGAGATGTAATTAGTAGATAGCGGGATAGCCGGACTTAAGGCCGATCGATGGTCATGATTCCATTTTCCGTGGAAAACAAGTTGATTTCAGTGAAGAGGGCCGTCGGAAAAGGTTCATCAATCGAAATGTAGGAATTCTTTTTTATTTCCCTCCATCCGGGGTTGCAATAATTATCATTCGATTAGAATATCACAAGCAAGCCGCTCGCTTCTTCTGTTCTGTCCTGTTTAATAATAATAACAACCCCGCCATGGATCCGATACATGGCATATGACGATGAAGTTTTCCCCACTGTCTCGTTTCCCTTCTCGGGATTCCCGCCACCACCACAAAAAAGTTGCAAAGAGAGAGGGTACTAGGTAGGTACCCGGCGAATAATACGGCGAGCTTTTCTTACACCGCTGACGTTTGCGCAAAGTGGAGTTGCTTATTAGGTTAGGTACCTAGTAAACCTTGTTTGTTCGTGGTGGGAGGATTTTCTTCCAGGACGCAACTAGGTTAACGTTATCAATCACCCTGAATACATCCTGGATACATAACATCCTGCCCATTAATCAAATCGATCCATTCATTCATTTCAAAGGGGAGAAAGAAAATATTATTTACTGCGACACGATTCGACAGCGTTAAGGTACGCTACCTACCGATCCATCCCTGCATTACGGTACGGTGCTGAAAAAAAAGACTCGATCAAGATCTCGACAGCATAGATAAAGTTACCAACCAGCTGGCATTGGCATTCGTTGATACGCTACAATTCATTCTTGAATTAACAAGGTACGATACCCATGAACCGACACATATAATTGTTGCACCAGAAAAGAAAGAAAGAAAAAAAAAAGGCAATTGAATGCTGTTTTCCTGTGGGAGCAAGCAATTCATTTCAACAGCATCTTCCATATCAATTGCTTCCTGTCGTTGGCTTTTGCGTTGGATTTAATTATAGCCTACACATATCATCTGTCTTGTTGTGTGGAAGCGGGGTTTATATCTTACGAGTTAAGAGCAGAAACTTCTATTTGTGTGTGCATTTTGACGTTTTTGTTTCTCGAGTTCTTTATTAGATCCCAGCTATTGCGCGTCGCTTTTTTTGAAGTCTATTACTATCTCTACCTACGCAGTACAAAGCTGACCCGCGGACACTCCAGATGGCAAAGACAATCATCGTCACAGGCGCTTCCAGAGGTGAGATCATCCTGGATACCTGCTGAAATGAAACGCCTCGGATTACTGAGATTGCTGACGCCCATCTATCAATTAGGGATCGGCTGGATCATTGCCCAGTACCTGCTGCACGCGGCCAATAACCTGGTTGTGTTGGCCCGCACCGCAGAGCCCCTCCAGAAGCTCAAGGAACAGTATCCAAAGCAGGTGGAGGTCCTCACAGGTGACGTCGCGGATTTCTCGCTGGGAGAGAAAGCTGTCAAGCTGGCACTGTCCAGCTTCGGCCGGCTAGATGGCCTTGTTCTCAACCACGGAATATTGGGCCAGGTCGGCAAGATCGCGGATGCCGACTTGGAGCAGTGGAAACAAGGTTTTGACGTTAACTTCTTAAGCCTGGTGGCCTTTGTAAGTTTCATTTGTTGCACTTGGAATATTAATCATATTAATCATATCATTGATGATATTGACCATGAGCGCTCCATACAGACAAAAGCTGCCCTTCCTTCTCTTCGAGAGTCCAAGGGCAAAATCATCTTCACATCAACTGGGGCTGCCGTGTCGGCATACAAGACTTGGGGTCTATATGGGTCTACGAAAGCTGCTATGAACCATCTCGCAGCCACGCTAGGAGCTGAAGAGCCAGACGTGACCACGGTGGCCATCAGACCAGGAATGGTTGACACGGAGATGCAGCGGGAGCTCCGCGAGGTGCATCGCGATAACATGCCCGCGGATGTCCACGCCAAATTCTACAATGCGCACAAAGAAGGGAAACTTCTGAAGCCCGAGCAACCCGGCCATGTGATGGCAAGGCTCGTGCTCGACGCGCCTCAATCGCTTAGTGGCCGCTTCCTATCGTAAGTCCACAGCATGACAATCTGACAGCCGTGGCTAACAATTTACAGGTGGAATGACAAGGAATTGGAGGCCTTTCAAGAATAACCACACCATCCTGTCACATCTTAGGTCAGCCAATCCTGTCCCTACAGACAGAAAACATATACAATATAGACTATATTGTATGGACATCAGCCGAAAGATGAAAAGCGAATACATTGGAGTAAGCATTAGACACGTAACCGCGTCTTCATACTTAGCATGGAATGTGTATTGGTTCATCACGCATATGTAGGGAGGAGGCATCAAGAAAATAGATAACGTACCTTGCATATCCTTCGGTAAGAAGAAACCATAAGCACAGATAAACCTACACTATACTGCTAGTCAATAATCATTGCTGGAAAGTGCCACTGGAAACACCAAACCGCAAGGATTTTTGAGCATCAGCAAGAGAGTTAATCGGTCATCTGAAGATCCGAATTTGATAGTACATATTTTTTTAAACATCATCTGCGCAGAACGGGGGATGTTATTGTACAAACCAGGTCTCGACGTACTTGTCAAATATTTACCTGTTGCAAGAGTGCGGGGTGACTGCTACATCTGCAGGACGTTAAAGACGACCTAGACTCTGGTGACCGTTAGCAATGCCATCTAAAAAGCGAAATCATCAATATGAAAACAGGAAAGAAGCAAGATCAGATGGTCCGTTTGGCTCGGACAGGTAATCACCACTGGAGCTAAGCTCGTTGGTATGATAGGGGCGACACACAAAGTTCATCATGGTACAGATGATAATGGAGAACGATTTGACTTACCATTACAGATTATAGTGTGTTAGGAATGAAGTGTAGATGAAGCAGGAATTCCTAGCATCAAAGAGATTCCTGAGCATGTCGATAGTCAAGAGGATACAATTCTCGTTGCTGAAGAGAAGGAAAAAAAGAAAAGGGAAGAAAAAGGTCGTGAAAAAGTACTAAGCCAAGGCGGTGGGCTAGTGGAGCCTGCGGGAGACAAGTTCTGCCATTCCGGCCCGCGTCGCGCTTAACAGATTTAAATAATTAATGAGGCCCCGCGAGAAGCCAAAGCTCTGTGTCAACGCGGGGTTTCACAATTTTGCCTGTTAATATTGAATTCACTGCGAATGGAAGATAGTCTGTCGGTTAGTCATTAGGATATTTGCAATCCATATTATCTGCCATGTCGGATCGCGAGTTCAGCTGTAAGTTTGCTCATCCTCCTGTCCTAGTGGCGTGTACGAGCGCTGACCGTGGTCATGTACACAGCAAACGATGATCTGTCGCTTCCCAAAGGTGCGTGTTGGATCATTTTTATCTCCCTTATATTCCCGCTGTTTCCCTTTCCTTTTCTGGAGTCCTGGTTTCCTGGCTTTGTCATATTGTAGACGCTTAATCTAGCCTCTCATGCTGATCTATTTCCTATTAGCGACCGTGCAGAAAATAATTACCGAAATCCTGCCGCCCTCATCTGGTCAGACGTTTGCCAAAGATGCCAGAGACTTGCTGATGGAATGCTGCGTCGAGTTCATCACGCTTATCTCGTCGGAAGCCAACGACATCAGCGAAAAGGAAGCCAAGAAGACGATCGCATGTGAACACGTCGAGAAGGCGCTACGGGATTTAGGATTTGGTGACTATATTGAAGACGTGCTGGCCGTCGCAGAAGAGCATAAGGAAGCTTTAAAGGTGTGTTTGGTCTGGTGAAGCGCATCCGATGAGAGTATTTGTTGATGAGATCCTCTTCATAGACGCGAGAAAAGAAGACCAGCAAGATGGAGCAGAGCGGATTGACGGAAGAGGAGCTCCTTCGACAGCAACAGGAACTCTTCCGGTCTGCCACGGAAAAGTACCATGCGGCCCCGGAGTCATGATCGCGATATGCATCGGTTGAACCGATGATACTTTTGATGGAAGCCTAATTTTTTTAATATGCGAATAGATGACCTCCGGAGAAAAGCTAGGAAGATCTGGAAGTACCGAAAATGGTGGTATTTTGGTTATAGCGGTCGGAGTCTTTGGAGTTCATCGGGTACATTGGGATTGGAGTTCAGGGTACGGCACACATGATTTTCATGGGGGATAGTATCTTGTCTTGAGTCCTTGGAAACGTTGGCATTTTCTAGCACGATCTTAATCAACCTTTCCTGAGCGTGCAACAAGATCATGATTCATTCTTGGATCGCTCCCGAAACACAAAGCCTTTGGCAGGCGAAACTGAGACATCTGGGCATTCCGATGTTGATCAGGATGTCCTTCAGCTAACCCTATCCTGATGCCTAGCGTTGCTCAAGCAGTGCTTGTCGTACAAAGAACCACGGGCTGGTCTACTAATTCTCAGACATTGTATGCAACCGACATGGTTTCTTGAAACTCAAAAGGTCCCATCTATATCTATATAACCCGATGAGCCACCTGGCCCGAATTAAACTGAAATTCCGCAAGATTCATGACCAGGTTGCAGTCTGTGAATCGGCATCATACCATACTCGAGCAATCCAATAATTATGACTTAGCTGGCTCGCTAGCTGAGATTCTGATCACAAGACATAGTGTTACATGATGATGATGATGCAAGACATATCCAAGCTGTTATTGGCATTTCTGACTCTTACTAGCGAAGTCGTTACTTCATCTGGATTGGAATCATCACGTCTTAATCGTAACCGATGGGGCAATCATGAAGCAGGCAAGCAACACCTGGTTCTTGGCGGCCACTTGCTGTTAAAAATGGGCGACACTAGCTTGGCTGCTAGCGAATCGATATCCATCTAGCCTATCCTCCCAGGCGGATTTAGCCACAGGGCGTTACCTGAACCGCGGGGAGCCGGGTAATTCGTGGAAAACACCCGTTAGTTCCATGTGGGAACGATCCCATATTGTAACCAAAAACCAAGGTGGATATTCCATCGCAGCCACGGCTTACTATAATTAATATCGCTACTGATGCTCAAAAGAACCAGCGCCAAAATCGCAGATACAACCCAGCCTAGCGTTACATCGCAGCAGACAATGATCGCAGTGAGTTTCCTGGCCGGCCCTGGGTCCATGATGTATAAATCACAGCGGAGCCACATGAGATCAGATCTGTATTCTGCTATGTCATCGTTTGCTTATCTTTTCAGTAATCCTAATCTTAATTACAGATAGTACTGTCAAGCTATGACCGGAAGTCCTCCTGTAATGACACAGGATGAGGACCAGGCAGATATAGCCTCTTTCTTGAAACCGCTGCGAGTATGCGATTCCACTCTTTATGGTCTTGCCTGCTCATTCTCCAAAGTGTTCCAGAAGCTTGCCTCGACCTGTGATGATGGGCTCTTCTGCCCTGTCCCAGTCACGTATCTTCCAGGGGGCCAGGAGAGCGGGCGATACTTGGCGGTAGATGTAGGAATCACCACCTTGAGAGTCGCTTTTATCGAGCTGCTGGGGGAGACGTCATATGGCGACCTGCCTGCAGCTGGGAAGGAGGCGAAATCGCAAACCGTGATCCGTCGAGCGCAGCTGCCCCGTGTGAGAAGAGTCCTAGAGAAGGCATGGAGAATCGAGGAGCGTCTTAAAAACGACCAGGCCCATGAACTCTTTTCGTGGATTGGAAATTGCATTGCGGAAGTGGTTAAAGACGATCTGACGTCCAGTTCTTCGACGGGAGACTTCCCTCCGTACATCGAAACAGGAATCGCATTCAGTCTGCCCATCAAGTATGTTTCTTTCTCAACATCCTATAGATAACTCCGCTGCTGACCAATTCAAGACAGAATTCCCTTCAAGAGGCGACTCTGATGCCCACAGGCAAGGGTTTCACCATTGGCACTGACCTCGACTTGCGGAAATCGCTTCTGGAGGGCTACGAACGCCATACTCGCCGAACAGACGACATGGAGCAATCGGCGAAACGCCGGAGACGATATGTGCTGCCGAGATTGAAGATTATTGCTCTCACCAACGATACCGTGGCGACTCTTCTCTCCCTCGCCTATTCTATCAAATCATTCCCCAACAGCCGGGTTGCGATGGGCATCGTGGTCGGCACGGGCTGCAATGCCACCATTCCAATGATGCTGTCTGATTTGCATCCGTCAAAGGCTCGGCAGATATTGTCCTACGAAGCTAACGCGGCGCAGGCGCTGGTTAGTACAGAATGGACTCTACACGGGGCTGCATCACCTCTCCATGAGCATGGCATTATCACCGAATGGGATCGCAAATTAGATGCCCGCACCGCTCGCCCCGGCTTTCAGCCACTCGAATATATGACTGGCGGTCGCTATATCGGCGAGCTTATCCGGATCATCTGCCACGATTATTTTACGACAACACTGCGTGTCCCTGAAGAGGCTCTCCCGGGGCGTCTTGTTGAGGAATACGGACTGACGACTGCATTCATCACCGATATTGTGTCTGCACCCTATTCAGACGAGATCCTTGCCGCGAATCTTGGTCGTGATCTTCCGCCACCGGCGTCGAGCGAGTGGTCTTGGTCCCCTAAAGCCGCAGGCGTCCTTCGAACCGTCGCCCATGCCGTTCTGACTCGCTCGGCGGCTCTGATCGCTGCTGCGACAGTTGGGTTGCTTGCTTGTAACCACGAGGTTTCACTCAAGGAGCCTCGATCATCATCGAGTTCGTCTGCGACTGGGGACGTGCGTGAGGACACCTTTGCGTCTACGCGTGATTGGAAAGGTGGGCCTGAGGAGTTGGTTGTAGCGTACATCGGCGGCATCATCCAGCATTATCCCAACTTTAAGGAGAATTGCCAGCGTTACATCGATCGCTTGGTCATCATGGGTGGGCCACAGGAAGGCGGTAAGAGCATCCTCTTAAGGGAAGCCAATGATGGAGTAATTATTGGTGCCGGCGTATTGGCAGGTATGGTTGCACACAAATACAAGGGCAAGTGAGTTCAAGTTTGTTCAGTTGCATGTAGGTGATCCTTGGTCTTGTATTCATGGTATGAAGTTATAGAAAATAGAGTAGACACCATCACTTCTGCTATAAAACATTAATTTCCGTTTTGCACACTATCATATGCTTTGCAAATATTACGTGAAGGATACGGTGAGAATTAGGGCAAAAAATTTATAGCAGAGGATATTCTATGTAGAAGATCCATGGCGTAGACCAGTTTCTTATTCTTGCAGCAACACAAGGTCTTCAGTGAACATCTGATGTGACGCTGTCACGTGAGACAACCACGTCTCCGTGGCGCAATCGGTTTAGCGCGTCTGACTGTTATCCGAGCCCCATCGGAGCTGACATCAGGAGGTTGGCAGTTCGAGCCTGCCCGGGGACGAACCTTTCTTTCACATTGCATCGCGTTACTTTCTTTCTTTCTCTCTTTCTTTATTTTTTTTTCTTCCTTAATTAAAGCTCTTTGCCTTTTTCACTTTCCTGTTATTTCCTATTCTCTCATTAAGGTAGGGCGTTGAAATAAGATTTGTTTTCTAAGCGTGTAACAATGGTCGTAGCCTCGAAGGGCGCTAAACGACGTCCTGCTGATCCACAGTTCTATTCTCGAGACAACGATCAATAAGATGGTATTATTCCGTAATGTATGTACATCTAAGCCGCCAACAATTGGGCGATAATTGCTCAATCAACCTGAAGATCTCTGCAGCTGTTCATGCGATGGCGCTAACCCGATGTGGCGGGATGCCAGGCACCACGGTGGCTCGACCGCCAAGCCTCTACCTCAGCGCAAAAGACTGAGCTCCCGTCCATCGCGACAAGCTCCCTGGCACCGCGACGCATCCCGACTAGATCAGCCCTGTGTTCTCCACGATGCCGCCCTTCAAGGACGAACACATTCTGGTGAGTTCGCGCTGCAGCGCAGATACTGTGCCTGCTTCAGATCGATGCTAACTGCAGGTGGCGTTAGTTAATTGCGCCAGGTTCGCAAACGACCCTGGCGCAGTTGGGTCTGCCCGAATCCTTCACTCCCGCCCGTTATCGGTTCCCTACGCGCATGTTCCCTGCAGAAAAGAAAGGAGAGTTTGAGCCGTACAAAGTGCGCGAGAAACGACGCGAGGTCAAGGCGACCAATGGCGCCGACAAGGAGGATGTGGAAATGAAGGACGCCCCGCCGGCAGGAGCCGAGAATGCGGAGCAGACTCAGCCATCAGAACAACCAGCAGAACAATCAGCGGAGCAATCGGCAGAGCAATCGGCAGAGAAACCGGCAGAGCAATCAACGGAGCAGTCAGCAGAGCAATCAGCAGAGCAACCAGCAGAGCAACCAGCAGAGCAACCGGCAGAACAGCCAGCAGAACAACAGGGCGAAGGCCAAGATGGCACCGATGCGAATGGTGCAGAAGAGCCGAAACAGCAGGAGCCACAAGAGGAAATCGTGTACGAGGAGGATCTCATGTCGGATGAGGGCGCTGTGTACCCGATCCAGAACGGACAGATCGTTGACTGGCCATGCTTTCTCGCTCTCTTGACGCACATCTATAACACTCTCAGTCCGCCCTTCCATACGCCCATTATACTTATAGCTGAACCCGTTTGGTCAGCTCGAGATCGAGAGATCTTGACACAGTTCATCTTTGAAAAGTTCAAGACGCCCGCCTTCTGCCTTATGGACGCTGCGCTGGCTGCTTGCTACGCCTATGGAACGTCGACTGCCACCGTTATCGATGTCGGACATGGGAAGGCGGACGTGACCGCCGTCACCGACTTTATCGTCCAGGAGCATGGCAGGGGCATCGCCCTCAAGGGTTGCGGAGGCGAGGCTATGACCGACCGGCTGGAGGAGTTGCTGAAGCCGAAAGGATTCACAAGGGAGATGTGCGAGCAACTCAAGAGAAGCAATATCACCGAGATCCTTCCTCCGGGGACCCCTCTCCCGGGGTCAGCTGCGAACGGCGATCAGAGTGGCAACCCCGCTGCTGAAGCTTCAACAGGCGGGCCTGATGGCCAAACGAAATCCTCACTTCCCCGAGGGCCTGGACACAATACTCAGGTCGGTACGGAAGGTGGCGGCGATCCCGATGAGGAAGAAGGAGTCCTCAATGTTGCTGCTATTGTCACCGGTGGCAACACGAGCGAGTACCTCGCGAGGCGAGAAAGAGAAAAGGCAGAGAAGGCCGCAAGCAAGAAAGGAGGCGGTGGAGATCAGGTCAATAAGCCAGTCCGTCTCCCCAATTCCAAAAAGGAGAAGGCAACCTTCCAGTTTGAAGAGTTTGTGCGGATCGACGACACGTCTGGACAGTACATCCGGCAGAAACGAGAGATCGAGGTTGGCGTTGAACGCTTTCTTCTGACGACTCCTACCAAAGAGAGAGCGGAACGCTGCAGTGACGGTATTCTCGAGGATCTTGCGGCGCAGATTCACCACACCATTATGTCAGTCCCGGACGCGACAAAGCGGAGTGAGCTATGGGATTCTCTGATCATTCTCGGAAACGGGAGTCGGATCAAGGGTGAGTCGGACTGTCTTTTTCGTTCTTTAACTATATTTCTGAACAGTTTGCAGGGTTCAAGGAAGCCTTGGTATCTACGCTCACGCAAAAATACATGGTCTCGCCATCTGCGACCATGTTCACTTCCGAAATCCCTTCGAATCTGTCTACTCCTATGGCTACTGGCGGCACCAACACACCAGCCAATCCAGGCCAGACTCCAGGACCTATGCATCATCCCGCTGCACATGGCGTGAACCCCCTGCTCGTCGCCGCGACCCATGCCAATGCGCCGGCTTCTGCAACTCCGGGTAACAACGATCCAGCCACGGCTGCACAGCACCGATCGCATTCGCAGACACCGACTTCGATCAAAACTCTGAAACCACCGGAGTACTTCCCTGAGTGGAAAGACCAGGGTGGTAGCAACGCTCCCGGAGCAACAGGGGCAGGTGGTACCGCCACCGCCAGCACCGGACCGGCCTCCACAACTGGTCGGGGAATGGAGGAGGCTATCTTTCTTGGGGCGCAGGTCGCCGCAAAGGTCATCTTTGTTCTCGACCAGGGTCTCAGCAAGGGCTTCCTGAGCCGGGTGGAATACAACGAGAGCGGCCCGACCGCCATTCACGAGTTTTCTCTCGCATGATGGAAATCGGCGGGTTTTAATTGATCAGGGAGGATGCGAATTCCAAAAATTAGCAACTATTGTATTTCTTCGATACCTTTCAAAATATTGTGGTACTATTACTATTATTGTTACTATTACTCACTAGGCTTGCGAGGGGTCTAAGCCAGTGTGCTTGGAAACTTGGAATCTGGGAGTCAAGGGCGGAGTAGCATGCATGTATTTTGAATGGAAGTGATTAAATAGAATTCGTGTTCGACAGCCACCTAAGTAGTTTTCTTCACTACATCCATTTATCCATTTATCCTTCACAGATTCAACTCGATTGAGATCAAGTCAAGACTGCGCCGCCGTCGCAGCGCCCTGACGATATCGAGTCCGACCCCGTGGTGGATGATCATCATCATCATCATAGTGATGCCCGCGTTTAAGGATACGAATCCGTCGCCGCCGAATCGGTGTCGAAACCGGTCGGATATACCGTCGGTGGTGCTTGTTCTTGTTCGTGTTCGTGTTCTTCTGCTTCGTTTTGGTTGTCGAGATCGATGAGATAGCGGTATGCGCTGCCATGGTGGCTGCAGCGACGGCGGTTGTTGATAGGATGATGGCTTTTTCTTCGTTGTTGTTGTTGTTGTCTTCCATGATTTCTTTCCTTTCCTTTCTTTCGTTGTTAGACTAGCCTAGCTACTTGTGTATGCATGTGCATAGATATATAAACTGAGTGGAGATGATTATGTATCATGTAGACAGTCAGTTTAGAAGTACAATTCTGGTGGATTAAATCAACAGATGTATCGAAAAATAGTGAATAATGACTTCGGCAGTAGTCACTTGTATTATTTGTAGATTATAACACACTCGACTAAATTCATCAGTCATGGTGTTGATAAATTAACGAATGAGGTAAGCGTAACGTTGATGATGCGATGAGTCAGCATCCGATCACGTGACATCATTATATCAGCGGATCCCGATTGTGGCTCTGATAATCATGAACGCCACATCTCATCTCTCCACATCGAATTCGTCTTGAATCGCCCCCAGCCGGTCGCGTGGCTAGCTGTTCAACAGCGAAATTGACACAGTCAATCCTCTTGATTTCTCTTGGCTTTTGTTGGTAACGTTGGCCCACCATGCCTCGCGCAGAAGCTGGGACGACCAAGGCCATCAGCAAGCAACTCAAGGCTGTAAGTACACTCACCCGCGGTTCAATTTCAAGGCGCTGAACTAACATCCTCAATAGAAAGGTCTTGGTCGGCTACGATGGTACTGTCAGGCATGCCAGAAACAGATGCGCGATGAAAACGGCTTCAAATGGTGAGTCTGATTTGCGAGACAACGTTTCAATTGACACCTAACTGACCTGTTTCGTTTCTCTACAGTCATGTGCAAAGTGAAAGCCACGTGCGGCAGATGCTGCTGATCGGCGAGGATCCAAAAAAACACATCGAAGAGTATAGCAGACAGTTCCTGCGCGACTTCATCAACCTGCTCAAGACGACCCATGGCGAAAAGAAGGTCCACGCCAACCAGTTCTATCAGCAGGTCATCCAGGATAGACACCACATACATATGAACTCCACGAAATGGACGAGTCTGACGCAGTTTGTGCTCTACCTTGGCCGTGAAGGAATCTGTCGCGTGGAGGAGACGGAGAAAGGCTTGTTTATCTCGTATATCGACAATAGCCCCGAGGCGTTGCGACGACGGGAGGCCCTGGCCAAAAAGGAACGCCAAGACAAGGGCGACGAGGAGCGCGAGCAGAAACAGATTCAGGAGCAGGTGGAACGCGCCAAGAGCAAGCTCGAGGCCAATGAGGAACAGGCTCCGGAGGCGAAGCTGCTTCAGCGGAAGGAGGGAGAAAAGGTGAAACTAAACTTTGGCCTTTCGAGACAGAGCGCGGAAGAGAAGAAATCAGAATCACAATCACCTGGAGCGGAGACTCCCAAGGAGGGTGAAGGAGCCCCCGGTGCGGATGCCTCCGCAGCACCGTCTTCTCAGTCGGCTCAGAAGCCAGGAGTGAAAGTATCGATGTCGCTCGGCGAGAAGAAGCCAAAGAACGTGTTTGCCGCAATGAGGAACAACCCATTGGCGGCGAAGAAGACCGTCGTCGCCGAACAACCTAAGAAGATGACGGAGCAGGAACGGATCATGAAGGCAGAGTTGGAAGCCATGGAGCGGAAACGCCAGCACTCGCAGTCGGGAGGACCATTCCACGGCGCAAAGCGGCAGAAGGTTTCATGAATTTACTACGAATGTTCTCATCTGAGTAGCGCTCAGATTTGTTTACCTTCCGTGAAAGGAAGAGCAGGAAGAGCATCCACGATGGTTCATGTCGTCATATCGACCCTTCTACAGTCTGAAAACATAGGTTTAGAGCCTATCAGCTATACATCAGCTGTGGGAGGAATACCCAGCTTCTGAGCAATCCCGGGGGGATTGCATTACGAAAGAATTTCTGTTCAAACGAAAGTCCTCTGCCGATGAAAGACACGGCACGAGGTCAGACAGAAGCCGAAGCAGAAGCAGACGGAACTTTCTGCATCCGTCCTGAATCATTCAAGTGCGATATAATATCAAGAAAGGTGACTCTCCAAGCCAAGCAAGACGGAAGTCGGCTTGGTTTTTCTTTCAGTCAGACAGTGTGATAAGAAGTACTAGATAATAGTAATAACATGTATGTACTGTACATAATTAACTAAGTTACGTAAATGTTAAGTTAAGCCACTTAATTTGTTGCTTAATTGATCGCTATTATTTCATTGATTCTTTTTTTTTTCCTTTGTAGAAAAATTAAAATTGGAGACAATCGAATTGCGCCAGTAGATTTGATTTTTTTTTCCTAATTTAATTAGGGTTTGAACCTGATTGATAAGAAACGACACCAAGTAAATGGTCAACAAAACATTTTTTTTTCGTTAAAAAAGTTCTAACCTGTTGAAAGAGAAGAGAATGAAAGACAAAAGTGAAGAAGTCTGTGGTCCCGCACAGAGATAGATAAATGATAAATGTTCTGACGTTCGACTGACGATGACGACGTCAATTAGAGCGAAAAAGATGAGTTAGAAAGAAAATTCAAGAAAAAAAAAACAGCTAGAGTAGGACGAAAAGTGGTTGGATTGGAGACACGTATGACAGTCAAGCGTTGCTCGAATACTCGATCTTTTTCTTTTTTACTCTTCTTCAACATACGGCTGCAGCCTCTCGATCAGCTCTTCGACAGTCATCTCCTCTTCTTCCTCATGGTGGGTTTCTGCACCTATCGGGAGGTCGTCTTCGAGGTCGTCTTCCACAACTTGGCTATCAGAGTCACGCTTCCTCGGCGGGATGATCACCGACGAGACCAGGTGGATGACTCCCTCTTTGACGGGCACGTTGGATACGGAAACCCTCGTGTGCTTGTTGACGACGAAGTGCGCGAATCGATGGAAGTGGCGGATATCAACGCTCAGGTGATGACCGTGGAGCAGCGTGGGGAGATCAACCTGGAGAGATCATATTAGGCCTAAACTCCAGATTTCCTAAGATGAAGAAGAGCACTTACATGCTGACCGTTAACAACAGTGAAGTCGCTTTCGTTCTTGGGTCCGTAGTAGGCGTCCGAAAACAGAGTGCGGTTGGCCACAATATGATACTTGAGCAGAGCCTTGAGATACTTCTGGCCCAACCGGCTGAAGAGGAAGCCATTGATCTTGGGGCCCAGTTTGGCGAAGGCGTGGTTTGTGGGTGCAAACAGAGTCCCTCCAGACTTAGGGGTGTCCGGCCCAAGGAAATCAACCAGACCTGTCTTCACCAGTCCCAGATTCAGGGTGCTGAGCAGCGAAGGTACAATATCGATGGTGTCCACTGCAGAGAATGGCAGGAAAAGGACGTCATCGAGAGCATGGATGACCCCGTTTGTGGCGAACTAGATTGTCAACAGAATCCAAAAATATAAAAAGGAAGAAAGGAAAGAAAAAAGCACTTCTCTTACAATGTTTGATCTGATAACATGAGAATGAAAGTTCAGCGTCAGACCCTTGAGTCCAACTTGAGTACTGATCCTCTGCGGGTTGAAGCTGTTATTCTCCTCCTTCAGAAGAGTCGGGACCGTCTGGGCGGAGAAGAACGTGCGTCGGGTGTACAGCCCTGGGGACACATGATATTCAAGCCATTTCAAGACGAATTCCTTGGTAGGCTTGGGATGATGCTTGAACTTTTGGAACGCTGCATCGACGGGAACAAAGACGGTGTAGTTGGCCTTGGTGCTGTTCAGATAATCGACAACCTCGTCGAATTCCTCGATAATCTTGGCAAAGATGCGGGTGTGCTCACTCTCGGAGATGAACTGGTAGATGGTCTGGTTTGGCTGATGACCTAGATGATTTGCTCAGCATTCTGCTCGCCCATGCAGTGGAAAAAGATCGGCCAGGAGCGTCATCGTCGACTCACCCCCGTGTGGCATATCATCTTCCGGTTCGTCGAACGGAGGACGCTGGGGAGGAGGACGGTGAGGGGGACGACGCGGAGGAGGAAGAGGACGATGCTTGCGATGACCCAAGACATCGTTCAATTCATCCCTGAGCTTCTGCAAGAAACGGTGGTTCCTGTCTATTGGTCTGTGATGGTGGTGGAATTCGGTCTCGTCACCCTGAAGGTTTACATCTTCGGCGATGGAGGCATCGATATTTCCTCCATACTCATATTCATCATGGGATGTGACTTCTTGGGGATCCTCGGACTCATATTCTGCCTCGGGACAGCGATTCTCCTCATGTCGGAGCTGAGACGCAAATCTCCAAATGCCGTCCGCAACGGTGGTCACATACCACGACGGAGGGAAGCTGCCTTGGTCGACATCATGCTGCTGCTGCTGAAGTTGAAAGGCATTGGGAATCGGTTCCTCGGACAAGGCCGCCAGGATCTTCTCGTCCGGTACGACAAAGGCCGCAGCCAGAGAGGCAGACAGGAGGAGAGGGAACTTCATCGTACTCCGTAGTAGTGCTTACACACAGGGATCGTGCTGAAATCCATAAAACGGAGGCAGGCATGGTGCTGCAAATTGTGTTTTAAATTACATTTCGAAACCATGGCGTCGGGGTTACGCGTCCATCAGGCGACTAGCTGCAAGTCTGATACACGACATGACGTGGTCGGATATTAGCCCTAAGGCCGGGCCAGGTAAGACTGGTCCATGGTATAGTTGAAGGGTTGCGATTGATCCATGGATATTGTGACGGTCAAGTAGGAATTGACATTGTCATAGATGATAGTTAATCGTAAGTATTGTAACTATATGTAAGTAAATAAATGCACATGTAGTGAGACTCCCTAAGGCATAGCAATTTGCATGGTTTGCACATTCACAGGGATGAGTGTCTAGACATGGATATACTTACATAATGTAGATATCGTCGATAATTCATGTTGAACCACGGAAAAAGCGATATAGAAGAAGTGTTAGACTCACTGGCCCAGTCAAAGCTCTGAATTCTTCATCGAAGACGTCAGCGAGGCCTGCTTGCTGGCTGTTAGTTGACGATCCGGCCGATTGCTGCGGGAGCGCCCCGCTTGCGCAAAGCCTACTGGTCACCTGATGATTCATCGTCTGCAGATTATCAATTGATAGGCATCAAATTAATTCAGCGACAGTACATATTGCATTTCTTTATCACTCGCTTTTCGTCTTGTCGCAGCCCCGGCATGACGGGGTCATCCTCACCCCAGTGATTCCCATTCCAATTGTGCAATGGATTTGGATTCTGAGCAACAACTGCCGTCTCCGTCTCCTTCTACTGAAGAGCGGACGGCATCATCCGAGATGACGACGCCGGAGCCCTACCAATTCCCCACGCAAAAGCTGCGGCGACGACAAACCCAGCCGGGCAAGACCCCTCTGGTGCTGGTGGCCTGTGGCAGCTTCTCGCCCATCACCTTTCTGCACCTGCGCATGTTCGCTATGGCGGCCGACTACGTGCGCATGAACACCGACTTTGAGGTCGTCGGCGGCTATCTGTCGCCCGTGTCGGACGCCTACAAGAAGGTGGGCCTGGCGCCGGCGAGTCATAGGTGAGAAATCCCGTATCGAACGGGGAATGAGTCGGAAGACAGACAAGACTAATGCTCTACAGAATTAACATGTGCGAATTGGCCGTGCAGACATCAAAATGGATCAGCGTGGACCCCTGGGAGGCAACCCAGCCCGGCTACGTGCCCACGGCCGAGGTGCTCGACCATTTCGACCACGAGATCAACACGGTCCTGAACGGGGTGGAGGATGTGGATGGAAAGCGGACCAGTGTGCGAATCGCCCTGCTGGCGGGGGCAGACTTAATCCAGACGTGAGTGACCACTCAATCCTTCAAAGATTCTCTCTCTCTCTCTCTGACATGAGGTCGAATCCAGAATGTCGCAGCCCGGTGTTTGGAGCGCTCGCGATCTCGAGCACATCCTGGGCGACTTTGGCGTCTTCGTGCTGGAGCGGGCAGGCACCGACATCGACGAGGCGCTGGCCAGTCTCAAGCAATGGGAGGACAAGATCTACTGCATTCCGCAGGTCATCCCCAATGAGATTTCCAGCACCAAGGTCCGGCTGCTCCTGAGGCGGCAGATGAGCATCGACTACCTGACGCCTGACGTGGTAGTCGACTACATCGAGGAGAACGGCCTGTATCGAGAGGAGGATGCTGCCCATACGGGGAAAGGAAAGGCCAAAGCTAGCCCTAGTACGGGGTGATGTTAATCCAACATGCGCAGAGCTTTACAGGTCTTGATCCACGCTGTCTTAATCCTTTCTGTTATGTGGCATCCTCCCTTAAAGCGAGTGATAGCTATTTCGCGATATCTTTCCTGCTTGAAAGGGAGGCAGCTCCGGTGTTCCTTTACAGAACTTTCACCCCCAAAGTGGCGCTGGGAAGCGTCATCAAGGCATAAAATTCCCCATGCCTGTTAACAGGCAGCAACAAAAGTCCGCGTGCAGCAAGAACTTTCTCAAATAAGGAGACCGCGAGTCGGTAATTCGCACTAGACCTCGCAATGACTTCTCCACGGCTGTTGTGCTGAAACTTGACCATGAGGAGGAAGGGAAGGAAGAAAGCACCTGATTTGATATCCAATCAAGGCTCTTTTATATTGTATATATATTCACCTATATACATAGAGAGAGAGAGAGAGAGAGAAATACAAAGTTTCCATAAATGCTCGTAATTATTAGTAAAGAAGACAAAAGGAATTTGAAATTTATTAACGAATAGCTGGCGATATAATACAATACAGGAAGTAAAAGTCTAATCTTAATTGATTGATTGATTGATTTTTCGCCTTTTCTCTAACGTAGTAGAAAATCTAGCAGAACATGAAGTCATTTCCGTGGGGTACATACATAATGTCATACAACAAAAATAGAAAAGAAAAGAAATAAAAAAAAAGATATCATGCGGTTTTTTTCTCCTTCAACGGTGTGAACACTGCCACCGCTGTTATTGGTATTACCGTCGTTGCTCTCCTTGACTTTCTGCTGCAGCTGCCTCCCTGTCCTCTAGCGACTCCTTTTTCCTCCTCTTCTTGTCCAATCCACCGAAACTGACCAGCATGCCAATGTCGTACGTTGCCTTCAAGCTTCCTGCAACAACGAAGGAAACCCAGAAGAGACCCCGTCCGGCCAGCACGCCCGTCAGGAGGGGCCCCAGGCTCTGGCTGCAGGTTTTCACCACGTTGATGGTGCCCATGATGGCGGTGCGCTTCTCCGGCGGCAGAGCGCTGGCCAGGAAGGCCGAGCGCGGCGCGACGTCCATGGTCTGGGTGCAGGCGCGGAGGACGAGGAAGAGCATGGCGAATGGAAGGGATGAAGGGATGGGGATCATCGCGAGACAGACTGCGGAGGGGAGGTGGGTGAAGACCATTGTCTGGAACATGAATTAGCGAGACAGAAAGAAGAGATGAGATATGGATTGTGTCCTACCTTCACATTGCCAAATCGCTTGGCGATCGACGACGCAACCAACATGGACACAGACTGGATGATGCTGGTCGTGAAGAACAGCGATCCGAGCTGTCCTTCCGGGAGGTTGAACTTGCGTCTGAAGAAGTAGGTGACCCAGGACCTGCATCCCCGTCAGCTTCTGCCCTTCTTAACAGGAGATTCGATTCGTCACTTACAGCGATGCCAAACCAGACGCAAAGGAATCCAGCGCGAAGAGAAGACACAGGTTCAGAACAAGACCCATGAGTTCAATCTCGACGGCGGGGAGAAAGGCAATCTTTCGGTGAGTCTGCTTTGGCGAGGTTTCCTCTTCCCTGTGTCCGTTGGCAAGGAGAGGCTCCGTTTCGGAGCTCTGCTGCTGTTGCTGTTGCTTTTTCTGCTTCTGCTGCTTACTAGCCGCTTCAACCTTGGAGCTCAGCCCGATCGTCAACAGAAACTTGATGGCGCCGACTGCGGCGTATACAAAGAAGATGACCCGGCAGGCGGAGACAAAGTCCCATCCTTTGGTCACGCGCAGCAGATTGATGATCCAGCCACAGACCATCATGCCGAGGGCCGTCCCCGCGGTGCCGATGAGCGAATACCAGGCGAAAATGTCGCTGAGGACCTCGTGAGGAGTGAGATGGGCGATTGTGGATTCTTCCACGGCACGGAAGGGCCCGATCTCGTTGCCGCTGAGATGAACTGTCAGCAGACAGAAACCTATCTTCAAAGGCCAAACTGCAATCTTATTGTGACGAACCTTGGACTAATCACTCCAAAAACGGCCGCAGCCAGCAACACCCAATAGTTGCTAAACAGCGCAAAGATTACGCCGCTGGCACACATCAACGCCGACCCCAGGGCCAGAACCGCCTTGCGGCCCATGGCGTCGGCAAACAGCGTGAGGAAAAAGCTGATGACCACATCGCCGGCCAGCGTCAGGGTCATGAACAGGCCGATCCGGTCGTCAGAAATGTCCAGGGCAGAGAGATACGCGGCCAGGATCAGCGTCGAGCCGCCGTACGCGAAGAGACGCACGAAGCGCTGGGCGCAGAGCAGCTTCGAGTCCAACGATGTCTGCCACAGCGCGACGAGACCCAGCTCGTCGAGGGCCCGGGTCACGAAGCGAGCGAGTCCGCTGGGACGAGAGCTGGTGGGCAGCTCCTGCAGTGAGGCAGACATGGCTGTGGATGGGAGCGCAGATAGGTTATGCAGTCAGGTGCTGAGGACAATTTCCATTAGCTCGATAGATCGGCGGCTACTATGACAGCAGAGGACAGCAATTGAGCTCTCGTACGCACCTGCTGACCACTACAGCCACAGGCCCAGCTGGGGGGAGTCACGGATATTTAGTGTATTCTATATATACGGCGGATGGGATTGCTCTGGTACTGTATGTACAGTACAAGCACTGCAGGTCTATGCGCGAGAGATAGTACAGGTCATTCTTTATAGCCCCTCCAGGACTCATGCGAGGAGCACAGTCATACATGCCGGGCAGCGAGCTACGCCCGCAGCGATTGGAAAAACATTGACTCTGTGCAGAAAAATTAAGCTCCGGACCCTCGCGCGGCGACGCCCGTTAGGCTGCTAGCGCGATGCCCGGTGGAGCATATCGCGCCGGTCCGCGTCCGAGCGCTCGGCCTTTCGGTCCTGATTGCCGCATATGGCAATGCCCGGGCTGCCTTGCGCCGAGGCGTCCTGGGATCGTTCCTGCCCTGTCCGAGCGCCTGCAAGGTGGAAATCGCTCCTGCCCGATGACGACAGACAGCAGACACGATTATGTGATGGCAGCTGGCCGTACGGAGAATATTAATATGCATTGCACAAGTCCAGAAACTACCCACATAATCCAATTTCCAGACGCCAGGCCATCATTTGCCGTCCCATATCAGGAAAAAAAATAATAGAAAAAATAATAAAAAATAATAATCAAATCAAAAAGGCCGTCTATGACCACCAGCTCCGATGCTTCCTCCAATCCTGCTGCGTCGCCTCCCGCAAGTCGTCCACATTGATAACGTCCACCCCCTCCCGGATGAGGACGTGCCAGATGTGGTTGCGCAGCCCTCGCGGCCAGCCTGGCGTGCCCCAGTACCGCACCTTCAGCCCGCGCCGGTGTGCGGCCTGGATCTGCGCCCGGATCAGGTCGAGCTGGGCTTGCGAGAAGCGGTTGCGTTGCAGGCGGCCGATCACCCGGCCAAAGTCCACGGACGCGTAGTAGCTGTTGGTGTAGTTGTACATGTCTCCAGCCGGAAGCTCCGATCCAGAGGTCAGATCTTCCGGCTCTGTCACACCGCTACCTGCCTGGTGAGACTCGGATGCACTGTGTAACAGGTCCAGAGGGGCGTCGTAGAAAATGTCGCGGTAGGTGCTGTTGCCCAGCACCTTCTCAAAAGGCGCATTGCCCGTAACTACGACGGTGACCGGCCGCGGGACGATCTTTTCTCCATTGAAGTACGACAGATAGCCTGCGGTGCGAAGCGGCTCCAGCTGGGCGTAGACATAGTCCCAGAGCAGCTCGTCGTCCGACTTGAAGTCGATGAGCAAGACCAGCGTCTGCGACGGGTCTTCGGAGAACACGCCCGCGAAGCTTCGGTGATGCTGGAATCGCGTCGGGGTGTTGCGCTTTTCCAGGAACTTAAACAACGGATCGACATAGAGACTGCGCAGTGTCCGCTGCGGATCCAGAGAGAAAAGCGTGTGGCCGACGAAGAGATCCTCGTTCACAAGCCAGACATCGGCTTCCACGCTGGTGCAGCCCGCGTCGACGGCAGAACGCAGCGGCACCTCTCGCCAGTAGTCGTTGTGGGAGTGACACGCGACCGGCAGGACGCCATTCGTGCTCCAGTGCGAGAAGCCCGACACAGGGCCGACTGGGAAGCCCCAGGCGTCGAGGCTCTTGTCGAGGTCGTCGGGGAACAGGTACACCAACACGTCCCAGCTGAGGGACAGGAATTTGATGACTCCGCTGGAAGAGTCAGCCCGAAAATTCAGTCGACCGTGCCGTCATCACTGCTTACAGCACAAAGATGAAGCCCAGGAAAGCCTGGTGGAGCAGCCTGCCCAGGACGCCGCCTTTCCGAGACCTCGAACGCCAAGGCAGCAGCCAGGATCTGATGCCCGGGCGAGTCGTCCTGTACGGCAGTCTCTCAGGAGGAGGGATGTCGCCTTCAGACTCGGAGCCTGCATCATACGAGCGCTCTTCCGGCATGACGTCGACCAGGGCAATCTCGGAGGCAGGCTGTTGGGCTCGGCCTGCAAGAGGCGCGAAAGTCGACAGGCCCATTGTCAGACAGACAGACGAAAAATGGAATTCTGGAGTTACCTAACTCATCATCCGCAACTGCATCAGAAGAGCGAGAGACATCGAGGTCCAGAAAACCTGGGGAATTTTATATTATTTCCTCAGGGCCGTAGGAAGCGTTAGGAGTATCAGCGCTAATTAATTAACCTCGAATGCTAGCAGATCGGCGTCCATGCTCAGAAGCCCCCACTTTCCAAATAAGAAAACACCCAATCACATCCGCAGACAGCCATCCACGCAGAGGCGAAGCTTTCTGGAGCTGCGTTGGAACGCATCAGCGTCACTGCTGACGACGCCGTCGACCTAACTGTAAGTATACAGACTACGCCATGCACAGGCAGCAGCAAATGATTCTCGTTGCAGAATTGCTTTCTCTCTCTCTCTCTCTCTCTCCCTTTTTTCGACACAAGTTTCCCCAATTGGGAATCTCGTCGTGTGAGGCTTGCAGGATGAGAAAATATCAACCAATAGGATGCCGCGGGTCGTCAGGACGCGTGAGAACCTTCCCTGCTTAACCTAATGGTGGAGTTCCTGCCTAATCAGGGCATTGAGATTTGAGTCTTCATTATCTGGCTCAGTGATGTACGTTATACCCATGTAACATTATCGCAAGCTGAGCTCGAAGTTGTTCATACAGGATGAAATCATTCGAAAACAACGTCATAACAATATGGTGGTTAAGGAGAACTCAATGCTGAAGCTGAAACACATCTACTCACTAACATTCATTGACAAACCAATTGACATGGAGCAAGAGCAAAGGAAATAAATATCTAAACAGCATAGCTCATAACGCAGATCAATCCACCCAGCGCGTCCGACATGTAGGACAGGTCGGATCCCGGCCACTGGTCTTGCAGGAGTTGATCCACTGGCGAAGACACTCCGAATGGAAATTATTCCCACATCGTGCTTTGCACCAGGTGAGATCAACAGCTTCTTCCTTCTCACCTGAAGAAGCATCGCTGTCGCTGTCGCTATCGTCGTCGCTATTGTTGGAATTGACGAGAAGCGCATCAAGACAGATCCCGCAGTCGTGATCTCTTTCGACAGACCGGCGAGAGATGCCGCCCCTTGGTCGGGCAGTGATGGTATTATCGCGGGAGGGGGAATGAGAGATGCGGAGGACCGATCTCCTTGCTGTGGTGGTTGAAGTTATTGCGGGAGTTGGGGGATTGGCTGCTGTGGTGGGAGAAGGACTTGTGCGTGTGCTTGACGTTGAAGATCCAGGAGAATGCGATGACCGTGATCTGTCTTCTCTCTGCTCAGGATCCGTCTCTGTCGCGGTCTGATGTGGTTCTTCTCCGTCTTGCTGCGTTGACTCCGTCTGTTGAGTTGCAAGACGGGGAGGCGATCTCTCATCGTCGAGAATCCGGTTCAGCCTTCTCCTAGAGTTTGTGATGATTTCCTGAGCTAGATCCAGGCGAGTCGCTAGGTGCGAATTATCACCGCCACTACCGAACCGGACCCTTGATTCTTGCGCATGAAGGTGGCCTTGAATGCGATGAAGGTTGTCCAGAACAATGGCGACCCGCTCGGCGAGACCCTCATACTGCTCCTGCAGTTCATCGAGATCCCCTGAGTAAGGAGAAGTATACTGTCTGCTCATCTGCCTGCGGTGTTGTGCCTGCTGTGACATTCGGAAACTGTGGATATCTTCTTTCCAGCGCGCAACGAGGCCGGGTGCCTGATACTGATGGTATCGTAGACAGAGAACCAGAGGGGCCAATTCCTCCAGCAGCGCATCTACTGGTTGTCCGGCGTGCAACTTTTTGGTCCCCTTGGCGAGAAGGGCGCATGCTCTGGCCCGATTGTCCGCATTGGTGGGATAGCGGCAGCGTCGACCTTTGGAGGGAGCAAAACCGGCACAGTGATGTTCCAGGTTGGGATAGACTTGAATAATGTCTTGCAGGCCGAGCTGGCTCATGATGAAAATAATAATAGAACAGCAAGTCACAAACTTGGAGAGAGTCTAGAGAAATAATAATGATAGCACACTAGGGATAGAGGAAGAGAACTTCGAGTGATGACCTGTCTCTGCCGTCACAATGATTTTTGGTCATGGACTGCAAACTCAATTGCAACGACACTCGCCACGGCGTGGCTAGAGCAACGTCTTTATACTCTTCCTGATCCTGCAATTTCAGCCTTGCACAATCCAGGCAGACAAGAGAGTATCCTTCATCTTGAGAATACCCTAAGTAGAGAGCATTCGCACAGCCACAGGTTAGTTAAGATACAACAACCCTGATAACCTATAGAAGCCGTCAATTTAGCGCGCATGAAAATCGCAAAGACGAGGGGGGTTCCAAAAATAGACGAATAACAATACTCCGTAGGGCAGGTTGACCTCTCATGACAGGGGTGTGGTTGATTGGTCCAATAGCATTTTTACCCTGGTCGCTTATCAAGCGCCATCGACTGCAGGCGACTGTATGGAGTAAAAGAACCACCAGCACAGCCCCAAAGCCTTGCATGGGTACATGGATGTGTGAGTGAGAATGATACTCGTACGGCCACTTCTTGCTGTAGGCTGTCACATCTGCTGTCCCTCTGCGCCACAAATCATGCATACATTCGATGTGCTTGATGTTCTGTCCTTCCTGGAGGTAGTCTCTACACCGGATGGTGGGAGAAGAGACTAACAGTGAGAGGGCTGCGCCATGCGAGGCGGGAAAAAAAAACCAGGGTTTGGGTGATATATTGTGCACAACACAGGTTATGGCGAGAATTATGGCAACAGAAAACTATAGAAGAGATACATAGGAAGCCCGCCTCGAGAATAGACAATAAAAGACTATAAAATAGAGTAGAAAGTTCTTGTATTGACTAGATATTTTGTCTTTAACTTTGTTAAGTAAGGCCTGTAAGGCTTGTGTATATAGCAAATTGAACGAATTGATTAATCATGCCTGTCCTTTGAATGGCAACAGATTTCCCAAACAGATCAGTTTCCTCTTGCCTAAACCGGTGATAAAGGAACAACATTATTTCCAAGGCTAGCGAACCTGGCAATTCCCATTAAAATCAACTTCACAAGAACAGATGCATGCATGAAATTCAGGTATCATTAGAGCCATCGGCAGTAGTCGCAAAGCATCGCTCAATATATAAACAAGACTGAGATACAAGGCTTTCGTAGAGAGGACTTTCAGCAGTTATTGGACTGTCATGATGGGTTTCAATTTGACCACTGTCAATCGTGATCAGATGGTATGACGGTGATCTCGTCATCCTGCTGGGATGCAGGGAGAGGTTGTTCCACGGCCCGTCTTCTAGAAGATGAAGGGACTTGAAGCGTCTGCGATGGCAGCTGCACTTGGGACATTTCACGCTGGCCCGAAGAATCGTCTGGATCCCCTCCACTCGAAGGTGGTGCTGACTGCTGCGGAGTCTCCGACCCGGGAGGAGATACCTGTAGCAGAGGCGTCACCGGGATCGGTCTCTTCGACGCAGACCGTCGAATTTTGGGAGGAGCAGGACCCAGCATAGGCGGATAGTCCCATCGAAATCCGTACCGGAGCCACAGGCCAATTTTCTTCCAAAACCCCATCTCGTCCCATTTTCTCTTCAGTTCTTCCGCTTCATCCTCCGTCCGGGCTTGAAAGCCTCTGCGACTAAAACACAGCAAGATACAGGACGCGATGGGCGCCAGCAGACACCATGAGATAGGCAGACCCCGTCGGGCTTGCCAGCCTTTCATCAACCGTTGGAATTGGAAGTAGCTCTCGATCAGGCCAATGATGAAAATCAAGCCAAACCAGCCTAGGACGACGATCAGGATGATAGCCAGTGGCGAGATTCCATACCAGTAGCTATCGTAGAGCCAGGAGTTATCATCGCCGTCGTCATAATAGCCGCCGTAACCGCTGCCGGTGCTGCCATAGTAACACCCTGGAGAGCCATCATAGATTCTCGGCACTGAGAAAGGAGAGACTGGACGCAGACAGCTGCGAGGGATTGATGAACGCTATGGCCTGAGTGATGGTCGTGGGCTGAAACGGCTGGGTGTTATAGACCGAATAAGAAGTCGTCACAGAGGTCGGGGTGATTCCCCCTTGAACCATGTAAGGAACCCAGACTTCGACGGCCGTTGTAGTCGTCCAAGCAGAAGAACAAGCTGTGGGTGCAGTGTACACCAGATTGACATAATAGTCAGTGCTCACATCTGTCGAAGTGGCCGAAGGGACATCGTCACTGGGCACCGTGGATGTCGCTGCCGCTGCTGGAACAGAAGGAAGCAGAACTTCCACGATAGTGACGGGAGCACTGGCATACTCATCAGTGCGGACAACAGTGTCTGTAGACAGTGCTGGAGGCAGCGAGGTCGCCGTGGGAGTAATTTCGATAGGTCTCATAGGGGCCTGTGTACGCTTCTTCCGTATGGAGATACAATTCATAATAATTGGTAACGATCCAGGGAGCTGCTGAAACGAAAGACAGAGAAGAAAGAACGAGTGTACAGAACCACATGACATGGGGTGAAGACGCCATGCTGCGTCTCTTTCAAAGCGAGAGACTCGAGTCCAGAACGACTGTGATGGGGAAATCAAAACAAAAAAAAACATGCGAAAGGAATGGAGAGGCTGGAACAGCGACATCTCTAATAAATAAAAATTCTCTTTTTGCCTTTTTGCCTGCCCCACTAGTCAAGGGTGTCAAGGGTGTAGAATTGCAGCAGTCTCAGCCTCGAGAAACCAACAGGTAAAATCCACCTAGATGCTCTCTCATTTGCTCCAAGTCACTGCGCGCTAGGCCAAGCCTAATTGCCAAGGCAGGCATTTGAACCTATGATGGTCAGGGAAATTTTCCTAGACTGGAAACCGAATAGTCTGTTGACGGCGTTGACACCCTCCAGACTGCTATGCACACCCCATCTAGGTGAGGCTGAGAAAGCCCGAAATCATGATGCCTCTAAAAATACATGTAAAATCGATCATTTCTCTGTCAAACTATTCCAATGCTCTCGAAGGAACTCATCAATGTGCTGGCCTAAATTATAAACTAAAATGACCAGAAATTTGGTATCAAAGTTTCATAAGAAGAAAAAATCATTATATATACAAACAATCCGCGATCAACCTGACCAGCACTCTGTATTTTTTTTTGCGGAAATGCAATTTCAAGATTTTTCCTCAAAGAACTTAGACGGTTACAAAATTTCCAACTATCTACACTAGCCCTTGGCCTAAATCACCTACAACCAAACACTAGCAACAGCACATTCTGCAATTGGATCGTGGATCATAAACCATCGAATTGGCGGACGTCTTGGCGCATGGTCGAGACTGGACTTTTTGCGGCTCTGCATGAGTCTTAGACGGAGTTCCTCGTTAGGTATGTACTGTACAGTACATGCCTTGGTAAGTACTTGGTAATTATTATAATTAAATAATAATAATTGGACCGTGGTAAAAGAAATGTCTTCGGTTGCAATGATAATGCTAATTATTGATGTTTTGAATGTATAAAACACGGCATGGAATGAAACCCAAGTCTGATAAGTTCTTCATGGCGGTCATTCCCATCACCATATACGTCAAGAACCTAAGTACAACGTGAAAGAAAAAAAAAAACCTGTGGAAATAAAGGTTAAGAATACCAATTTCTGCGCCCAACCCTCATCATAGACACCGGAAGTATAGATCAAAAACATAGAACACTGAACGAACGCGTCGAAATAGAAGATGCAATACTGCCTTAACAATACTGCTTTAACACACCCCGTGTCAAACCTAAGGAATATACGCCTCGTCCCCGTCATGAACTCTCTCGTAGTGAAACCTATAAGAGATAGTCTTTGACCGCGTATATGTAGAAGAACCCGTCCGAGGCGGAAAGCCGATTAGTGACGACAGTCCTCATTTGACACAAGAGCAGAGTACCGACCCTGACACTGCCAAAGAAAAAGGTTTCTGGTAGTTGCCGCTGTCCATCGGCTGCTACTCGTCATTGACGAAAGCTTTCAAAGTTTCTCATCCTTCCGCTCGAAGAGCACGCAGCCTAGCTCCAAGAGCATCCTCAACGTCTGCATCGGCGTGTTTCGTCGTGTCCTTAACGTCCTCCTTAGGCGCAGCATCCGCCTCCAGCGCCATCCGGAGGTCTACCCCGGCCTCGTCCGCCAACTGCTCCATCATCCGATCAACTTCCGCTTCCCCTTCAGCACCGTATTCTTGCTGCGAGACCCCCTGCGCCACATTTTCGATGGCGCTGCTTGCGATCTTGAAGTCCTCGGAGCGCGCGAGAAAGTTGTTGGCGTGAGTCAGCAGATTCTCCAAGTTCACGCTCTTCGAAGCGGCATCCAGACCTCTCGATGCCAGAGCTAGGGTTCGGGAGGTGTCGCGCGTGCTCTGGGCGGCCTTGAGCTCGTTGATGATGACGTCGGCTCGGGCTGCCTCCGCCTTTAAGGATACCTGACGCTTCTTCTCGCGGACAGCGGAGCTGGCGTGGATGCGGGCGATCTGAAATTCATGATTCCTCATAGCCCTGTCGGCCTTGGCCTTCTCTGCCTTGTATGTCGCCTCCGCGCGGGCAGCCTCTTTTTTCAGTCGGTTCGAGTGCAACTATAGGCCACCACCAAAGTTAGGGAGAATTCAAGGTAGAAAACGACGCAATCGAGCAGGAGATTCTGGAATGAGCACAATCGGACAGCACCGCTGCGGGAGCGGGTGTAGGGTTACGGTGGAAGAGTGCACTACTCACCTTCACATTAGTGCGAGCCTCTAAAATCGGATCTCTTTGCACCATATTGGACCAAAAGGACTTTAAATTGCATAAATAAGAAGTAAAAAGTCCAGCTGGAAGAGTGCGTTGTGTTTTAAGAAAAGGGCGAGTGGTGAGAAGAACGGAGGAGGCGACAGGCACCTATCTAAGTAACTATCCACCCCGCGGGCCGGGTCAGCAGCCTGTCAAAGGAGCGTCACCTCGGAGCCGCCTTGGCAGCTCCATGTCAAGATATCCCTCGCAACTCGCGATCATTTCACCTAAGAAAGTCGTCTTCGCTCACGATATGGTAGCATGCGAGAATACATATGGGTTGATGTGCAACCTGCTGCATGTGATAATGCCCGACTCCCAACACTAAGATTGTCGACTTAAACCGGGACAGTTTACGAACTGCAGCAGCCAGAGCATAGTCGGTTCATACATAACTGCTACAGCGCAATCTACGGCATGCTGAAGTTCTATGTATACTAATTCAAAGATAGCGGATGAATCAGATTCAATTCAACGCTAATTTACATGAATCAACCCTTAGCAACGCTTCCCCATGAGAATGGAAGTCAGATTCTCCAAATTCCCCGAACTCCATGAACTCCGTGTACTCCCATAATACATATTGTGCTTGTGGTTTCGTCTCAGCTGTCTTGATCGTAGCGACGTAGTGAGCATCCTCTTGTGACCGGCCAGCCGCCCTCGTCGTCCAACACGGTTCCACCTCTCAATCGAGTCAATCGCCCAGGCCATGGTCAATAACGACTTCCAATCCTGCCGAGTTCCAACGGCATCGGGGACGGCCGACCCAGTCTGACGAAGAGAAATGTCACTAACAGCTAGCTGCAATGCCCTGCCCGTCGCATCGCGAAGTGGACGCGCCAAGGCTGGGCTGCACGCCAGAAGTCGGGTGAGCAGTCTCATCCGAAAGACCGATCGACGAGTCGGCGACGCCATCGAGGGCGGCGACAGGCTCGGAGTCGAAATCAACCAATGAATCAAAGGGAAATGCCGATAGATCTCCTCCGTCGAGAAGGTCAAAGGGGAGCCCGTTTTCAACGAGGTCAGAATCTGACCCAGCGGGTGAATCACTGTTGAATAGGCGGCGGAAGTCATCGTCAGAAAGAGGAGCTGCAACATCACTTGCAGCGTGAGACTCAGAGCCTGATTGGGAGTCCAGGAAGGGGAGGACACCAGAACCGGTTGATCCTTCGAGTCCTTCGACTGACACTGCAGGTCACACAACATCGCTGCAGGATGTTGTGCCACGTCGGAGGACTCAGCCAGATCGGTCGGCTTCAGGCTGGGAGAGAATTCGGTGAGCGACGGAGTCGGGAAGGGGATCTTGTCGAGAGTGAGATCTTCACCCTCCTGCTTGAACAGAGTGGGCGTCAGAGTGGGCGAGTTGGAATCGTGAGACACGGATTTCGGGGTAGTGCCCCGAGAACCGCGGATCTCAGCGGAGAGCTGCGCGACCTGGCGGTCGAGGCGGCTGTTCTCAGCCTCCATTTGCGCCAGACGCTGCAGCAGAAAGGCGTTTTGCTGTTCCAACGACAACTTCTCCCTCTCGAGCTTTTCCACCTCCATTCGCTTGCGTTCCCGGGAGGTCTGTGCAGCCGCACGGTTTCGGAGCACCCGCTCGATCCGGCGTTGCTCCTTTTCATCTTCAGTCTTTGCTCGTTTTCTGAAAATCTGTCAGTGACGATCACGGAGAGCACCATCAGTGGCTTAACACGGACCTTGGAGGCAAGTTGGTCTTTGGGATAGGGAGTTCCTGGCCCCAGGATTTCCTCTTCTTGACTGGTTTCTTCTCCTCGGGCTTCTTGTCGTCAGGCTTCGGCTCCGGAGGCTTCAACGAGGTAGCGGCAGGAGAGATGGTAAGCTGGGGAATCTCCATGGCCTGCGCGGTGGCAAAGGCGTTCAGAGGTGGAAGTAGACTATCCATCGTGGCGACTGATCTCAGTCAAGCTCTGTCTTTGTATCTTCGATCGTGGTTTTCTTGGAAGGACTCGACGAATGTGTGAGAGAGAAGTCGAGGAACCAGATCGTGGATGTCCACCTGATGGGTTGAAGAAGCGCTCAGGACGGCAGAGGCCACGCTGTCATCACGGTGAAATCCAGAGCATGACTCCGGGAGTCGGGCGGGAACGAGTCAGAACGGACCAGTCGATGGCAGCCCAAGTCGAAAAGGCCAGGTGTTCAGACCAGAAGGGACGAGGCGAGCAGAGAAGCCTGGCGAGGGAGCGGGCGACTCTTTTAAGGCCAGCGTGGTCACATCGCAGCTGGCTGCAGGGAGAGGGCTCGGCCAATGGGGAGGCGGCGACGGGGGGGTGAGCCACGGGATGGCCCCAACGTTACGTGATCTCCGGCGGCTACCATTTTTAGGCCCGCGGCCAGCGCTGCGGACCAATCACCGCCGCCGCCCGTGCTGGCATTCCACAGCCGCCCCAGGGGCTGAGCCGGTCCTGCAGCTGGCCCCCAGGGGGACAGCCCTCCGAAAGATCCGAAGAATGTGATTCCTGTTAATTATCAAAAGACAGATCGATAATAGTATGGATGGGAAATTCATTTTGACTCGTCAGTCTGCACTACGGACGGAGTACCCTGCGCTTCTTTCGGATCCAGTAATGCTTGGAGGCATCAAGCTGAGAGCCTGAGAGTGAGACGAGGGTGTGCCACGGGATAGAATGATTCGCCACGCAATTATTGTTTAATTACTATTTAAACTGCAAGCTCCGATGAAACTGTGGGCTCTCCACAGACACAGCCTCCAGGCTCCAGCCTTTGGGACTTCAAATTAACCGTTACAGTAACCTTGGACTCAAGGTTACACTCTGTTCGCGCCCTTAATCATTGCACAAAGGTAAAATAAAATACCGCACACATATTATCCACCATTCAAGTATGCACATACACTGTAGGGATTGCTGGCATCGTTCCATTCGTGGAATTTTTTTTTAATAAATCTCAAATGCATGAGATACGTGAGAAATCGTTAAGGGGTATCGAGAGCCGCGTCATCCTCTTTACGCCTCTCTTGAGCAAGTCCCTGTGATTAATATTCAAGACAATAACTATCGTGACCTGTAAATTCGGTTTATCCCTGGCTGCTTTGGTAATTCTGGGAATTTCTCGAGCCAGTCAAAGTAAGGCATCAAAGTTTGTGCATAATAAAAAAGTACAACGCATTTCACATTCTTCATGCGATTGCTTATGCAATTCCAGTAAATACATACCCGACCTTGCCCAATTACCAGAAAACGTCAAATGCGACAATAAGGGGAATGCCCAGAACATAGATCAATCAATAATATAACCAACGCCATGTCCACAATTGAGAAGCATCTGCCCCATCAGTCAAGTCCATCTGATCCATCTCACATAACGTCTGTACGCTTCTCTATACAGAAAGTAGGAGCTACATCGACACATCCATCGTGTCATCTCCTGCCGCCGCTGCTGCCTGCGCCTCGGGGTCGGGCGCGACCACACCTCGGCCTCGTCCTGCCAACAACTCCCGCCTTACCTCTGGGCCAATGTCCTTGTGTCCCCGCACGAGCAGCAGATCAAGAAGCGCCTCACGCTGGTCTTCCGTGATGTCGTTCTTGTAGCGCTGGGCAAAGACGAGGAGCGACTGATGCCAGAGAACCGGGAGTTTGATGTTCTTAGCCGCAGCAGCGGACGAAGGCTGGCGGTTGCCGTCCGTCATCGTCACATCGTCAGAATTGTCGATGCCGCGGAAACGTAGGAAATGAAACACCAAGGCGTCGATAACCTTGTATGGCAGTGCGTACTTCTTCTCGAGGAAGACGCGGATGAAGATGTTGGCGGCGCCAGTTCCTTCGGACGATAACGACGCCGACGTCTGTTCCGCCACAATCTCGCAGAGGCGGAGCAGGGCCGCTGCGGAGTGCAAGACGGGAATCGAGACACGGGCGATGACGGACGAGATGATGTGGGCTTCACGCAGAGTGCAAGTCCCGCTAGAGACCAGCGGGAACAAAAGACCCTTAAAGAAGCACGCGGGCTTGTATAGAGCTTTCTTCAGCGAGTTGTAGGTGTGCACATTAAGCTTGCGATTTTCATGGATCTCCTCACGAACACGGTCGAGCAGCACGGTGTTGATAAACTCTTGCGCGATGGCTGGCTTGGCCGAGATGAAGATCCGAGTTCCTGCATAGACGGCATTCGGGGTCCATTGCTCAGGGCGGGTGATATCGAGGAGAGCTCCCCAATAAGGCAGAGTAGGCAGAATCTTGAAGGGTTTTGGAAGGGGTCCAGACTTGTAGCGAGACAGAAGAAAGCCAACCCTGATGACGCGAGCGATCAGTATCCATCCTCTATCAAAATTGTGAACGCTGCCGGAAATGCAGTACATACTTCTCAAACACCTCCAGGGCCTTGGCTGGAATTTCTACTGCGTCTTCGGGCGGCCCGCCGCCCTTAATGGCAGGGTTATTCTGTCCAGCCTGCTTGGCTTCGTATGCTGCGATTTTCTCCAGGATCAGGTCTGCGAGGTTGGTGCCAGAGCCATTCTCGTTCTCGTTCTCTTCGGGCTGTCGTGGGTTGAATATAGGATCTTGGTCACCACTGGGAATGAACTTGTTGAACATGTCGAGATCGTTTGGATCAACTTCCTAGAAGCAATTAGGGAGTGTTATACAGAACAATGGTTCGTATCGTTTTGACAGCAACGGGAAGCCCTCATACCACATCTTCCACCTCTTCTTCGTCCCCCCATTGGTCATCTGCAAACTTATCCTCATCATCCGATAGCTGTTCGTCACTCTCGAATCGCGATGAGAAGTCGAAGGCAGTGTTTGTCTTCTCTGCGCTTTCTCCCAGCTCGGCTCTTCGTTCGGCAGCTTCCTCTTCGGCCAGCTCTTGTCCGATCTGCAAAATCTTGCGCGACGCCTTTGCATCAATAAAGTGGTCCCCATCTTCGTCATCGCTAGACCTCGATTTCCGTTTGCCGGATTTGCTCGACTTGGTACGTAGATGGCCGACATTGAGAATATCGTCGGCCAGTGGATTGTGCCGGCGGGCAGCAGCGGCGTTGCGGGAGGGGTTTGTAGCCTTTGGCATGGTGTGATTTTTTTTGCGGATTCTCTTCCGGGAGACGGTAGCAAATAGTTCCCAGGGAAGTAAGCAATATTTTCAGGCGAGGGATTCCTTCCCTCCTGCTGGAGAATATGCGACTCCGCTGTTCTTCGCTGGCGTCGTAAACACTTGGGACATGGATATTGTGTGTAAAATGTAAATTTCCCGTGCACGTGATTACTTTTTTTTTTCTGCCGCCTCCTCGATTGCGGGTTGTGGTGGGCGGTGAGGACACGGGTGATAAGGTCGCTTATCATTGCCCACTCTCCGATTGGAGCACACTGGATGCATTCGAGCCATCTTCCTCGAGTGCAGCTCTCGTATCTACTCTGGTTGTGGCTTGTATGTCTACTGACTGAATTATCACAGGTGACTATAATAGCATGGTAGTCTATTTATTACCTATGCATATCGGGGCTACTACTAGGGGCCAACGTAATTGCTATGCAATCGGCTGTTGGTTCCCCGCACGGAACCCACCAAGACCAGGTGACACAGCCCTCGGCCATTCGATGACTTCGATCGATAAATAAGACTTAGGATAGATCCCCATATCAGTGTCTACTGGAAACAGTTTCTTGCAATTCTTCACTTTGTCTTGCTTTTCAAGATGTCATATATCTTACAGTCGTGTCTTAACAGGAGAATCAATGGCAGCAATGCACTCAACCTCGATATCTGTTCCAAGAGGCAACGACTGAACGCATACACATGTCCGGGCCTGCCAGCCTGTTAGATCCGCTAAGCTCTCATCCCCAGGAAGGCCCACTTACGGGTTTGGGGTCAGGGAATAGAGCTGCATATGCTTTATTCATGGCCGCATAGTCTGCCATGTCGGTGAGGAAAACATTGACTTTGACCACATTTTGTAGACTCGATCCCGCTGCTTTCAGAACAGCCTCCAGATTGGAAACAATTTGTCTCTTTTTTGCAACCCATGTCAGTGAAGAATCACCATGTAGCAATGAGCTTGGGGAATGCACCAGTCTGTCTTTTAGCGTGCCTTCGACCAGCACACCTGTCTCCCGATCGACGCCGATTTGCCCGGAGCAAAATACAGTATTTCCAGTAACAATGCCCTGGGCCAGGAAAGGAGGAGGCTTTGGAGCCTGGTCTGTGTAGACTACTGATTTTGAAGTCGGCTTCATTTGTGCAACGCTAACGTTCAATTCCTGGTCATCTGGTGTTGTTGCTAACTACCTAGTAGTCAATTGGGAAGTGAGCTGATTCCAGTTAGGTAAGAGTTCCGGGATTTTGTCAAGCGCGCTTGCCAGCCAATCGTTTAGGTGTAATACATCCATAGACGCACCACTGACTCAAAGTCAGGAGGGAGGCGGTGAATCCGTTATGGGTATTAGGTAGTCTACAGTAATCTACTCCGTGTACTCCGTACCTATCAACCTTCTGACTACTGTGTGCTGCGCCGCATAGATCACAAGTGCGTTGTCGACAAATATTTGGATGAATGCCGGTCAGAGTCAAAAGTTTTGGCTCCAGCGTGAATGAATTGAGTGTTTATCGTTATTACGTGGTCCTGTTCGTTTTCTTTACAATATGCATGTATATTCCGGCCGTCGCATCGGATATCGGGTATAGCTGAGGAGGGGTCTTATCTACCTAGCCCCTCAGACATTTCAGCAACAATGAAGACATGCTGTTACTTCTTTTCTTTGCTACTTAGAACCGACTTTCATGAACCTGATTACAACAAATTCTATTCTCTAGTGTCTCTCGCATATATACTCTGAGCAGGAACATTAACTTATACTACCACAAAGATGGCTGATCGTCCGGCCCCAGTCGTAGATTCCGCTCCTGAGAAGATCCTGAATATAGAGGACTTGAAGAAAGCAGCATTACAGAAACTCCCCCAGCATATAGCAGGTATGGAGTCGTGCCTGTGGACAGGAAAATGGAAACGCACTCTTTGAAGCCACCGTCACATGTATGTATATGCTATGTGCGTGATATTAGCTAATGTGAATTATTTAGAATTCTACAATTCTGGTTCGACAGACCAAATCACCGTGAGCGAAAATACCACTGCGTACTCGAAATACAGGCTCCGGCCACGGGTCCTTGTGGATGTGTCAAATGTCGATACCACAACCACCGTGTTTGGCCGGAAGATCACGTTTCCCCTTTGCATCTCCCCTGCAGGTATCCAAGCAATGGCCCATCCGGACGGCGAATGTGCAACAAGCCGTTCCTGTGCCAAAAAGGGAATCAGCATGGGAATTTCTTCCTTTTCGAATTACCCCATCGAGCAAGTGCGAGCAGCCGGTCTCGATGTGGGACCTATTGAGCACTGCATGCAGCTTTACACCATGAAAGATCGTGCTCTTCAAGAACGCATCATCAAGAAAGCGGAGGCTGCGGGTTGCAAAGCCATCTTCCTCACGGCCGACAGTCCTGTGCTCGGCGTACGATACAATGAGTGGCGGAATGACTTTCGAACGCCTGCTGGGTTGTCATTCCCGATTTTGGAAATGACATTAGAGATGATTCGCTCCCGGACCCATGACGACGGATTTAAGTCGTTTACCTCGGATTCTCAGTCGTGGGCACGGGAGATTCCCTGGCTGAGGAGTGTAACAAAAATGGAAATTTGGATCAAAGGAGTGTTGACCGCCGAAGACGTTCTTCTTGCAAGAGAGTATGGCTGTGATGGCGTGGTCGTCAGCAACCACGGTGGAAGGCAGCTCGACGGAACCCCGGCCACGGTCGATGCATTGCCAGAATGCGTTGCGGCTGCGAACGGCCAGATAAGAGTTCATATCGACGGAGGCATTAGATCCGGTGCGGACATCATCAAAGCGTTGGCTCTGGGTGCAGAATGTTGCTGGGTTGGTAGACCTGCAATATGGGGTTTGGCGGTACGCTCCAGATGAAATAATTGTGGAGTTTCCTGTCCATTTAACTAACACCCAGCAGCATGACGGAGAAGCGGGAGTCGATCTGATGCTTAATATTCTGCATGATGAGTTTAAGAGGACGATGCAGTTGACAGGGTGTAGAACCATTGCAGATATTTCAAAAGCATCTTTGGGCATCGTACGCGCTGACGGGCCATTAGCACGGCTGTAACATGGCACAGTGGTTACCAACTTCAAAATAAAATTTCGATATCGGAAACAAATGCATCGGAGTAATGTCAGAAATGTTTTGTATTGGATTATACCCAAACCCTGCCATTGACTACCAATGCTGTTCCTTCCTAAGCTGATCATTTGTCTAGGAATTCTAGGCAATCATTCATTATTATGGTCTTGATCTCGTACAATGTCTTCTATTTGTATATCATTTTCTGGTAAAAAGTCCTCTAGACAACTAGAATGCGTGAAGAAGACAAATTTGAAAACAGGTGGTAATACATATTAGAAGCCTGTTCGCTTTTCCTGAAGCTGTCTCTAGATCTAAAATGTCGAATTTATGAGACATTGTATCTTCCACGGTATCTTCAGATGTACACGTACATGTATGTAGATGTGTATCGCAAGACCTAATCTTGTATGGTAGAGCAAATTTCCATAACATTATCGACTTCAAAGTACATTTTCTCATGGGAATTCCGGAGTTTATTCCTTCCTTCTCATTAAGAGATCTAACGAGGACTCTTGCTTTGTGAACATAGTATAAATCCTTTTGTACTCCGTAGTGTAGATATGCAGCAAAAGTTACAACGGTCAAAGTCGGCGCTCAGACCGCCCAGCGTTAGCAAGGCAAGTTGGACCTGACCGCTTCCTCTTCTTGGACACCGCCTGCCATGTTCGTCCTCCAGGCAGATCCCCACTGGCGTATGTTTCTCGTAAAATACCAAGATCCAGGACTTATCTCGGAGATAAACCGGAAAGCGCTCTTAATTGATTGTTATAAACTGTCCATTAGAAATAATTTGAATGACTCTGAGAAGCAAGTGCAAAATATTAGAGAATGTTCCAGCCTCCTGCTTTCGATGACGTGATGGCAGAATTCCCTTAGTCAAACTTTCTGCCGGACTAACCTGCTCACCGCCCTCCAGCTCCTGTTTCCGCCCGCCGGAGGCTTGCCGCAGCTCGCAGTCGATTATTATCCAAAGCCGTATCACTCACAGGGACAGCCGCCGCATTTGTTCGCCTGTTTTATATACGAATTGGTTTATCTCGCCTGTTTTCCTCTGTGTGTTGAAATTACATTGAAATTCCCGCCATCCTCTCGGACTGTTTTGGATTGCGAACAGACGTAATCGCCACTTGCGACAGCTCTCCTCGCGGCTTTTTCTAGGCATACCTTGATCAATTCAATGACATTTCTCCAGCTCCAACTTCAGAATTGATCGCGATCATAAGAAAATAATCAGGATACGAACGGAGAGCTCAGGAGTTGAGCTTTGAACTCCTGCGGTCGCCTACCGGATCGTGAGGACAGGTCCCGAATTGTTCAGCCAGCCCGCAGATACCGGTCCTCTGGCAGATTGGTCCACGCAGCTATTGATACTTTCTCCGATACAGGCTGTATTTACTAGCCTGTTTTTGCTTGACTGACAATACCTTTTGGCGTCCGCCGTACTTCGCCATGGCGTCCTCTCAGCAGGCAGGGTCTTCGGCCCCTCCATCCAACATCAACTCTCCTGTCATTCCACCAACAAACGCCCAAAACGCCGCGAGCACGATGCCAGAATCCCAAGCAAAGTCTTCCCCCGCCCCTGCCGGGAATGGGCCCACACAAGCAGAGAGGTCGAAACGAAACAAACGGGACAGTCGCAAGAAACGCGAGGCGAAAGGGCTCGATCAGGAAAATATGCCTCCCAAAAAGAAAGTGCTGACGGCTCCTAGCTCTGCGCTTCCATCATCTGCCTTGTCTATCCTTAGACCCATATTACTTGCCGATCCTCGACCATCCGACGTCTTCCCACCCAACCGCGGCAGATGAATTTTGTATATCAGAAGACCTCAGATGTGCTGGGCAAGAGCTGGGACTTTTACGAGATTGTCGACAAGCTCACCAATAAGAACGGCTTTCGCTACAGCTATGCAATTGCGGATCCTGGTTTCCCTCATATCAAGTATCGACAAACCGATGTGCCTCCATACCACGCCCGTTTCAGCTTCGAGGACTCGCCAGCAGCAATGGCTTTTACCAAGGATGGTCTAGCAGTCACCACCAACGAGCCTTGGCATTCTGCTCGCGCCAATGTCTGCGCGCGCGAGGGCTCATATTATTACGAGGCGCGCGTCATCAGTGGTATTGTAAATGATTCCCAATTAATTACCACTAGTTCAGGCTCAGTGAAGTCGCCACGCGGACACGTTCGACTTGGATTTGCACGACGGGAGGCGGAGCTCGACGTCAATGTTGGTGTCGACTGTTACGGCTACGGCATACGCGACGTGAATGGCGAGGTGATCAATCGAATGCGCTGCGAATATTTCTTTCCCAAGGGCGAAGGTATCAGAGAAGGCGACGTAATCGGTCTACTCATCACTCTTCCGCCACTTTCTCTCCACAAGAAGGTTGTGGAAGGAACATACGACCCTGCCGTTGATAATACATCGTCTCATCCTGAAAATGAACCGCCCCCAGTCACGAATATTATCCGAGATCGTATACCCTTCCATTTGAAATCCGACTTCTGTTGGCAGCAATCCAATGTCTTCCCGTCCAAACATCTCCGTGATTATGCCTTCAACCTCAAGGAGACTCCCAATTTTGGGCCTCCATCACCCTTCAACACTGATGACCCATCGCTGCGTACCTTACCGGGGTCGAGCATCACTATCTACAAAAACGGCGTGAAGATGGGAACGCCATTCAAGGAACTCTACGCTTTTCTTCCGCCTGCCAGCAGACTTGCCAACGGGGCCAACAACTTGGGGATCGGTGAACGAGAAAATGCAGACGATGGGATGATCGGCTATTTCCCGATGGTGAGCTGCTATGGTGGAGGAGCAGTGGAATGTCGGTTTGAACCGCCTTGGTGGATTGGGCCTCCCCCCAGCGACGAGAACGGTAACCCAGTGCGAGCCATTGGCGAGCGATTCAACGAGCAGATTGTGGAAGACGTCGTCGCGGATATCGTGGATGAAGTGGAAGCCATGTTCCTGTGGGGTGACACGGAAGGCGACACGGTCGCTGCTGGGAGCACGACAGACGTCAATGGCTCGTCAGGAGGCGGTGTCGGGGACTTTGAGGCAGTCAACGGTGGCACGGGCGCAGTAGACGAGGCGACAGCCACTGGTGCTTCTCCTGCTGTGGACAGCCCTGCTGCCGATTCTGCGGTACCAGGAATCCTGGGGACGGGCCACACGACCTTTGAAGACGCGATGAGTATTGGAGCTGCAAGCACGCCAAATGCAGAGCCCTCATCGGCAGTCGCGGGGGAAGAAACTCGAGGAGATGAAGACGTGGAGATGTCATAGTCATGACTATAGAAAAGGGCAAATAATAAAAAAAGTCATTTCTCCTTGTCCTTTTTCCCTCCTTTCTTTCGTCCTTGATTCATTTTTATATGTGGGAATTCGTTTATGATGTTGATGACCGTACCAAGCGGAGAGACTTGTATATTAATGTATATGCAATGTATGTATGGAATAATTGCTATCAGATGATCCAAAGAAAAGACGCTGATTGATTGCGTAGTTGAGTAGCATGATAATTTTCTCTAGCCTGGCATCTATATACGTATATACCTACCTACCTACCTACCTACCTACCTACCTACTGATTTGATATACATATGGTATGGGTGTCGGGTAAATTCAAAGAGTTTTTTGTCTTTTTTTTCTATCGGCGTGTCCATCTACGAGCTTAAGTTGGGTGCTGTGCTGATATGGCTTGGCTGGCATGTTTGCTTCATATCGAGGAAGGTCTATGTACCAAGAGAGATGGAGAGATGGCGACAAATAATTTCTCACCGTCTCTTTTTGATTCGTGTGAGATACTACATAGAAACGGAAGGGATGAGTATTTTTTTTCAGTAAAAATTAATTAATACAGCCATTGAATTTCTCATGATACTACATACAATACAGATTTGGAAACTGCTATTGTTACATACAGGTCGATTACGGTCGATATCTCCCGAGATTCGACGGATTGACACGACATCTCACTCGACAAACGTTGCATGCTCCAATATCTCGCCCACTTTCAAAACGAGCTCGTCGTCACCATACTGTCCGATTACCTGAATTCCGACTGTGTCGGTATCAGAAGACTCATTCTCACTCCCGTGCTGAGATGAGGAAGTAGAGTCGGAGACAGAAACAGGGACGGAAATCGCAGGTAATCCAGCCAGACTGGCAGGAACGGTGAAGACGTCGGTGACATATGCATTCAACGGGGAGGACTGGTTGCTGGCGTCCAGAAGAGAGGATAGGCGGGGTGGAGTAGAAGGCGCAGTTGGTCCAATGAGAACATCGACCGTCGTCTCCTGACGCTCTATAGCAGATGCACGCAATGGATTTTCTGTGCTAAAAATCGCGTCGAAATCCGCTTGCACAAGACGACGGACCCGCTGCGCCTGGATGAAATAGTTGTCCATCGCATCAGCGCTCAGACTGAACGAGCCCAACAAAATCCGCCTCTTCACCTCCGCCCCGAAGCCTTCGCCTCGCGTCTTCGCATACAAGTACCCATTTGGACCCTCTTCGCTGTCCGGGCCTTCTGCACGTGTACCATATCGGACACCGTCATACTTGGCCAGATTGGAAGAAGCCTCCGCCGGCGCCAGGACGTAATATGCCGACAAGGCAAGTTTGGTAGTTGGGAGAGAAATTGGGTGCAAAGTATGGCCCTGTTTCTCGAGATGCGCCAGGGACCGTAACCAAGCACGACGGACCGGCTCTGTCAGTTCCGACAGATTGTATTCCAGCGGAACACCTATCCGTAGCGGGCGCGAAGTCAGGCGATCTGACAACGGAGGTGTTGCAAGATATGAAGATATCCGGGAGCGAGATGACGGTGACAGATTGGTAGGATCACGGTGATCGTGGTGATTCAGCACATCTGCAAACACAAAACGTTAGCCTGTGGACGCAGTCATGACGATCTGGGAAAACCCGGGGCATGCATACTAAAGACATCACGGACCACTGAGGTTTTTCTACCCAGGATCCCAACGGTGTCGAGAGAATTCGCATACGCGACTACTCCCCAGCGTGAGATGAGTCCATAAGATGGTTTGAAGCCAACCGTTCCCGTGTATGCGGCCGGCAGCCGTACAGAACCACCCGTATCCGTTCCCAATGCTCTAGAATATCATTGAGCAAATGCAACGCTCATTGGCGTTCAAGAAATACTCACGCATAGCATTGCTCTGTAGCAACTGCCACAGCACTTCCTCCAGAGCTGCCTCCTGCAGAGAGTGGCGCCTCGTCTCCGTCCTGTCTCGAATTCCGAACTGGACCGAACCGCGAATGAATAGAATGTGAACCCATCCCAAACTCGTCCAGGTTCGTCTTGCCCGCTACAACAGCTCCGGCATCCTCCAGGGCATTGACTACCGTCGCATCAAAGGGACTGGTGAACTTATCCAACACTCCGGAGGCGCATGTCGTCGGTAGGGTCCGAGTACAGATATTGTCTTTGACCGCGATCAATCGACCGTCGAGTGGAGACTTTGAGCTTCCTTTGTATTTTGAAATCAGTCAGTATATTAGAAGAATCGCTTACAGAAGTAGTCGTCCTTACTGCTCTCCCTCCGAGCATCTGCATCTCGAACCCGGTCCAGCCATGAGCCAGAGCGCTGCAGCGGGGTAATGAAGGCATTGAGGCCAGCGTATGCCTTTTGGTTAGCGAGACATTTCTCAGCTTCGCGCAGAAGGGACATTGACGTCTGCGCGAGTCAAGCGGGAATGCCGCGTTCAATTCGTGGAAAGGCGTGATAAGTTATTGTATGTATATAGCTTAGAACATTAATACTCCGTAGTTCAATGCAGAGTCATCTGAGCAGACACCCGACCTCGGCATGTGGTCCGTGCTGCTGCTCCGGTTTGCACCGCAGACGAAGAGTTGACAAGGACATACTTCTACGTCTTAGATGACCATGATTCTTCTTAAATATAATATTTCACACTATTCTACGACCTACTAAACGTAGAGAAACGAGATATGTTTCCATCTAGCAATCTCCAACGTGTAAGGACGATTTACTATACTACTATTCAAACATCTCCGGACTTGCATCGGACCTGCATACAAGCGACTATTGGCGTGCCTATCTTAGACCATAAAGGCCTGTTAAAATATCAATCATAACAAGAAATAATTCCGGCATCGAGCTGTACAGATGTGGGGGAACCTTTTCCCCAGACGGTCTTGTTTGGCTCGTCCTTTTCCGACCCGAGCTAAACACGCGCATCTCGGCGACGTCATCCGACTCCAATGATTTAATAACGCCGACCGTTCATTGATAGCTCCCCTCGTCTTCAACTTCCCCCACTCCCTGGAGTTACTTCGCCCTCAACTACCCGCCTTTCGGTCAGAGCAGGCGCCATGTTCTCTTCCGGAGCACTACGAGGCGCTGCCGATAGCGTTCGCAGCGCGACGGCAGCATCTTCGTCACTAAGAATCGGAGCTCCTCTCGTCCGAACATGCGTGCAACAGCAGCCGCGAGGTGTAGCTTCAGGTCGCATGCTCGAAGGACGGAGATATATCACTGCTTACGGCTATACACAAGCAAAGGCACTGGTATACTCAAATTATGGAGAGCCCAAGGATGTTTTGCGGTAGGTCTCGGAAGTAATCCAATTTCTCAAATCGAACAAATCAAGAAAAAAAAATGCAGATTGCACATAACAGATCGCTGACTTCCATTTTCCTATGGCCAATTGATATAGTCTTCACAAGCATTCCATTTCTCCCCCTCACGGAACGCAAGTCAACCTCCGCCTTCTCGCCGCACCGATGAACCCCGCGGACGTCAATCAAATCCAAGGCGTGTACCCGGCAAAGCCTCCATTTGAGACGACCCTTGGCACCGGAGAACCCGCCGCTGTAGCTGGAAATGAAGGTGCCTTTGAAGTCATTTCGACGGGGTCTGGCGTCAAGTCTTTGTCCAAGGGCGACTGGGTGATCATGAAGCGCACCGGCCAGGGCACGTGGCGGACGCATGCACAGATGGACGAGTCGCAGCTGATTAAGGTGGAGGACAAGAACGGGTTGACGCCGCTGCAGGTCGGCACTGTCAGTGTCAACCCCGTCACCGCATACCGCATGATCAAGGACTTTTGCGATTGGGACTGGCTGCGCAGCGGCGAGGAGTGGCTCATTCAGAATGGTGCCAACAGCGGTGTGGGCCGAGCTGCCATCCAGCTTGCCCGGGAATGGGGCATCAAAACCCTAAATGTGATCCGGGAACGAAGCAACCCCGAAGAGACTGAGGCGTTGAAGAAAGACCTGTTGGATCTCGGTGCAACCGCCGTCGTGACCGAGTCAGAACTACTCTCGGCCGATTTCAAGAATATCGTCCATGAGCTGACCAACAAGGGCAAGGAGCCCATCCGCTTGGGATTGAACTGTGTGGGTGGGAAGAGTGCCACCGCACTCGCGAAGACCCTTGCGCCTGGATCCCATCTGGTTACCTATGGTGCCATGTCGAAGCAGCCCGTCTCGTTGCCATCCGGGCTCTTGATCTTCAAGAACCTCGTCTTTGACGGCTTCTGGGTCAGCAAATGGGGCGATAAGCATCCGGATATGAAGGAGAGTACGATCCGTGACGTCTTCCAGCTGATCCGCGCAGGGAAATTTAAAGACGTCCCTGTGCAGGAGGTCAAGTGGACCTGGGATACAGATGGTGCAAAGCTGGCGGAGGAAGTGCAAGGGACGCTCGGCGGTTTCCGAGCCGGCAAGGGCATCTTTGTCTTCGAAAGCGACGATTAAGAGAATATCCTGTGTCATCATCTCATAATCGGAGCTAATTCTAATACTCATCTGTAGAATAAGAGTACAGAGAATCTTCACGGATTAGACTCATCATGTTTATATCCCCCTGGTAAAGAGTTGTTTTGGCAACTGAGGCATAACCTGGAAAATGAAAAACATTGCGGAATCATTTGCGCCATCATTACCGTCATGATCAAATATGGTCTCCCAACGCCATGGACATAATGAAGAAGATAACTAGTAGTTCACATTGACATCGTCATCATCACATTTCCAGTGTTCCTTGACCCAGTTCAGGATGAGACTGGTCAGAGTCGTTCCCTTCATGTAGGTATCAGAGTCGCTCTCGAAATCAACATCGAGACCGGAAAACTTGGCCGCCAAGGCCACGTAGGGCTCAATGAAATCCACGTAAACTAGATCCACCGTGTCTGGATCCGTAGTGGTTCGACCAGGCAGAACTTCATCCGGAGAAGTTTCGGGTTGAATCAAGGTTTGTATACAGTTTGGCACCCGATAGAATGGAATTGGAGAATGAATTGTGTCATCGCCGTCCTTGCCCCCTTGGTCAACAGTCGTATAGCCTGGTGTGAGTTTTAGCTTTGGTTGGTCGTCAGCGGAGAGGAGAATCTGGTCCTGCATGCCCATCAAGTCATGATGCGAAGTCGGGTGACTTTCTGGGATCACGTCGAAAGGATGAGCCATCTGCTCTGGCGGGGTCAACGGAAAGCTGCGATGAGAATTCGGCAATGATTCGGTCAGGATCTGAGGCTGCTTATTCAAGACCTCAACAACCCTTCTGGCTGTCTCGATCGGAACATCCTTGATGTATCGGAATCCACTTGTAAAGGGAGATACGATGAAGGTTGTGTCTTGCGTGAAGGGTCCCTTGAAGATATCAAATCGGATGGCTCCGGTGTTGACAACTGCCAATGCGGATTTGTTGCTCCGCGACTCCTCTCTAAGTGAATCAGGCAGCACCTGATCCTCTAACCAGGTATAGATGCTATCCTCACTGCCGTATGGGGCGCGAGTCATCCACAGATCCCTGGGCGCGCAACCGTGGACATGGTCCAGGCCAAGAGCATGCCTGGCATGCTGGATTAGTCGAGAAACATTTTTCCCATGCTCTGTTGGAAATGTACTCTCGTTGAGGCCTGTGTGATGGTAGAATGAGAACAGATTGTTATCGATATACCTTCGGTTGAACGTGAGAGTGTTGGGAACGTGCTGACCATCAGTCCTCAGGCCGTCAATAGACATGAAGCCAATGGTCTCCATGAAACGGCCACTAGCAAGGCCGTAGGCTTTGGAGTCGTATCTAACATAGTCTCGGATATGCCAGTGACCGCCGAAGAATTGGATGGGCGTGTCCCACCGGATGCTTCTGATCTCCCTGAAGATGGTGTTGTACTCCTTGGATTGAACGGGAACGTGCCCAATCACCACGAACAGGTCGACGTCCTTGTCCCGGATAGCTTCCTGGAACCAGGACTCCTTAACAGTCTCCTCCACTGGCTGAACCACGGTGTTGTTATTGTTTCTAGTAAAATCGAACAAGAACCCAAACGCGACGATGCGGATCCCCTGATTCTTGGTGGTGAATTTCTTGAATCGAGGAGCCAAGGGCACGAGCTCCTGGGATTTTGGATCTATGATGTCGATATTTGACGCAATATAATTTCCCCGGAAGTTGGGTACTGTGGTAAGGAACTCTGCCTCGGATGTGTTCTGTTTATATAGTTCATGATTCCCCGAGCAGATCAGGTCAATATGTTGCTGCTTGAGAATCTCCGAAAGGTAGATGCCTTTTGGTTCCGACGAGTCGTAGAGACCATTGCCTTCAACGCGATCACCGGTATCTATCACGAGAAGATCCCAGCCCTGGGATTCGGCCTTCTCGCGCATGCGGGTCGCAAACGAGACATAGTCACCCCAGTCGGCCGAGTACGAGGGTCTGGAAAGTCACCACATCAGCCTATGACTGGCCTTGAAACTGAATCTCCTACAGAAAGCCATACTCTTGCAAATGACCGCCTAACCAGCCATGGGTATCTGTAGTATGGAGGAAATTCAGCTGACCCCATTTCAAGTCTCTGATAGGCGCGGGGACCGGTCGAGGAGCAGACGGCTGGGCCGCACGGATGGGGGCAGAGAGAACGAGAGCTGTGAGTAGCAGACGGCGCAGCATGTTTACCCATCTGTTCAGTTGCATTCGAACCGCCCGCATGCCATCCAGAGAAGACGATAACTGTAGTAGTAGTACTGTATGCCCTCCGAAGGTACCCGTCGGAGCTCCCAGGGCGGTCACGCGCAAGGCGGTGACGGCCGGCTGGGCCAAACTGGGACAGACGCCGTCCGATACGGTACCGCCTGATACCACGCTGATACCGGACTAGACACCGAGAGGGCGACCGGTGTGCAAACAAGCCTCGAGCAAACACTCCAGATCCAATAATGCCCTCGCGGCCTCGCTGCCAGCCCTTGCTTAGTCATCCCTCCCAACAATCCAGCTCATCCCAATCCAGTCCTCAATTGACACCGGAGCGGAGCTCTAGTTGTCTAGCCAGCCAAAATCTTCCCCCGACATCTCCCGTCCTCAATCCCTCGAGCTGCCTCCGAACGGGGTGAATTGCCCTCTTCCTGGTTTTTTCCTTTCTCCTTCTCGTCGCCCCTTCATCCGCCTGGTCCTTTTTCTCTAGTTCCGTCATGGCTGCCCCCGGCTTTTCCGGCCCGCAGCTCGTCTGCTCTCGTCGCGCATCTCCTCTCCTATCCGGCCTGCATTCAAGCAATCGGCCTGTGTACCTTCAATTCTCTGCCGACGAACATATGCGACTCCGAGCGGCACCAAGGAGGTGACCGTCAGAGATGCCTTGAACGAAGCGCTGGCGGAGGAACTCGAGACCAACGAGAAAGTGTTTATTCTGGGAGAGGAGGTTGCGCAGTACAATGGAGCGTACGGGCCACCCCCGCTAGCTGTCTTTTGGGCTTCTTCCAGTCAATGGCATGTAGCTAACGGCGACTTTTGTTCGTGATAGTTACAAGGTGACGCGAGGTCTCCTAGATCGATTTGGCCCCAAGCGGGTCATCGACACTCCCATCACTGAGGCCGGTTTCGCTGGTTTGGCAGTTGGAGCAGCTCTGGCTGGCTTGCACCCTGTTGTACGTCTGAGTGCAGTGTTCGCATTTATGAAATGTCTCCAAAGATATCGCTGACTGGGACTTGCTTGTCCGCAGTGTGAGTTCATGACCTTCAACTTCGCCATGCAGGCCATCGACCAGATCATCAACTCTGCCGCCAAGACGCATTACATGTCTGGCGGTATCCAGCCTTGCAACATCACCTTCCGTGGGCCCAATGGCTTTGCTGCTGGTGTCGCTGCTCAGCACTCTCAGGATTACGCGGCGTGGTACGGCGCTATTCCCGGTCTGAAAGTCGTGGTTCCATACAGCGCGGAGGATGCCAAAGGCCTGCTTAAAGCTTCCATTCGGGACCCCAACCCCGTCGTCTTCCTCGAAAATGAGTATGCCACACCAGAGAAAACAAAAAAGAAAGCAATTGCATACCTAGTTCGCTAACGTTTGTCCAGACTGCTTTACGGTGAATCTTTCCCCATGAGCGAGGCAGCTCAGAAGAACGACTTCGTCCTGCCCATTGGGAAGGCCAAGATTGAGAGGCCGGGTAAAGATCTGACGATCGTGTCGCTGTCCCGCAGTGTCGGCCTGTCCCTCAAGGCTGCGGCTGAGTTGAAGGAGAAATACGGAGTCGAGGCGGAGGTTATCAACTTGCGATCTGTCAAGCCCCTCGACGTGGAGACGATCATCAAGTCCCTCAAGAAGACCGGCCGTCTGATGGCTGTCGAATCTGGTTTCCCGATGTACGGTGTTGGATCTGAGATTCTGGCAGTGGCCATGGAGTACGGCTTTGACTACCTGACGGCGCCTGCTGTCCGTGTCACCGGTGCCGATGTCCCTACTCCCTACGCCGTCAAGCTCGAGGAGATGAGCTTCCCCCAGCAGGACACGATTGTCGGCCAGGCCGAGAAGCTGCTGCGATTGTAAACTTATCTCCATTACCGCTGACCTTTTTACTGCGGGGGTAAAGGAGAAAGGGAGTCGGGACCGAGAGATCATAATTTAATTCTATCTATTATGTTTCTAGTATCCTTTTTCTTTTCAACTGTTGCGGATCATCCATTACTATCAATTGCCGAGCCAATATTAGAACTGTACGACTAGTACGACTCCTCAAAATATACATTTCTTTTCTGTTCGTCATCTCTTGTATTGTGTATTAATAACCCGCATCCGATGTAAAAAGAAAACACAATAAACTAGTAAGTGGCATGTCCCTGCTTTTCCCCTAACCAACGCCGTGTCCAGCCCAGTGATATATGCTTTCCACAAGATCAACGTATAGTACAAGGCATAGAAACACGAACTGACACAAATTGCGGCAAGCTATGCAACTGCAATATCCTTCGCGCCTGCACAACCGGCGAAACAATCCGTCGGTTTTCGAGGGTCATAATAGCCTCCACCGGCATCATCTTTCCCATACTCCTCATCCGTATCACTCTCCGCATCAGCTGGTTTCTGGTCTTCTTTCCCTGGGCGAGTTGTCCCTCCGCCGGATTGACTTGCTGTGTTGTTGTTCGTAGTGGTGGTGTTGTTGTTGTTGTTGCCATCTTCATCTTCATCATCGTCTCCAAGAACGTTTTTCCTAGCCGGAACTGTTGGGACGGATGGCCCTTTCACTGTTGTAAATGAGCTCTTAAACCCTCCTTTCTTGAATCCTCCACCTCCACCGCCTCCAGTAGAGGGGGTGGTATCGTTGTCCAGTACTCGCAATCCGGCCTCCGCATCCGCCTTCTTCTCCGCGCGTCGAGCTCTCTCCGCTGCGTTAGGATCGCGGGACAGCTGTTTGAGGTCCTGTAGTCGCTTGCGATGTTGATGGTCGTAAGACGAGATGTGCGCCTCATATTCTGGATGTCGGGAATAGGACTTGTTGCAGAGAGTACAGGTGAAAGAGCTTAGAGCCGAGCGCGCTGACTCGGTCTAGTTATATAGCATAAGTAAGTATCAATTAAAAGGTTTGTACCAGGCCCTTCTTACCTTAGGAGCAGGATTTGTGAAGCCGCGCTAGATAATAGAAATCAGGATACAGTCAGATTTGTCCTATAAATTAAGAAAAAAAGGAAAAGACTCCGATGAAAATATTCAAAGCGTCTTGGGCATTATAGGGGCCATACAGGTGCCATGTTCTAGGAAGGCCAATAATGCGACTCTGAGGATACTGTATCGGCGGAGATAGCAAGGATGTAGTCCAAGAGCTGATCTTCTTATGACCGCATATCAGTCTCCCGAAGTTAAAGAATCGTCTTCAATGGCGTGCCTCGCAAATTCTGGCCGAGCCAAATTGACAAGAATTTAATGTCAGTGTCCTGAGTGAGCGTAAGGAATGAGTTGGACGGCGGCGACAGCGGTGAGGGACGATTCTGCCAGAATAATGATGGGTGGCGCATAGCGGGGCGCCACTATTTTCGTCTGTATACAAGACTCCCCAGACAGGAAGCCACTTCAAGCAACCTTGGAAGCACGATCCAGCTTAATTGTTATTTAGTCGGACTATCTCAAATGTATCTTCCAAATTTACTGTTCCAGACTAGCATCCAATCTATTGTTGCTATTTTCATTAAAAACTATCACGGCCTTTCGCAGTAAAATGCCTAATGCACCAAGAGGCATATAGACATCGAACAGACAATACCTGATCTATCATGTGAAGAGAAAAGGGTTCTCATGCGGTTTCATCATTGGAGACAAACGGGCTTGGTCTTTCCACTTCCATGAACGCAACAATATCACCTTCCATGGGAACCTCGGTGTAGATCTTAAACCCGTTCTTTAGGAGAACCTTGACACTCCCTACATTCGCCTTGTTGCAAGCTGCATAGAGTTTCTCCACAGGTTCATCTTCCTCTGAGTCTCTTGACATTTTCTCTAGCTCCTTATTGGCCGACCGTCTGGGCAACTTCCACCATGCATTCATAACCCCTCCTAATGCCTCTGTCGCGTAGCCTTGCCCCCAGAATTCCGGATGCACTGTGTACCCGACCGACGGGGAGGGATCGAGGGAGTTGATTCCGACCGTCCCAACAATTCGCTCACTGGGATCATCAGCCCGAATCATAACGAAGTAGAACGTCCGGCCCAGCTCCCCAGATGCATCGGGAGTCCTAAATGTCTTCTCACTCATCCACCGTTCGGTAGTTGCAACATCGGGGTCCGGAGACTTGGGCCAGCTGGAGAATAGAACGTTGGTTTGTGAAGATGTGATTGCAAAGTGTTATTTCTTACAGAGTATTTGCCACTTCCTGCAGGCTTCGAATGGCAAAGATGCCAGATGCATCAGCTGTCTGGAGTGGACGAAGAAGGAGGCGTTTCGTGTGAATAGGCTCTCCTTGAGCGGGGACAATGACGGTGGGAACTTGCTGGGGATACATTTCAACAATATGGCTTTCGTCTGGGAAGATTCAAAGTGATTGATGTTGTTCAATACACGTGCGACGTCGTCTTTAAAAAGCAGAAATTTTTTTTGTTCAGTTCGACAGTGAAAATTTGAAGTCTGCAGAGGCTGGAATTGAGAGTTTCCCAGGAGCGCACGTCTCATTATGCATGCATCTCAGCTGGCTTCGATCTCGCTCCTGCATTCTGACACAACCTGATCTTGCAGGGGATACTCGCCGCCTAGTTTGTCGAATCGAGGCACAACCAACAATAGGTAGTAGTAGGGAGTATGGTATACCCCGGTAAGGTCAGTACAGGACATGTAAGTTTTGATATCAGCCCGATACGCCTGCACCCTACGGGCGGCTGATTTGAGCCTATCAGTTACCTTTCAAGGCCGCTAAGAAAACCAGATGGCCACAAGACAGATTGATAGAGCCATCTAGGCCATAACGTGCTGTGGCTTAGCTTCTCCATATGTTCCATGCCAAGGAGAAAGAACCCGGGGGCGTCGGACGAATCAGCGGAGGTCTTTTCGCGTCGACCTTTTCCGTGAACTTTCGTCATTTCTCAGTTCCTGGACTATGCGATGTGAACTCTCATGCAATGAATTGAATGCGATTGATGTTATTACAAATCATTAAATATAATTAATTTCAGGAAATAGCTTCTATTCATTTGGTACTTTGGTTGCTTTTCTCTCCAATCGTCGGTCTCCGAGAAGCCCTACCTATGGATCGACGAAAAGGAGAGAGCTCGATTCCTGGGGCCGACGACAGCGAGACCCGTTCAATCTTCTCCATGCGAGAACTAGAACCCTCTCCTGTGGACGATTTCCCTTCGGATCTCGAAACGGGTGATTATTTCCCCGAGACACGAACTCCGGGCACCAGAGAGCCTGGCCGGCTCGCGATCTCGAAGCTAGGTCTCAGTGGCCATGGGTGGGATTATTATTGTATGTCTGAGACAGAGCCATTGAACACTCTTCTGTTCTGATTTTTTATTTTGGGAGAATAAACATCGCCTAACAACGCGGACTAGTGTCTGCAATTCAGAAGTATTCCACTTATCCACCAACGTTTTTCCTCGTCCTGCATGCCGCCAATACCTCTCTCATCCCGCTCGTGACCCGTTCGGTGCCTTCGAGTGAATCGTACCTTCTCCTTACCAGACCGTTCTATCAATCCCCCTCTCTCGAACATGTGGTCTTGACGATTCCAATTCTCGCGCATATCGCCTCCGGAGTCGCTCTCCGAAGCATTAGAGCACGGCGACGAGCGCGATTGTATGGCGCCGAGACGCGAAGTCAGAGATATCTTATCAAATCTTGGCCAAACCCCAGCCTGCAAGCAAAACTCGGATACCTCATGATTCCTCTATTGGGCACACATGTTCTCGTGAACCGGGCTGTTCCATTGGCCATTGACGGCGGAAGCTCTGGTGTGGGACTGGGGTACGTGGCTCATGGGTTTGCGAGAAGCCCACTGTTTTGGAATATTTTCTACATGGCCTTTGTTGCAGCAAGCGTTTGGCACTCGGTCGGCGGTTGGGCCGCGTGGATGGGATGGAGGGTCACGACTCGCCGAACAGAAAGAAGCCAAAGCAAAGGTCCTAATGGTGGCTACCTTGGGACGATGGAAACCTCAGAGGAGAGGCGAAAGAAGAGGAGGACACGGTGGATCGTACATGGACTTGCCGCGCTGGGCACAGCACTCTGGCTCGCTGGGGGTCTGGGTGTTGTTGGACACGGCGGCCCAGGATCAGGATGGGAGGCCAAAAACTGGGATGAGCTATACAAGAGCGTGCCCGTCATTGGCGGATGGCTGTAGAGGCAAGATAAGCTCTCGAGATATGTTTTATGGGACCATTGAATGATGGCATGTCTGCATTGTATGTCATGGCGTGATGAGCCGACTTGTATGCATATATAGGCACTCAGAATAAATAATGTTAATGCATAGTAATAGTAATTACGCAGAAACTTATACGGTCAAAGACGCATCTGCCGCAAGGATTGAAATATTGAACTAGGCCCTCCTGGTACCGAGCATTCGAGTTGTATCGATAACGAAGCATTGGCTCTGCTGATAAAGGTACCTGCTCGTTTTGGTTGTGGCCTGTGCGTCTATTTAACAAAAAGTTTATCGCCGGAGATTTCTCGCGACGCAACGTCTAAGGTGACCAACCCACCAAAAACATACAGCTTCGGGAGAAATGGTTCCGGTTTTCCAGGGTCAATGATCTTGACTCTTCCCTTTCTTACTGCTTCGTCAAAATCGCGATGGGCAGCGACCCGCAGGCTTCATCTCGCTTTTCATTTTAATTGCCAGAGGCTTCCACCCCAGACTGGACCATTTGAGCAAGGCTCCTTCACACAATTCAAAAGAGCACTTACTACCAAATCTGCTGACTTTGCCGTTCCAGATATAGCAGCCATGTCTTCTGAACCTGCAGCTGAGCCGATTGTGCAGCACAACGGCAAAGAATACGAAACGGTCAAGGAAGGATTGGCGTACATTCTGAGACCAGTGACAAAAGATCCTTCGAAACCACATAAGCCAGGACAGAAAGGTGGTGAACTGCAGGCGTCTGTCTTCTACAACCCGGTACAACGATTCAACCGCGATCTGAGTGTTCTCGCAGTCAAGGCGTATGGAGAACATTTGCTAGCTGTAAAGAAGCAGAAGGCCGAGAAGAGAAGACAAAAAGGGATCGAGGGTGGAAATCCTAGAGGGAAAAAGCGCAAGAGAGAGAATGAAGATGATGATGTCGGGAATGACAGACCGTCTGTCGAAAACCCTGGCAGCGGCGCCACTGCCGGTGTGAATGAGGTGGACGTTATGGATACCTCTGGCTCCACGACGGCATCCTCAGAAACCAAAGAACCTGATTCTAATGTCCTAGACCCCAAAACTCAGTCATTTCAAATCCTTGATGCCCTATCCGCTACGGGTCTTCGCGCTCTGCGATACGCAAAAGAAATCCCTTTCGCAACTCGGATCGTCTCGAACGATTTGTCGCCTTCGGCCATTCAGTCCATGAAAGTGAACATAGAATATAACGGGGTGGAGAAGATTGTTCAACCGAACAATGGCGACGCCCGTGTGTATATGTATAGTCTCCTTGGGCCGCGGAAACCGGATAGCAATGGTGTCTACTTTGGAAAATTCGATGTTATTGATCTGGATCCATACGGCACGGCGGCTCCGTTCCTGGATGCTGCAGTACAGGCGTTAAATGACGGGGGCCTTCTCTGTGTCACCTGCACCGATGCGGGTGTTTTCGCCTCGACCGGATATCCGGAGAAGACCTTTTCACTGTATGGCGGTATACCTATCAAGGGCTCTCACGCTCATGAAGCTGGACTGCGTCTTATCTTGAATGGAATCGCCACCTCTGCCGCGAAATATGGTCTTTCGATTGAGCCCTTGCTGTCCCTCTCCATTGATTTTTATGCGCGCTTATTTCTTCGAGTCTACAAGTCCCCGGCAGAGGTGAAATTCAATTCGGGAAATACCATGTTGGTTTATAGCTGTGACAGCGGCTGCGGTGCTTGGTCAATACAACCCCTTACCCAGACGAAACAGAGGCTGGACAAGAAAGGCGACCCTTTTTATCATCACAGTTTAGCGCAAGGTCCTGTTTCGACACCTCATTGTGAGCATTGTGGTTTTAAGACCCATCTCGGTGGCCCCATGTGGGCTGGTCCTCTCCACAATCCACATTTCATTCAGAGAATACTTAATATGCTTCCTGAGCTGGATAGGGACACTTATCAAACAGTGGACCGGATTGAAGGTATGTTGACGACAGCGCTAGAGGAAGATCTCGATCTATGTGCACCTTCCAAAGAAAAGTCCCCAGACCCCAACGACAGACTAGCACTGTCGTCTCCAATCATTCCCCGGACGGATCCAGCCGCACGCGATCCTTACCCATTCTTTGTCACTCTCAGTGCCCTTTCCAAGGTCCTACACACCCAGACCGTCCCAATTAACGCCTTCCGTGGTGCTCTTTATCACCTTGGCTATCGGTCTACTCGCAGCCACACCAAACCTAATTCTATCCGCACAGATGCCCCTTGGGACGTCATCTGGGAAATTATGCGTGAGTGGGTGCGCCAGAAATCCCCTATCAAGGAAGGGGCTTTGAGCCCAGCGAGTCCCGGGGCGGCAATAATGCGGAAGAGCAGGGAAAATCGTGAAGGGGAGCAGCAGCTTTCTGCTCTCCGGAATGAGATCACGGCCGCTTTGCAGAGCGGAAAAGATGTCCACGATCTGACTACCAAGATTGAGGCTGCTCTATACCGTTGTGGATCTCGACAAGTGACGAACAAGTCACACACAGAAGGTCAAGGTGCAGTCACCACGAATGCAGATGCAGGGGAACATGCCCGCGATGGTGATGTTCATGAGGCAAGCAACGGCACCGCACCACCCAAGGGCATCCCCGAATCCAGACCCAATCCTAGCACGTTGGACATTGTATTCGATGAAGCTCTCGGTGAGAAGGCCTCTACCGCCATTTCGAAGAAACGACTTGTGCGATACCAGATCAATCCCCGAGAGAATTGGGGTCCGATGACTCGGGCCTCTGGTTAAAAAGGATACACTTCAGGCCTCCTTGGACGGGATCATATCCGCTCCTATGCTTAGTGATCGGATACGGTATCTGTAGTCTATTGTATACTCAAGGCTGTTACCAATATTTTCTCATGTGAAACGCGATTTATCCTGTTCCACGTTTCTCGTATCTTCGTGTTTTGCGATGATGCGCAGAAATAATAAAAGAAAAACAAAATCTGAAGGTCTGATTTCTTTGCATATACACATACGTACTGTCACCCAGTATGGTATTACGGTTCATATTATTAACACATCAAATGGCGTGGTTGAATAATCAGTCACCCCCCAACCTCAACGTCAATGTTAGCTTCCTGGTCACTATTCTCCTCGGACAGAAGACCCATGAGAGGGATCTCGACTTCATCAAAGTTCTTGGCCTGCTGATGGCGATGAGTCCTGGGAGCCATTGCTGCCCTTAGGCGTGGGATAGTTTGCGTGCGCACTCGCATTCCCCATCGCCACCAAACCCAGTATATCCCACCCAATGCCAGGATTGCCAGCCCTGTCATTGGATACGCGTAGTAGGGGAGAGAACCGTCGCCTTTCCCGTCGACGGGTGGTACCCACGGCAGGACAAGCAGAACTGCATTGGCAGCAATGAAGATTACCACGTAGGTGGTGCGAGCTTTGTAGTGAATTGCTGACGCAGCCCAGTCTGCCCGTGAGGAGCGATGCAGGTACAGCAGTCCACCGGCAACGGCCACACTGATCACACTGACCGGGTATCCGCCGACGTCAACTAGGAATGCATAGACGTCGCCTGACGGAATGAGGATCACAATCACCGATACCAGCCAGTGGAGGAACAAGCCAGCCAGGGGCGGCGCTTTTTCGGTTTTCTGCCCGATATGCCAGAGAGATGGAAATGGCAGCAGACCGTCGCAGCCTAACTCCTGATTGACTCGGGCTTGGGCGAAGGACGTGGCGGCAATGTTTCCAAACGCACTGAGAACGATCAAGCAAGGCAGGACCCGTTCGCCGACCAGCTTGCCAAAGACATTGCGAAAGAAGTGAGCTCCAACGGCGACACCAGACGCCTTGAAGTCTTCTTTATCGACGACGAGAAAATATGCAACATTGACAAGGACATATCCGACAGAGACAAGACCTAGGGCAATCGGGGCGGCAAGACGAAGAGTCTTCTTCGGATTTTTGACATCCGACAAAACCTGGTTTGCTGCACTGTATCCACGAAAGCAGTAGATAACTTTGAGAAGTGCCGTGGCGTAGTCATAGGGCTGAGTTGAAGATCCAGCCCAGATGCTTGCAAAATTTCGCTCCGCAGTTGTCTGAGACACTTGGCCATACTGCTTGCTTTCCTGTCCTCTGAACAAACTGGCAAACCCCAATATGACGAACGCAATCATGATGATTATCTTGGCCACCCCTAATATGTTTATTACTTTCAATCCCAGTTTGGGAGCCCGAGCATGGATCAAGCACGACAGGGTAATGACCCCGACTCCTATTGATCGTGCGTTCCACCCGTTGGGAGTACCACCGATGATGTATACAGCGTATTCTCCCAATATTATACAATTTGGAGCACTGAAACCAAGAAGCACAACGTATGCCAGAAACATGCATGTTGACAACATGTATGGCTTGCGAAAGATCCGTTCGAGGTAGACCCTCTCACCACCGGAGCGTGGGATCGCAGTGCCCAAGTCGAGATAGACGGCGAGACCGCAGAATGAGATCAGAGCACCCAAAACCCACATCATAATCGACATACCGACTGAACCCACGCCAGCAAAGATGGAGGATGGCACTGAATACACGCCAACCCCGACTGTTTTTCCAACAATGATGTTAATGGCGGACAGGGTGCCCAATTTCGCTCCATCATTGCTGTCATCAGGTGTATAGGGAGCTTCGGACGCAAGAAAGCATGGAGTCAGTGGTGAGCGGGCCCAGATGTGTTTGTCCGAGGAACGAGGTTCATCAGAATCAGTACTATCCGCTCCGCTGTGTAGTGATGGGCATGCGAAGACCCGTTTGTGTCGATGAAGATCACTGTCGTCATCTCTCGGCGTCAAGGTTGATAATATGGAAGCAGCTGGATGGTAATTCCGCTGTGTATTATTGCTGTTCCCTTCATTGTGATGCTGCGTCCGTGGCGTCGTCGGGGTTCGACATGTAATTTCGCTGAAAGTGGAGAGAAGCGGTGACGCTGCAGTTGATATACCCTCACCATGGAATTGTCGGGATATCCGTGGAAACCCATGCATTAAGAATTTATATACCCAACGTGTTTCCTTCTCGAAGCAAGTGATTGTAACCGCCTAGAATGACCACCGATCTAGATATTCATGCGATACACATGCCAAGAGGGATAGGACAAGAACAAGGAAGATACTCCGTAAAGAAAAAAAAATGAAAAAGAAAGCAAGAATATCTTGCAAGAAATCTCTTTAGATAAGAGAGCCGAGCAAGCCATAAATGGACAGGGGTCGTCATGGCTCATACATATATGAGGATGTTCTCCACAGCAAGGGTACGTTGAAAGGCTAACAGAACTACAATGTCTGATTTACTGTTTATATAGCATGAATAACCCGGTCATAAAAACTCCTCGTATAGGTGTATTTTGTGGAAGATCTGCTATTTATCATATCGAGCTTTGCAGATGATAGCTTTCTTTAGTTGCTGGTTCTGAAATTTGTCCATCTTTTTTCGCACATCTTAGCTTGTAGCATAAAAAAATATCCAGAATCAGTAAGGAGCTGAGACTTTTCAAGTCATACTAAGATCCCGTAAGATGCAGTTGATTTGTATGCTACTACTAGACTAGCTACTGAGCCGTAGATGAAACGAAGCAGTCCACTATTTAATTCGAGGATCTACATATGTGAGACGCGATGTTGTCAAGCTTAGTACGAATCTGTACGGAAATTGTCTCATCCAATTCTCTATCCCTCTAAGTCAGGAACTTGCAACATAATGTTGCAATCGGAGGCAACTAGAGGCATTTCTAGCGATTTTGACTCCAGGCTGTGGTAGGGACTGAATTGGAGCTCCATGCATGGGCCAGCCTCTCTCAAGCCCTCGAAAACGCTCGCTGTTGGGGATTTGTTGCGGAGCTTCGAACGGACTGACAAGTGACACTCGATCCTCAAACAGCCAGGGGCTCGGTTACCGGGAAACAAACCTGGCACAAAAGACGCTTCACCCAACGCAAGCATAATATCTTTGCTGATGCTTCTGCCTCACCGGGAACTGGAGTGGAATTCGCGAGCCAAACTGGCTGGGCCTTGAGCATCGATCTCGCACCCGATTTACAGGGCAAGACGAGAAACCAAGACGAATTGCAAGTTGAATACCAGTGGCGCACTACGAACTGGACTCTGCCTCCGGCTGGTAATATAACAAGTCAGTTGTACAGTACATACATAAAGACGAGTTTTATTCAATAACATAAAATCACGTCATTTCGTTAACTCCAGGGAATAGCTTCGTAGAGAGAGAAAATCAGAAGAGAAAATAAAAGGTATGAGACCTGTACAGGTTCTAGACATAATACGTATACATCTATGGTCCACCCAGACAGCGCACAGCATTATTCATCGGCATCTGGGCCACCTATTCTGCTTCATTAAAATTTAGATACGGCAACTGCAATCGCTTGAGAGTCGCTGTGGCTGATGCTGACAGTTACAGACTTCACGCCGGCCTCCTTAGCAGCCTCAGCGGCAGCTCCATGAAGCTAGACAAGGCTCGTCAGCGGGCTGTCTACGGACGGGAAAAGGGGAATGCGAAAACTTACATGGACCACTGGTGCACCATTGGCATCATTGATAATCTCAATCTCCTTCAATGGAGCACCGGCACCCTTGGAAGCGACTCCCAGAGACTTGAAAACCGCCTCTTTCGCGCTCCATCTCCCGGCAAATGAAGACTGTGGCGATGGCGCCTTACGGCAATACGCTTGCTCACGTTCGGTAAAGTTCCGTTCCACGAATACGTCATTCTCAATGTTGATAGCCTCGATCTTCTCGACATCGACGCCTACTCTGGAGTTCGGAGCTGCGGTCGCTGTGGCAAGGGACTCGATCATCTGGCGCGTTCTCTCCGTCTCCTGGTCTTTGCTCTTCGGAGGGGCCGAAGGATAAGTGAGCTGGGAAGTCTTCTTATCCAAAGTGACACGGTAGTCGGGGTTAAGGAAGACTTGACTCTGCAGCTTATCATCGTAGGGTGCTTTATCCTTGGCCACGAAAAGACTGTTGTTGATCATTCCGTTGTGGAAGTAGCGGTAGGCCTTCTTTTGACGAGCTTCGACCTTGGCTCGGTACGACTCAAACTGGGCCTTGTCCAAGGTTGCGAAGAGGTATTTTGGATGGATACCAATTACCTGAGCACCCTTCTGACCAAAACCGAATGAAGTGACGGAGAACGCCTTCACACCATCGGTCTGAATGCTGCGGCTGGGGTACACAATGTAGTCAAATTGCTCCATGACCTTGTCGACATTGTCTGCATTGCGGTTGCCAGGAACAAGGCCGGTGTTGAGGACCTGCAAGCAGCCATTGAACATCCAAGCACCAGCAGCACCCTTGGGATGTCCCGTAAGGTATTTCTGGAAAATGCCAAGAACAGCGTTGCCCTTCTTACGGCCGAGGTGCCTGAGCTGCTGACAAATGACATCCGATTCATTCTTATCGTTGGCAACCGTGGAGGTTCCATGGAATGAAGCAACGTCGAGGTCGTCGATAGTCAGACCCCAGGTTGCCAAGGCGCCACGCAATGGAGCAATGCGGGGATCTTGTCGCCAGAAGTTATTTCCAAGGCTGAATTGAGCGTCCTTCTCCTGGCGGATCGCCTCCTGCTCAATGTGCTGGGTTCGCTCCTGCAAGTACGCTGAAGCATCGAAAGGTTCCGAACTCTGACTCTTGATCGCCTCGACTTCCTCCTGAAGATACAGGAGCTCTGATTCTTTCCATTGCTTGATCTGCTGCCTGCGCAGCTCGAGCTGTCGACGACGGTAGTTGATATCAAGCAACGGGGATGGGAACTTTCCAGGATTCTCACGAGCAGTCGTCAGCACACCCTGGCCAGGTGCAGGAACGGAACGACCAATCTTGTCAGTAGCAGTGGTGGTCAATCCAATAATACCGTAGATGGGAACACCCATGTCCAAAGCCAGCTGAGCACTCATGATGACTTGAATACCGCAACCTTGGGACTCCATGAATCCGCTTCTGGTCGTCGTTGTCGGACGAGACATCTCCTGTGGGGTACGGCCGTGTGCAAACTCATCAAGAGAATTGCTGGTGGCTTTCATATTGGCGAACTCATACGAACCCTCCTCTGAAAAATCATCAAAACCACCAACAAAGCAGACGCGGGCCTTTCCTTCGACGATGGTCTCATAACCGATATCGATTGATTCCACTGCTGTGGCACAAGCACCTACTGGAGTCTTGATAGGGCCGGTAGATGAGATGAGCAACATGTTAACCCACGCACTCATTGTGTTGATGAAGGACTCCTGCAGAATGTCCTTCTGGACAGGCTTGTCCAGGAAGCGATCCTTGTACATGCCTCTCAAAGCGGAAGTACCACCGATACCAGAACCAATGCAGTTTCCGACTTCCGACAAGTGGACGTACTTGTAGAATTCATAAGGATCGGTAATACCAGATGCAAGGAGGGCCTCAACCGTGCAAACAAGGACATAGAGAGTCACAGGGTCGACCTGATCAATAATGTCTTCGGGAATACCATATCTCCTAGCGTCCCAGCCGGTTGGGATCTGCCCAGCAACCAGTCGGTCGAACTGCAGAGCCTTGGGGATAAGCAGGGTGGCACCCTTCTTGAGGCGAACCGTGTACTCTCCAGACTCGGGAATCTCAAAAATCTCCACCTTGTCGCCATGCTCCCGCTTGAATTCTTCGGCTGTCTCCTTGGACGCTTCAAACGGTTCCAGATCCTCCTGAATGACAACTTCTTGAAGCATGTGCTTCCGATTGGGGTCATATCCATTGAACAATTCGGGTTCAACAAGCCGAATACCGGAGTGCTCGAGGATGTATTTCTCATATTTGGCCTTCACATCTTTGTCGTCGACTGGCTCTCCAGTCTTGGCATCGACCCAGCCAGAGTACGGCTTCCCTTTGAGAGATCCGTTGTGATTCTTGATCAGACCCATCATCCAGGCCATTTCCACACACCCCTCCAAGGAGAACTTGCCATAGGCCTCCATCTCCCATCGAGTTCGTGAGTTACCCCATGGTCCAAGTTCCGAAAAACCAGTGACTACGACAACTTTGTCGAGGTTGACCATGCCCTTCAGCTGCTCGTTGAGAGGCTTAATCTCTTCATCCCACTTGGGAAGCTCAGGGAACTGGAACTTGATGTTGGCTCGAGGCTCCGTGGTGACCTTCTTGTAGAGAGCCTCGCTGTCCTCGCCGTTCACGATTTTGTTTTCTATAGCAGTCTCCTTGATAACTGCCTGGCGAACGGCGCTCGTTTCCATAATCTCTTTGCGCAGCTTGGTCATCAAGCCCTTCAGATCGGGAATGAACTGCAAACCGCCGTTTAGGTCCGCGAAAACTGGATCAGACTGGCATAAATTAACAATTGCAGGGGCCATAAGTCCCAATAAGTTGAAGGCCATTTCTTGTTGGGAGAAGGTGCGTACACCGAGCTTCTCCACACCTTCAGCGACTATGTTGTTCGCGCTCATGAGACCAGTCCCACGAGTCCAGCCAATGACCGCACCACAGATGGTCAAGTAGTTGCCCCAGCTCTCAGAATACCACCGGTTGAACAGCGTCTCCAAGGCCAACTTGGACTCCGAGTACAATCCATCGTTGCCGAAAGTACCGTGGTTGGGAGATAGCGGCAGGATGACTTGGGCCGGACGCGTTTCAAAACCGCGCTGCTGTTTCTGAGACTTGATACATCCGAGCAGTCGCAGAAGATTTGTCAACATGATCCGATGGGCCAATTCGGATTTCGAGTCGATGTTGTCGATCTCACGTCCATTCTCCGGAATGGCGGCAAACGGCACAATGTAGTCGAGGTCCCAACCGAGACCCTTCTTGGTGTCATAAATGTACTCAACCAGCGCCTCCACATCTTGTTTGCTTCCTTGGTTGAAAGGAACAACAACAAGTTGGGAGCCTCGTGCACCGTATCGTGCATACATCCCCTGGTAGTATTCGGTGACTTCGCGCGAATACCGGCTCGTCGTCACAATGACCTTGGCACCACCGCTGATCAAGCCCTGAAGGACTTCGGCCCCGATAGAGCCAGCGCCAGCGCCGGTCATGAGGGCATTTTTGCCCTGAAACGTGAGACCAGACCGCGCAGCAGACAAAAGACCGTCCAGGTAGATGCCTGTCAGTTTCTTACTGTACTCCCAGCCACCATGTTCATCTTTCTTCTTCAGGTGGAGGAATGGAATCGTTTCCACCTTACCCGGACGAGGGCTGCCGTGAGATTTACCGTTGCGGCCCGGCCTCTTGGCATGGCCATTCTCTTGGGTCATGATCTGGCTCTCGTTCATTGCCAGAGCACGGATGACGTCTTTGTACAGCGCATTGAACTGAAGTTGCGAAGACTTGGAGAGTCGGTGTTGTCTGCGGATGAGCTTGTACACGTTCCTTAAATCGTTCTGCACCTTGGTTCGGCTGCTGTACTCTGAAATGGGACCACCCTCGGCCATCTGCTTCACGTAGTGTTCCAACTTCCGAGCACTTGCCCTTGGTACCTCCTGGTATGAAATGTTGCCGCGCGAGTCGATGGTGGTCTGCGGACCGGTTGGAATGCCGACATCCTTATAGACAGGGGGCTGACCGAGGACTTCCTTGCAATTTTCTATGAGCTGCTGACCCAGCTCCTTGGCGAGTTGATACGTTTCACCCCTCTCCGTCGGGCAATTGTCGATATGATACTGCATGAAATCGAGGAGCAGTGGGTTGGAACGGTTCATGATACGAATGCACTGGCTGACGATCTCACGATCGACAACCTTGAGTCGTCCGAAGATGATGTCATAATACATGCTGAGCGCATCCTGGCGAGCCCAATTCCAGGACGAGTCGTATACTCGTGCCTTCAAAGGGTCAAAGGCTGGCTCTATGCCGGAAGCATAGATGTCACCATGTTCGCTTTGCCAGAGATCCAGCTGCGCCTGCAAGGCTTTCTGGCTTTCTTGAGATGCCACGAAAGCCTTATCACCGGCTCGGAGGTCCATCTTCAGATAGCGAGCAATACTCTCCAATTGCTGTTTGAACAGCGCTCGTTGGTCCTTCGTTAATGCATCAATCGCGGCGGGATCCATCATCATAGCACCCGCGCCGGAGCCACCGTCACCACCACTCGAAGGGGCAGAAAGGTTGATGCCAGCATGAGCGGCGTATTTGTTTGCGACATCATCAAGATAAGCCTTCGCGTCCGCCTCGGATGGGAGACGCGACGCCGGTTCCACGGTCAGCGCTAACAAAAGGACTCCATCCTGACGGCCTGGTCCCAACCCCCACCTCGTCTCCAAGTATTTCCTGACAGCTGTGATATTAAATCCGCCGGGCATCTTCGAGGATACGAGACGGGCTATCAGGGAAGACGACTGCTTGCCCAGCTGGCCATTGAAGGTGGCCTGCATGGAAGCGCCAAGCTCGTCTAGAGGAGTATCTTCAGGTTTTTCTGGCGTCGAACCGAATTCCTTGCCCAGATCTCCAAGGATCTCATTCTGCAAAGTAGACTTGCCTATAGAAGCGCCCAGGTTAGCCTCATTCACATACAATCACTTGGAAAAGAAGGGGAAAACCTGCCTCCAACGAGATCCTTGATAGCTTTCGTCAAGGGCACCTCTGTTAAGCTCTTCTTCAATTTCTGTGCAACTAATGCCCTGATGATATCAACCGCGGTAACGGGGGCATCCTCTACCGCAGGGGCTGGTCCGGCACTTGGAGGAGGAGCAGCAACTGGAGCGGCGGCAACAGCGGCGGGTGCAGAGGGCGCTGCAGGAGCGGATGAGCCCTCAGCCGGTGCATCAGTCCCCTCGGGTTCCTCCTCGACAGGGTCGACGTCGTAATAAATTTCTTTGGCATCCTTATTGTAGCAAAGGATCTGTCGTTGCACGGATGTGGCAGCGTCGTAGGCTTCATACTTCGATGCGAGGGTCCGCTTGGCCATACCACCTAGGGTATCAGCCGGGCCAATTTCAACGATCCGTTCTGTCCGTTTCTCTGCCAGAATCACATCCTGAGTTTCAATCCACCTGACTGGAGAAGCAAACTGGTATGCCAGGAGCTCAACCAGCAGGATATGGGCGAGCTCTTGCTCGACCTCGGGACGCATTGTGTCGTAAATGCTGAGAATTAATAACTATTAATTAGACGGCGGAAAAGAGAAGGATGGCATGTACAGTCCGCCAGTGTCGTCCCCAAGCAAGAGAGAGGAGAGACTGGGGAGACCTCTGTTCGATCTGTGGAGTTCGGGAGTATCAAAAAAGACGAGTCCCGAAAGATATGAAAGGGCGAAAAAAAAAAGTCAATCGCGGGGAAAGGTCAAGCAGGCCAGTATTTACTCTAGAACCATAGCGTGGGACACAGCAAGAAACTTGAGAGGGACCAGAAAGCAAGGACGTCGGGCCTGCTGGTGTACCACAAGTCAAGAAATGAACGAAAAAAAGAATATTATTATTAGTTGGGCCGTGGGCGGTCACCAAGTAGGTAGAAGCCGACGGCGGAGCCAATCGGAGAAGGGCAGGCAACTGTTGGGGCGCGCCCCTGATGGTTGACAAGTCAATTGCACAGCTGGCGCAGTGGAGCTCGCAGGCTCCCAGGGCTAGTGTGCTGCAGGTTGAGAGGCTGAATGATCCACGGGGCTGGACCAAGGGGTTTTGCAAAAACCGCCTGGAGACCGTATCCGTGGAAGCAAGAAGACCGAATCCTCGTTTTCTCGTTTCTGACCGTACGGGAGAAACGAATGCCGATATCTTATTTATTTTTATCTCTTAGAAACTATCTAATGTAAACCACTGGACTATCTAATCTAACATGTATATCATTTATAATTTGATTAGAGTACTCCGTAGCGATAGGCGCAGGCTTCATCCAGGGAATCATCTGCTTGGAATCGGCCATTGTCCCCAAATCAGGCGCTTCTTGACAAAACATCGCGTTTCCCCAGAATCTGGCATGTTGCCCAAACCAGACTTTTTGTTCTTTCTGCCGTTTGGCGCATGTCTGACTCATTCTTGCTGACGTGCAGTCACCAAGCGAGGACAACACGATATCGCCCGTATGGTCACGTATGGTCACAGGCCAGTGCTTGGGCCCGCCCAACCGTTTCGACCTTTGGGGAGCAGCCGCAGCACACTAAACCCAATCGGGACAGTGGTGTTCAACCAGCTCAAAATTATTTTCCTCAACCCACTCCACGAACGCCACAATGAGTCGACATCCTTTGATCCGGCGCCTCTGGCTCTCTCCAACAGTGGCCAGGGCATTGGTGTGGTTGTGAAGTATTCAATTTCCTCATGTCCTGCAAGACCGCCTAGGCTTCTCTCCAGGTCTTCAGTTCTTCTCTCCTCTTATTCCGCACTCTTCTATCCTGTTACTTTGCTTCGTGGCAGAGTGGCAGCCCATCAACGCCCACACCCTGGCTTTGTGAACGGACGCCAGAGGGATTGTCTGAGTAGGTATGTCTGATTGACCTTTTTTTTTTTCAATTTCGAAACTAATTGATTCAATGGCGGACTGCTAATCTTGTCTTTAAAGGGCCCTTCTGCCCTTTTTATTTTCCTAGAAGTTATCTGAATTTCTCTACTGGCCGTACGGACCTGAAAAGATGTACGGGACATCTACTGGCCCGCAGACGGGCATTAATACTCCTCGTTCCTCGCAGTCGCTCCGGCCCCTTATCCTCAGTCATGGTTCTCTCGAATTCTCCTTTCTCGTTCCGACATCTCTTCACTTTCACGCTGCTCAATTGAAAGACAGCTTCACAGCGTCTTTACCGCAGCCCACAGATGAGCTAGCGCAAGATGATGAGCCATCCTCGGTTGTCGAGCTCGTTGCTCGATATATCGGCTACATTGCCCACGAGGTGGAAGAAGGGGATGAGGATGCCCATGAGCTCAATCGAGAGGTGCTACAACTGGCGCTGAACGAGTTCGAACGAGCCTTTATGAGGGGCAATGATGTGCATGCCATCGCCGCAGGTATATCTGGCATCACAGCCAAGAAAGTCTTGGTTGTACAGGCATATTACGCCGCCCGCGCCGCAGTTGGTCGGGCTACCAAGCCCTATGATTCGGCGCTGTTCCGTGCGGCAGCGGAAGAGAAAGCGAAGATTTACACGGTCTTCGGAGGTCAAGGGAACATTGAGGAGTACTTCGAGGAGCTTCGAGAGGTTTACACCACATACCCGTCTTTCGTGGAGGACCTTATCACGTCATCAGCAGAGTTGCTGCAATCATTGTCCCGTGAACCTGAGGCCGTGAAACTGTACCCGAAGGGACTTGACATCCTTCGGTGGCTTCATGATCGCGATTCACAACCGGATACCGATTACCTGGTGTCCGCTCCGGTGAGTCTTCCGCTCATCGGCCTGGTGCAGCTGGCCCACTACATGGTCACCTGCAAAGCCCTGGGGAAACAACCTGGGGAGATTCTGGAACGTCTCAGCGGTACCACAGGTCACTCTCAGGGTGTTGTCACTGCTGCCGTCATTGCCACGGCCAAAACCTGGGAGGATTTTGCCAAGGCGGCCAAGCAAGCTGTAACACTGCTGTTCTGGATCGGTCTTCGCAGTCAACAGGCCTATCCCCGCACTTCCCTTGCCCCCTCAACTCTCCAAGACTCGACTGAAAATGGAGAAGGGATCCCTACTCCCATGTTGTCGATACGAGATCTCCCAAGAGCAGCGATTCAGGAGCACATCGATGCGACGAACCAGCATCTGCCTGCTGACAGGCATATTGCGATATCGCTTGTCAACAGTGCCCGGAACTTTGTCGTCACTGGACCGCCCATTTCGCTCTATGGTCTCAACCTTCGCCTTCGTAAGGTCAAGGCTCCTACTGGCTTGGACCAGACTCGTATTCCGTTCACCCAACGGAAGATCCGCTTTGTCAACCGATTCCTCCCCATCACTGCGCCATTCCATAGCCCGTACTTGTCGTTTGCCTATGATCACATCTTGGAAGACGTGGAAGGCATTAAGATCCCGGCCAACTCGCTGATGATCCCGGTTTATGATACCAAGACGGGTGAAGACTTGAGCAAGTTGGGCGATGAGAATATTGTTCCAGCATTGGTCCGTATGATCACCCGTGATCCGGTGAACTGGGAGAAGGCCACGGTGTTCCCTGGTGCCACCCACATTATTGACTTCGGACCGGGCGGTATCTCTGGTCTCGGAGTCCTTGTCAACCGCAACAAGGATGGCACGGGCGTTCGCGTTATTCTGGCGGGTTCTATGGATGGCACAAACTCTGAGGTAGGCTACAAGCCTGAGCTCTTCGATCGTGACGAGCATGCGGTGAAATTTGCCGTCGACTGGGTCAAGGAGCATGGGCCTCGGTTAGTGAAGACTTCGGTCGGTCAAACGTTTGTCGACACGAAGATGAGCAGGTTGCTCGGTGTGCCGCCAGTCATGGTAGCAGGCATGACCCCGACCACTGTGCCATGGGACTTTGTTGCGGCTACAATGAATGCCGGATACCATATTGAACTGGCGGGAGGTGGCTATTACAACAGCCAGTCGATGACTGAGGCACTCAACAAGATTGAGAAAGCCATTCCCCCCGGTCGTGGTATCACTGTCAACTTGATCTACGTCAATCCTCGGGCTATGGGATGGCAGATACCTCTCATCGGAAAGCTTCGGGCGGATGGTGTGCCTATTGAAGGTCTCACAATCGGCGCTGGTGTTCCATCCATTGAAGTCGCCAACGAGTATATTCAGACGCTTGGAATCAAACACATTGCCTTCAAGCCTGGTTCAGTCGATGCCATTCAACAGGTGATCAATATTGCCAAGGCGAACCCGTCCTTCCCTGTTATCCTTCAGTGGACTGGTGGTCGGGGTGGTGGTCACCATTCTTTCGAAGACTTCCATCAACCTATCTTGCTGATGTACAGCCGAATCCGCAAGTGCAGTAACATTGTACTTGTTGCTGGCAGTGGTTTTGGCGGCTCAGAGGATACCTATCCTTACCTGACTGGTACCTGGTCCACGCGTTTCGGCTATCCTCCAATGCCTTTTGATGGGTGCTTGTTTGGTAGCCGCATGATGACGGCAAAGGAAGCTCATACTTCTAGGGATGCCAAGAAAGCTATTGCGGAGGCACCTGGCGTTGATGACGATCAGTGGGAGGAAACGTACAAGGGACCGGCCGGTGGTGTCATTACCGTTCTCTCTGAGATGGGAGAACCAATCCACAAACTTGCAACGAGAGGTGTTCTGTTCTGGCACGAATTGGACCAAAAAATATTCAGCCTTGACAAGGCCAAGCGCGTGCCTGAATTGAAGAAGAACAGGGACTATATTATCAAAAAACTTAATGACGACTTCCAGAAAGTCTGGTTCGGGCGCAACTCCGCAGGAGAAACCGTTGATCTCGAGGACATGACTTACGCAGAAGTGGTTCACCGCATGGTAGAGCTCATGTATGTGAAACATGAGTCTCGTTGGATCGACGATTCTCTGAAGCGGCTGACTGGTGACTTCATCCGCCGTGTCGAAGAGCGGTTCACCTCCGTTGAGGGTCAGGCTTCCCTCCTTCAGAACTACTCGGAGCTCGACGATCCCTACCCCACCGTGGAAAGGATCCTGTCCGCATATCCTGAAGCTTCTACTCAGCTGATCAATGCTCAAGATGTCCAGCACTTCCTGCTTCTCTGCCAGAGACGTGGGCAGAAGCCTGTGCCGTTCGTTCCGGCACTTGACGAGAATTTTGAGTTCTGGTTCAAGAAGGACTCTCTCTGGCAGTCTGAAGATCTGGAGGCTGTCGTTGGCCGAGACGTCGGAAGGACCTGCATTCTCCAGGGCCCCGTGGCTACCAAGTACTCGACCACAATTGATCAGCCAATCAAAGAGATTCTCGATGGAATTCACAATGACCATATCAAGTTCTTGATTCGGGACGTCTATGGTGGTGACGAAAGCAACATCCCGGTCGTCGAGTATTTCGGCGGCCGGCTCCTAGAATCTGAAGAGGAGCCTGAAATTGATGGTCTCACGGTTTCTAAGGACACGAATAAGATCTCGTACAGACTGTCGAGCTCTCCATCCGCTAACCTACCCGATGTTGATCGCTGGTTGCAGCTTCTCGCTGGCAATACTTACTCTTGGAGACACGCTCTGTTCACCACTGAGGTTTTCGTTCAAGGACAGCGTTTCCAGACGAACCCTCTGAAACGTGTTCTTGCGCCCACCCGTGGCATGTACGTCGAGATCGCTTATCCTGACGAACCCTCTAAAACCGTCATCAGCGTGAGAGAACCCAGCCAATCAAATAAGCTGGTCAAGACAGTTGAAATAAAGATGGTGGGCGAGAACGAGATCTCACTGAGCCTATTCGAGGGAAGGACTGCTGAAGGCGATGTTGTACCTCTGACTTTCCGCTTTACCTATCATCCAGAGACTGGATACGCGCCCATCAGAGAAATTATGGAGGGTCGCAATGACCGTATCAAAGAATTTTACTACCGTGTTTGGTTTGGTGAAAAGAACGTTCCTTTCGATACGCCAATCACGGCAATCTTTGACGGTGGCCGTGAGACAGTCACCTCGCAGGCCATTGCCGACTTTGTCCATGCTGTTGGCAATACTGGAGAGGCATTCGTCGACCGTCCTGGTAAAGAAGTCTATGCGCCGATGGATTTCGCCATTGTCGTCGGGTGGAAGGCGATCACAAAACCCATCTTTCCCCGGACGATTGACGGAGATTTGCTGAAGTTGGTCCATCTGTCCAACGGATTTAGAATGGTTCCTGGAGCTGAACCACTCAAAGTCGGTGACGTTCTCGACACGGTGGCGCAAGTCAACGCTGTCATCAATCAGGACAGTGGAAAGATGGTTGAAGTCTGCGGTACCATCAAGCGCGACGGCAAGCCAATCATGCACGTAACCAGCCAGTTTCTGTACCGAGGAGTGTACACCGACTATGAAAACACATTCCAACGCAAAGATGAGATTCCTATGCAGCTTCACCTTGGTTCAACCAAGGACGTTGCAGTCCTGCGGTCTAAGGAATGGTTCCGACTTGACGACCCTGATGTGGAACTCCTCGGCCAGACGCTCATCTTCCGCCTTCAAAGTCTCGTCCGCTTCAAGAATAAGACAGTATTTAGCAGCGTCCAGACAATTGGCCAGGTGCTCCTCGAATTGCCAACAAAGGAAATCATTCAGGTCGCATCCGTTGACTATGAAGCCGGATTGTCACATGGTAATCCTGTGATTGACTATCTTCAAAGGCACGGCTCCGCTATCGAGCAACCCGTGAACTTTGAAAACCCGATTCCACTCAGTGGAAAGACACCACTCGTCCTTCGGGCCCCTGCCTCTAACGAGAACTACGCGCGAGTTTCGGGTGATTACAATCCGATCCACGTCTCTCGTGTTTTCTCGGCCTATGCCAATCTTCCGGGCACCATCACCCATGGAATGTACACCAGTGCCGCCGTGCGAAGCTTTGTCGAGACCTGGGCGGCCGAAAACAATATCGGCCGTGTTCGCAGCTACCATGTCAATCTCGTAGGCATGGTTTTGCCGAATGACGCAATTTCAGTCAAGCTTGAGCACGTTGGTATGATTGCTGGTCGGAAGATTATCAAGGTCGAAGCCAAGAACAAAGACACCGATGAAACCGTCCTGGTGGGTGAAGCAGAAGTTGAACAACCAGTTACTGCATACGTTTTCACTGGGCAAGGCTCGCAAGAGCAGGGAATGGGCATGGACCTTTATGCTAGCAGCCCTGTTGCAAAGGAAGTCTGGGATCGGGCTGATCGTCATTTCTTGGAGAATTATGGCTTTTCAATCATCGATATCGTTAAGAACAACCCCAAGGAATTGACGATCTATTTCGGGGGCCCTCGTGGCAAAGCCATTCGTCAGAACTACATGTCCATGACTTTCGAGACGGTCAATGCGGATGGCACCATAAAATCAGAGAAGATCTTCAAAGAGATCGATGAAAACACAACTTCCTACACCTACAGGTCCCCTTCAGGGCTTCTGTCCGCAACCCAGTTTACTCAGCCAGCTCTGACATTGATGGAGAAGGCAAGTTTCGAAGACATGCGTGCCAAGGGCCTTGTCCAAAGAGATAGCAGCTTTGCTGGCCATTCGCTGGGTGAATACTCTGCTCTGGCTGCCCTAGCTGACGTTATGCCCATCGAAAGTCTGGTGTCCGTGGTGTTCTATCGTGGCTTGACCATGCAGGTCGCCGTGGAGCGAGACGAGCAAGGACGATCAAACTATGCTATGTGTGCTGTCACCCCAGTCGGATCTCAAAGACTTTCAACGAGCAGGCCCTGCAATATGTCGTTGAGATATTGCTGAGGTCGACGGGTTGGTT